GACAGTGGCTCTCACACTCACTGGTCCTTGGCCTCCTTCTTTACGGCTTACGTACAGTCTCAGGGTGCTGGATTTGGGATGGAACCCGCCATGCATGGTAAGGAGCTTTCGAGTTTTAACATCCGTGGTCTGAATCTCTTCCTTTGGCCACCTGATTATTCCTGCAGGGTATCTGATCACTGGCAGGGCGTAGCTGTTAATTGCCCGAGCCTTGTTCTTGCCATTGAGCCGGCTTCTTAGGACCTGCCTTACTCGCTGGAGGTATTTGGCAGTTTCCGCTTCAAGCATTCAATGATGTATGTGTGGCATTGAGTCGTAGGCTTTCTGGTAATCAATCCAGGCTGTGCACAGGTTGGTGTGTTGTGACCGGCAGTCTTGGGCGACTGTTTTGTCCACCAGGAGCTGGTGTTTGGCTCCTCTGGTGTTATTGGCCGGTAGTTAGAGAGGACTGCACCCTTGACAGGGTCCTTCATGATCAGGACCGTTCGCCCTTCGGTTAGCCATTCCGGGTCAGTCCCATCTCTCAGCAGCTAGTTCATTTGTGCTGCTAGGCGCTCATGGAGTGATGTGAGTGTCCTTGTGGGACATGGCCTTTTAATGCACCTGTTTTATTGCATGATTTTGTTTTTATTATTAATGCATGATTTTATTGGATTTGCTTTTATCATAATGCATGAGCTCTTGTAAAGTTCTTTTTATGTGTGCGGTGTAATGGAGTGTTCGTGCAACTACACGAATGCGTGTAGTTTGCTGTTGGCCTTCCCTCCGCTGCCGCTGTGCTCTTTGTGCCTGCAGGACCCGGCTCGCTGGAAGAACCTGGACTGACCAGCTACGCGTTGGGACCTGTTTTTAATTGACCATTTTAATCTCTTCTTATACTGACTGGTTTTATGGCACTCGCCTGCTCATTTTAACATTTTTTTATTGTAATAAATCTTTTTTATCGTAGCACCTGGTTTATTTTGCACTGCTCACTCCAGTGATTTTATACCTGTGTTTTAAAATAGGTCCTAGGTCCTCAACCTAGGTGGCGTTGCTTACCTTTTAACTTGTGATTTGGTTTTATGATTAAATTATTCCTTCCCTCGGTCACATCCTTAGCCAGTAGCATGGACTATCTCAGGGCCAGGTGCTGTCCAGTTTTTCATACCTGAGACTCTTTCTCTGATGTCTGCCTCTGTGATGGTAACTGAGTTCTGTTCTGGGAGGTGGCTGTGCTCCTCTCTCAGGGACACCAGCCATTGTTGTTATGTGCTCCGCATTCTCCCATATGTTCTTCCAGAACTGTTCAGTTTCCAGCCTTGGTGGGTCTGCTTCCCTGTTGCTACCCTGCCGTTACCCTGTCATTACCCCGTTGTTACCCTTTTGTCACCTTGTCATTACCCTGTCGCTACTCTGTTGCGGACAGCCTGTTCACTCTTCTGGCTTCATTCTCTTTAGTGTACCTCTGTAGGCGGCTGACCAGGGCTTAGAGCCTTTGTTTGGCAGTGTCGAGTGCTTCTGGTATGGTCATCTGGGCCTCTGTTAATTGACTCACTTCTCTCCGAGCCGCCTTGACCTTAGCCTCCAACAGTCTTTTCCAAGGTGGGTATTGTCCATGGCTCCCATGGTTGCTTATAGCCAAGCATCTCTAGGATCACTGCTGCTGAAGTGTATATCGGCTCATTGGTTTCAGTGATTGTGGTGGTAGGTATCGCCCTCACTGCTACATTCACGCTTTCTATGAGATCCTTTGGTGGTACTTCACACAACCGCTGTCTGTGCCCAATATATTATATATATATATTCAAATTTATGGACCCTGAAGTCTCTCTCTTTGGTCCCTCTCCGTTGTTTCTCTGAAATAGAATGTTGGCAAAAATTTGATTTTTGAGTTTAGGGTCTAAGTAAAAATCAAAGTCCATCCATCCATCCATTTTCTACCCTTTAATCCATTTCTGGGTCAGGGGGGTGACAGTCAGAGATGCCACCCAAGTCTCATAGCACCAGCCCCTCACTGACCCTCTGCAGGTGGTGAGTCCACAGGAGGACGGCTGCTCTCTGAGTGTGAGCATAGCCTTGATCTTTCAGTGGGGGCTTTGGGCAAAGTGGGGTTAAGTGTCTTGCCCAAGGACACAACGACAGCAGTCATCAGTGGGAGTCGGTGGAGAAGGTGCAGAGGTGGGAATTGAACCCACAACCTTCTGGGCTTAAGGCCAATGCTCTACCAACTGAGCTACTGTCGCCCCGAAATCAAAGTCGTTTTTGATTATTTCATTTTTCCAATTCAAATAAAGAAATTTGTGTCTCGCCTCAAATCTCCTGCTGCAGTCGGGCGTGGACCAGTGGAGGCGAGTCCAAAAGGACCATGAGCGCTCACATTAGGCAATCTCACTCCCCCCTGTGGGGGTGTACCCAGAATTACCCAATGCTCTGGAAAAGGTATTCTACCGGAAAGGAACACTTCTAGTTTATACCATGTGAGCAGTCTCCTGCTGATGTCAGAGGATCAAAACAAAACACTTTCATTTCAGTTCAAATACAAAGAAACGTGACTTTGAACCAGGTCAAATCTTACAGGTTTTTTTTTATGCCTAAATTACTGCATAAAAAGGAATAAAATGAAACTTGGAGTCCAGAAAAGCTCCATATTTATCAGATGAAAGGTGTAGTGAGCAGAGTTTGGGACAGGACAGAGCTATAACGGCCTGAAGCCTTTTATTATGACAAATGAACAATATCAAATTGAAGAAAATCATTTTCAGATGTAACACGTGACCGCTGCTCTCTGGCGCCCCCTCTGCCTCATGAGGTAATATCACACTTCTCCACAACACGTGTCTGCCATGGTTCTCTGGATAAAACTAACTTCAGCTTCAAGTCAGGGAGAGGGGGGACTCTGAGGGGGTGTCCAACCAACTGCGGTGAGTGAAGTTTCTATTCCTCTGAGATGATCCGGTGACAATGATCTTTATTCTGTACTTTTAGTAATTTGTAAAGTAGCGATGGGAAAAAATGGATTACGTTCAGTATCGCGATATCCTGAGCACACAATTAAATGGATTCAGCCGATCAAAGTATCGGGATATTTTATAGTTTATGTGGTTCTATGATGTCTGTAATAAGTCTTATTTTCCTGTTTGTAAAGTCTGAATATATGAGGGACATGAATCGTGATACAGTATTGCGATTCTGTGATGTATCATGATTATATGTTAATCACAATAACATTGAATTATGGCCCAAATATTGCAACACTAACAAATCCTCACCTCCGTATTGTAAATGTATAACAACCGCTCTCATCCTCCGTCGACAGAGAAAATAGTTTGGACACCCCCGTCTTCAGACATTTGGTTGTAGTTTTACCAAAGTAATGTAAGTTTTATCCGTGCTCTCAGTTTGAAAACAACTCCAGAAAAGTCTTAAGTCTCCAGGTCAGAGATGCTTCCACCGCCGCCATCCTTCAGTCCTCCATTTAAAAATGTCTCTAAATATATTACAGGTTACATTAGCTACAGATGTACACACTGTGGCGTTCCCGGCGGATCCAAACCAAACTTTCCAGACCCTTTAAAGTCCAGAAATGAAGCGTTTGCGTCTACACAATGTACAGAAAATAGGACACTTTACATTTCCATGACGACACAGAAATCAGATACAAAACTTACAAATGTCATAAAAAAAAATAATAATAAACCACAGAGAACTCTTTACAAAACCGGGAACGCACCACGGAACGTTCCACATGAGACGTGTAGAAAAACTAGTCTAAGGAAATGAGAATGTTTCTGAAACTGAAAAACAAAAATGTACTTCAAATAAAAATGAATGATATGTTTGTTTTCAGGATCACTGTCCACACTTGTTTATACAGACTTTACACCAGTTTCACTTCCTCTTGATTCTCTGATCTATGTTGGGGAATTGGCAGCTTGCTCCTCCAGATGACTGCTGTGATTTAGAGCCATACAAAAAAACATGTTTTAGTCAGAACGTCGTCTGGATTCAAATGTCTTTAAAATACTTGGAACGTGTCAAAATTTCCGGACCCAGCCCCAGACCCAGACCGTGATTTAGGGCGATTCACAACTCCATTTCTCCATTGTGAGATAATAAGGTTGCAACCAATGTTTTTAGTCTCAACGACTTCTCAACGATAAGTTACATCTTGATCATTCTTCCCATCAGTCTGTGACATCACTAGGTTCATGTCATCAGTCTGTGACATCACTAGGTTAATGTCATCAGTCTGTGACATCACTAGGTTAATGTCATCAGTCTGTGACATCACTAGGTTAATGTCATCAGTCTGTGACATCACTAGGTTAATGTCATCAGTCTGTGACATCACTAGGTTAATGTCATCAGTCTGTGACATCACTAGCTAATTTGTTTTATACTGATCATGAGGAAATAAGAAAACATTTAAGTTTTAGTGAGATCAAAGAGATGCAGCTACACATCGGAGAAGCTGAGAATGCGGTGAAGGAATCTGCACTTTGTTAAAAAGTCATAAACTAATTTAGTTTTTGAGGTTGAGACTGGATCTGGGACAGTCCTGGTTCCTCTCCGTCTCCACAGATTTTATAATTATTATTCTGTAGAGAATCACAATAATATTGGATTGTGTCCAGATACTATGGAGCACTCACATGTTGCTCACTCCCAGCCCGAGACCAGAACAGCGGTGACTTTGAGCCCGAGACCAGAACAGCGGTGACTTTGAAACCTCCATTTTTGGACATTATTCCAAACCTTCTTTAACTTAACACTTTAAAAGCACACACAGCTGCTGCCATTGTCGATGTATTAATACCTAAAATAAGAATCATGACTTTGATACAACGTTACAATAAAATACGCTATTTTACAGACGCACACTGTGTCCGAGGAGAGGGCGAGTGGAAAACCTTCTGATGCTGCACGACCTCAGTGTGAATAAAGTTAGGTCATATAAAAATACAATACACTGGGGTTGGGGGGTGAGGGGGAGTGAGGGGGGGGGGGCAGTTCTGTTTCTACAAGTCTTCGATATTGCAGACGTAGTCCACGAGGTCTGTGACGCCGAGCAGGTCGTCCTCGTCCTCGTCCTCCGCTCCCTGGGGCCCCTGGGAGCCCACGCCGTTGGGAGTCGAGGCCTTGGCAGCGTCTGTGTGTGTGCTCTTCACTGAGCTCTGTCCGTTGGTGGGAGGAGGCAGGTTCTTTGGTCTGTCCTCCTTCTTGGCCTCCTTCTTGGCCTCCTCGCTGCTGCCTTTGGACGAGTCCTCCTTAGACTGGTCCTCTGAAGTCTTCGTGTCCTTCTTAGACCGCTCCTCTGAAGTCTTCGTGTCCTTTTTAGACCGCTCCTCTGAAGTCTTTGTGGTCGAGTCCTCTTTAGACTGCTCTTCTGTAGTCTCTGTGGATGTGCCCTCTTTAGACCGCTCTTCTGTGGTCTCTGTGGTCTCTGGGTCCTCCTCGGTCTTCTTGGATGCAGCCAATGTAGACCTGGTCTTGGTGGTCTCTGGGTCCTCTTCAGTCGGGTCCTCCTCTGTCTTCTTGGATGCGGCCTCTGTAGACGTGGTCTCGGTGGTCTTCATGGAGGCGTCCTCACTGCAGGTCTCTGGTTTTGGCAACTTTTTCTGGGAATTGTCTTGAGATTTAGCCGTGTTGCCTTCGTCCTTCTCTGCGGCCTCCTCCTGGTCCTCCCTGGCCTCCTCGGGCTGCTCCTCCTTCACCTCGTCCCCAGGGCTCTTCTGTGGCGCCTCCTCGTCGGAGTCGTCCGAGTCGATGCGGTTGACACGCTTCCTGACGGGCCGGTCTTCCTCTGAAGAGTCAGTCTCCTCTGAAGAGTCCTCGTCCTCCTCAGATTCTCGGCGCCGCTTCAGGGCGAGTCGTCGGCGCCGCTGTTTGGAGTCTTCGTCGGACCAGTCCCTCTTCGGCCGACGCTCAGGACGCTCCTCTGACGAGTCTCGGGAGAAGCTTGCTGCAAACACAAACAAAATAATAATAATACTACATTTTGTTTCTTAGACTTTATTTCAAGTTAAAAGAGCAGTATGTAAAAATGTGGCCAAAAGTGGTACAGCAGCCTCTCCCACGCTCCGACTCAGGTTGCCAGATATGCAGACGAAACAAATGAGTTTTGAGGGTGGATTTGAAGCGTCATCCTTTCTTAAACACCATACATTCTGCACTACAAACTGGAATTTTAACTTTGAGTGATATTTTAGGTTTATTTTTGTGTATTGCATTTGAAATCAATACTTCTAGGGAGTCAATAGTTATAATTTGATGGAAGACGGACCCGACTGAGCTAAGAAAATCAAGAAAAGTAAAGACAATGGCCCAAGTGATGTGTATGTGTGAGTGTGTGGATTCATATGTTGCAGTGTTGTGCGTGAACGAGTTCAAAAGAACGCGTTCATTGAACACGCTCATTTTTTTGTGAACGTTGAACTGAACGCAACACATTTTAAAAAAAAGAACTTGAACGTGAATTAGTTCATTTTATGTGTCATGAACGGCAGACATCACTGTGAACGTTGGAATCTGTTTTCTCTTTTGAAACGCAACGAGAGAAAGTTCCTCCCTCCTGTATTCTCGCATTTTTTCCACCGAAATCAAAAAATTCCTACGGTTTCCACCGTCTGTGAACGCACCCCGACTCCGTGTTGCGGTGCGGCGCTGTGAGCTGGTGCTTTTCACATGTGCCCGAGTCGTGATGAAAACACAGGGTGAGTTAGCGACAAAGTTTACACCGTTTACATTTGACATAAAGTATAGACACACGCACTGCAGCGCATTACTGTCTGTAGTTTATGAGCAGAGATGGGACCACTCTGTTTTGCTCCCATTGAAAACCATGTAAATTAGGGATGTAAAAAACTATGAATTTTCATGACCGACCACCGAGCCTCATTAACCGGTTGAAACCGGTTAACCGCGTAGTTTAAAATAGTCCACGTTCTTTGAAATAACAGCCATTTCGAGCCACGTACTTTTCATAAGTGCAGCTCTGCGTTCTACTGGATCAGAGTTGAGACAGCGGCGCCCAAACCCGCAACAGCTCCGGCACCTTTGCGCACAGAGAACTGCTTTTTTAATCTTCCCATTCTGCTGTGCTGCGGGTTAATACCAAAACTTTCTAGCAGCAAACGACGGCTCGTTCACATGGTCAGAGCAGCGAGTGACGAGCCGCGTCTCACAGGTCTTCACAAAAGTTTAAATACAAGTGATGTGTGTGGAGCTGATCCCGAGGACCATAAACACAAACATGTTCCATGTGGTTTGACTGGAGCCGTGTATTTGCGCGAATCCTTTGGGCTCCGTGAGACAGAGGAGCGCGACAGACCGGTATGTGTGTGTGTATGTATGTGTGTATGTATATGTGTGTGTGTGTAAATGTAAGCTCCAATGTAGTTCTGACCCGCGCCAGTGTGCAACTTTGACGGTAACAGAGGGGAGAGATGATGCGTGTGGATGTTACGTATGGAGAGGGGGAAAGTGTGTGTGTGTGCGCGCGCGTGCGTGTGTGCATATGTGGCTCGTGCGGCGTGAGAGTCGTCCCGGAGTTTATAATACATGGGCGCACACAAATAGGGCTTAAAATAGCGTTATTAAGAGACCTCCCCTCTCCCCTTTTTCTCTTTTTTAACCGACAGCTTTGACCGGTTAACGCTGTGACGGTCAACCACCGGTTAACCGGTCGCCGATTTACATCCCTAATGTAAATCTTGTCTGTTTTGTAGCCAAAAGGCTCTCCTCCTGTGGGTGTACAGGAGATATATATATATATATATATAGCTCGTAGTGTGAAAAAAAGTATTTATTTGACTATTTCACGAAAAAAGTAAAATTAACTGAACTTTGAACTAGTTCAGAATTAAAATTGTGAACTTTGAACGTGAACGGTTCACTTTGAGCATGTATGAAATGAACTTGAACTAGTTCAGAAAAGTTGTGAACTGGCACAACACTGATATGTTGTGTATTCTTTCTGCGTCATGTTGTGTTTGCTTTGGTATGTGGATAGAGCACAGAAAGCACTCTCAGCCTGTGTAGGAGCAGACCAGTGGGAGCGGGTCCCAGCTCAAAAGTTGCCAAAATGACGTGCGCTGACATGCTTGCAATACCACCCCGGGCCGATGGGGGTGGACCCAGAAGAAGAATTAGCCAATGCTAACATATAGCATTGGCAGACCTCTGGAAAACGTCTTTACAGGATGGACCAAAAGTTGGGTCTTGGCCCAAAGCTCTGTTCCACATGTGTGTCAATGCTGAGGGGGGTGAATTTTTTAGGTCCACTCTAGTTTACTCGCTGTGAATATTTGAAGTCTCTCGTTCAAATGAATGGAGCTGCGCCGGTTGACGCATGCGCAGATGCGTTTTTTCACAATTTTCTTGTGGGCGGGACCACTCGCGGCCACTTTGGACAGTTCCAGTAGAGCACATTTTTTGGCCCATGAGTTAGAACGCCGGAGATAGGCGTGACTCTGTCCATTAATATATACAGTCTATGGGGCAGACGTACCGCTGGAGTCTGAGGAGTGGTCCATGTGTTTTCGTGGTTTCAGTTTGTCTCGGTTGGTCCCGGCTCTGGACCCGGCTCTGGACCCGGCTCTGGACCCGTCGGACTCTGACGTCTCGTGGTAGTTCACTGCTCTCTTACGACTGCGGCGAGAGCGACGCATGCTCACGTCCAGGTCACTGCTGCTGTACTCAGACGAGCCTTCTGTCACTGTGGGGGGGGGAGAGGAACAGAGAGTGATGGAGAGGGGGAGAGAGAGAGGGGGGGAGAGAGAGGGAAGGGAGAGAGAGGAACAGGGAGTGAGGGAGAGGGGGAGAGAGAGAGGGAGGGAGAGAGAGGGAAGGGAGAGAGAGGAACAGGGAGTGAGGGAGAGGGGGAGAGAGCGGGGGAGAGAGAGTTTGACTAAAGTGCTCTTAAGTGCTCAGACTAAAGTGCTCTAAAGTGCTCAAACTAAAGTGCTCGGACTAAATTGCTCAAGTCAAACTATAGTGCTCACGCTAAAGTGCTCAAACCAAAGTGCTCTGAGGTGATTTGAGCGATACACAAATGAACTGAAGTCCATGTAAACTGTACCGATCTCGTCCTCGTCTTCCTCGTCCGTCTCGTCCTCCTCATCGTCAGAGTATCCTTTGGGCCTCCTCTTCTTGCGTTGGCTTTTCCTCACGGGTTTTTTGAGGCGGGACTTCCTCTTCCTGCCGCCGCCACCGATGATGTCACTGTCGTTGGAGCCGCTTTCTGCAGAACGGTCTGAGGCCACGAACTCCTCTGAGGTACTGAGGGACACAGAGGGACACTGTCAGAGACACAGACAGACACAGAGGGACACAGAGGGACACGGTCAGAGACAGACACAGAGACAGACAGAGACACAGACACAGAGAGACACAGACACAAAGAGACAGAGACACAGAGAGACACAGAGCACTGGGCCTGTCCTCTACACTTCCGGTGACGTCACCTCAGAATTATAGGATAAAAATAACCAATACATTTAAAGTAGATAAAGACAATAGATGTTTGAATCTTAGGCCCCGATTCCACCGGCTGCGTAAAACGGACTACATATCCGTCCAAACGTGTCCGTTATCTCCATGAAGGTGAATGAAGTGGCTCCACTGCCTCAAACATGCGTCCATCCGACGCGCGTCAGAGCTCTCCGTCCACGGAGGGTGCAACGGACACGGACGGACGAAATAGAAACAATCCTATTTTTTCCGTCCGTTTTCCATTGAAAATACAATGGAATAATATGTTTACCACATTATTAAACATGTATAGATATATATGCTGTAGTCCTTGTTATAAGTATTTGTTAATGACAATGACTATTAACAAATGTGTGTAATTTATTTTCATGTATTAAATTGGTAGATTTACAATCAGGAAACATTTCATTTATTTTTCGCGTAATGTCATTACGCTAAACTCTACATACACCTCGCTCTGTCCCCGGTGAGGAGGCGCGCTCTCCTCACCGCCATGCGCTCCCACCCACCCACACGCACACACACAGAGAGAGCTACTGCACTTATGAGAGACAGATCTCACAACACTGGATATGTTGGAGTTCTTTTCTCTCTCCCCTTTTTCCATTTGCTTTCAATAAGTTTTGCCTCATCCATCGCAACGTCCTCGATGCTTCAATATGCCGTGCTTTGCATAGATCAAAGCCCCAGCTCATGAAAATCACACATCGCTTCTTCTATTTAAAACAAAGCCTCACGGGTGCTGATAAACGCACAGCCAGAGCTGCGCACTGCTGCAGCCGGTTTGGCCACTATTCCGTTTTACGGACGTCTGACGGGCAGCAGCCAACGCGCGTCAACGGAGTGCCCGGTGGAGTCCTGACCATCCAGGACCATCTTTACATCTGGGGGGGGGGGCACTTATTTCTTTGGGGGGGCCACGGAGTATTGTAGATTTTGAACCCGTTTTCATGTGGTTCATTTTTTATTCAAGAACGTTTTGGGTTCATGAGTTGGAGCAGAATACATGTATAACACAGCATGCATTCATGCGACAGAAGCAAACGGCCTCAGATCAAAGGACCAGTGACAGATACATGTGTTTGTGAAAGTCAGGTCCCTCAGCTTTAAACTCACCTCCCGCTGAGGCAGAACTCGTCCTCGCTCTCCTCAGAGTCCGCGGTGCTGTCTGAGTCCAGGTCGTTGAGTCGCCGTCTCTTCTTCTTGTGGCGCCCGGCGGTGGCGTGCGCAGGCTTCCCGTTCTCTTTGCCGTCCTCCTGCAGGATGGTGGACATGTCTTTCCCCCGGTGTCCCGTGATGTTGGACATGTCTTTACCACGACCTGCGCCTGTGGAGAGAGAGAGTGAGTGAGTGTGAGAGTGAGAGTGAGTACCCTGAAGGCCTACTTTACTATCTCCATAAGTACCCTAAAGGCCTACTTTACTAGCTCCATAAGTACCCTAAAGGCCTACTTTACTAGCTCCATAAGTACCCTAAAGGCCTACTTTACTAGCTCCATAAGTACCCTAAAGGCCTACTTTACTAGCTCCATAAGTACCCAAAGGCCTACATTAAGTATCCTACTCCGCAAGTACCCTAAAGGCCTACTTTACTAGCGCCGCATTTCCCTCCTCCCTCAGCCTCACCTCCTCCTTCAGCCTCTTTGATGTCCTCCTCGATGGCCTCTTCAATGGCCTCGTCAAAGTCATCAAACCTGAAACCAGTCACAGGGACCACATTATATACTCACTGGGAGTAGGGGTGGGAACCTAAGGGTACCTCACGATACGACACGATACACGATACAAAGCTCACGATAACGATATCACAATAACGATTTTATCACGATATGACGATTATTGATATATTGGTTAGAAATATACAATATGCCAATATATGGCATAAATAAAAGAAAATATACTCTTTATTTCATGATAAATAGAATGGAGATGCGTAATGTAGCCTAGGTTTTTTTTATTAAATGTAAACAAAACAAAAATCGATACTTGGCAAATGCATATCGATAATCGAATCGCGGGAGAAAGTATCGCGATATCGAAAATTCGATATATCGTCACACCCCTAACTGGGACCACATTATATATCACTGGGACCACTTTATATCACAGGGACCACATTATATATCACTAGGGCCACATTATATATCACTAGGGCCACATTATATATCACTGGGTCCACATTATATATCACAGGGACCACATCTATCATTAACTATGAAAGCAAACCCCTCATTGTAATCGCTGTGAACTAAAAACTGATTTTTTAATACACCTTTAGACCAGGCTTATTCTGTGTCCATAGGTTTTTGGATGCACACATTTAAAACAAATATCCAACTAATGAAGTGTGACTCATTAACACTGTGTCCAATGTTGTTGTTGAATAATAAATGAGCACAGGAGGCAGACCTGTAGCTGATGTTCTTGCGGGCCCGTGTGGACCTGCGACCCCAGCTCTTGCTCTTCTTGGACTCTTTCTTCTCCTTCAGGACGACCTCAGGCTTCTCCTCCAGCTCCACAGACGGAGTGATGATGTTCTCCACGCTGATGCCCACGTAGATCAGACGCTCTTTCCTATAAACGCAGGAATGGTTCAGGTTCTGCTGCAGTCAGACTGTTAAAGTTATGTGAGAAATGGAACTACTGCTCTGCAGGAGATGCAGTGATCACATCTGTCCAGATGTCAGTGTTAGAGGCTATTCTGAGCTCAGAGGCTATTCTGAGCTCAGAGGCTTCACGCATTTGAAACAGTCTGGCAGGAGATCCTCCGTGTGCCACTACGTTCTACCGCCACTACGTTCTACCGCCACTACGTTCTACCGTCACTACGTTCTACCGTCACTACGTTCTACCGTCACTACGTTCTACCGTCCCAACAAACTAATGCTGCAAAGAAACTGACGACACAGAAGTAACTCAAAGAAGTTTGAAGATGGAGATGGCGGTGGCTGACCTCCTCTCGGCTCGCTCCTTCTTCTTCAGAGCTGCGTCCAGGTTTTGGAGAGCCTCGTCCAGTTTGTCACACAGCTGTTTCTGTGGAGAGGACAAGAATATGGTTCACATGATCTATAAAAACACTAAAACAGGCTTCATTAAGCCCGGGACTATGAAGACTAAAGGAGCAGAGGGCAGTCTTACGTGCTGGCAGGGCGGGCAGAACCACTCTCCGTCTGGGATGACCATCAGAGGTGGTCTGAGGCAGGCTGTGTGGTAACCACTGTCACAGGAGTCACACAGCAGGATCTGAAAGGACAAGAGTGAGACCAGAGTGAGACCAGAGAGAGACCAGAGAGAGAGAGAAAGCAGAGAGACCAGAGAGAGAGAGAGAGAGAGAGAGAAGAGAGAGAGAGAGAGAGAGAGAGAGAGAGAGAGAGAGAGAGAGAGAGAGAGAGAGAGAGAGAGAGAGAGAGAGAGAGAGAGAGAGAGAGAGAGAGAGAGAGAGGAGAGAGAGAGAGAGAGAGAGAGAGAGAGAGAGAGAGAGAGAGAGAGAGAGAGAGAGAGAGAGCAGAGAGAGAGACCAGAGAGAGAAGACCAAAGAGAGAGACCAGAGATACCAGAGGGAGGTGCTCTGCTCTGGAGGTTCTTTATGAATCCAGAATTAAATCCAGATTTTAGAATAATCACTGATTCTTCTGGCCCCTGGAAAAGCCATGTTCCAGCTTCTTCCCTCTAGACATGCTAACAGCTTCTTTCAGCTGTTCTCAGTCTGAACAAAGCCCTTTAATGATCTTGTATTGACGCCGTTGGTTTTTGTTGGTTTCACACTGATGACTGTTTCTGTACTTTTTAGCTTGTTTTATGTCCTTAATCCTCCTTAATCTGAACCTGAATCTGGAAGTGTGTGATGAGGTGATGCAGAGGACTGACCAGTTCAGGGTGGTTGGGGAGGCCACAGTGCTTGCAGGGGTCTTCGTTCGGGGGCAGGTCGTCAGAGGAGCAGGATGACTCGGAGCTGCGCCTCTGCCTGTTGCGGTTGCGGCCCTTGCGTCTCCTTTCCACCTTGTAGTCCTCATCGCTGGTGTTGTCTGCCTCGCTCTCCTCGTACTCACTCTCCTCCTCCTCCTCCTCCTCCTCCTCGCTCTCCTCCTCGTCGTCCTCGGAGCCTTTCTTACGGCGCCTGGTGCGAGTGTTGCTCCAGCGGACCTTCCGACGCTTCCTCCCCTGAAGGAACGAGAGAGAGCGTTTATTACAACTTTCTTTATTATTTTCACAATAACAAATAACATTAGATCTTGAACAACACATTGTAGAGTAGTCTGTCTCCCACTCACAAACATGCCCTTGCTCAGGTCCAAATGAGAAAAATAAATTAACATGTCCAGGATCTTACATGTTAGAAAACAGACATGGTCTCTGTCTGCTGCTCTGACCCTCCACATGGTCCCTGACAATATTCCTCCTTTACTCAGTGATCTTATTGAGCCAGCAGGTGGCAGCAGAGCTCCGTGGGTGCTGGCTCAATAAAACACCGTCTACAGCCAAATCCCAGACAATATAATACAGGGGACACAGACGAAGAGGAAAAGAGTAAAAAATTTATTTTAAATTGACTGATTAATCAAAATCAGGCTGTACCTTCTTTGGCTGTCCGTCCTGCTCCGTGTCAGGGACCTTTTTCTCTCTGGGCTTCTTGGGCGCCTCCTTTGCCTGCTCCTCTTTCTCTTCGTCCTCTTCCTCGTCCTCCTCTTGGTCCTTGTCCTTCTTCTCTGCAGGCTCTGGCTCGGGGGCTGGCTTAGGCCCTGGTCTGATCCTAGGGGACCTCCTCAAACAGGGGCCTGTGTTGTCAGACTCCGAGTCCTTCTCCTCCTGCTGCAGCTCGGCTTTTCTCCGATGCCCCGCTTTCTGGCGGGGCCTCCTTCCCATCTTCTTCTGCGGCTGCTGCTTCTCCTCCTCCTTCTCCTCCTCCTCCTCTTCCTTGTCCCCCTTGGTTTCCTCCAACTTCTTCCCCTCCTTAGTTTCCTCCTCCTCCTTCCCCTCCTTGTCCCCCTTTGGCTCCTCCTCCTTTCCCATTTCTTCTTCTGCTCTTCCATTGGATTCTGTGTTCTTCTCCTCTGGGCTGGTGGCATTAGCCTTCTCTGCATCCCCTCTCTCCTCTGGTTGGGTTTTCTGGTCTGTAGTCCCAGCCTCCTTACCTTCACCTGTAGCAGAGTAGTCATAATGTAAATCAGACACAAAGAGATAGAGTAAGGCAGGGGTGTCCAAACCGGTCCAGAAAGGGCCGCTGTGGCTGCAGGTTTTCTATTAGACCCAACAGAAGCAGAGTAGACTCCAACCATTTCCTCAAGTGAGTTCAGTCTTAACCTGAAGATTCGAGGAAATGGAAGAAGTCTGCTCTGGTCCTGCTGGGTCTGATAGAAAACCTGCAGCCACAGCAGCCCTTTCTGGACCGGTTTGGACACCCCTGGAGTAAGGGTATGACAGTATATTAGATTAGTATAGAGTTTATGAGCACATTTGGTCTACGCCTGAAGTGGTCATCTATGACAAAAGAGGCTGATGGCTTTATGTTCACTACATTTGAAATCTTGAGCTAAAACAACTTTAACAGTACACTCCGAAACATCCTGTTCTGAAGAAAATTCAACCTTCAAGCTGAAAACATTTTTTGTCTCAAAATAGCAGATTATTGTCCAAAATATTAACAATGTTTTTTGGTTATCTTTTATACCAGACAATTGTAACAGCGATGTTATAAGACAGGGGGCGCAAGAGAACGACTTTAAATCAGCAATATCAGGCAATAACAACAACATGGACACGGACAGCACCAGAGTCAAAAATAATGTTAAATTACTGACCTGTAGTCTCTGCTTTCTCCTCGGCTGCAGCTTCGGGAGCAAGGATGGATTCTGGAGCTGCTTTATCTGCGTTCGACGTCTCCTCTTTCTTCCTTGCCTTTTCCTTGGTCTCCTCTTCCTTCCTAACATTCTCCTTGGTCTCCTCTTCCTTCCTTGCCTTCTCCTTGGTCTCCTCTTCCTTCCTTGCCTTCTCCTTGGTCTCCTCTTCCTTCCTAGCCTTCTCCTTGGTTTCCTCTTCCTTCTTAACCTCCTTCTTGGACTCCTCTCCTTTATTAACCTCCTCCTTTGGTTTCTCTTCCTTACTACCCTGCTCCTTCTCATCATGGCTTCCCTTCTTCTCTTTCAGACCTTTTGAAGCCTCCTTTTTAGAGGCTTTTGAATCTTCTGCTGTTTTACTCTGGTCTGATTTTGCGTCTTGAGTTTCTATTTCTACGGCTGCTGTGCTTTTTGTTTGAGGAGTGCCAGCTTTAGAAGTGTCTGAATCTTTACTCATTTTGGTCTCGATCTCTTCAAGTCTTTTTTTGACAGATTGCTTTTGAACATCCTCTAGTTTGTCTTTGGACGGCAGGACCTCCTCCGGCCTCTGCTTCTCTGACTCACATTTAGCCTTTGCTTTGTCGTCGTTAGCTTGCAACGCCTTCGCTGCTTGGTCGGTTTGTAAGGAACCATCATCAGCTGCCTTTGAATTCTCCTTCAACTTCAAAGAGTCTTCTGAATGGACGGATTTTGCCTTCACGGTTCCATCCAACTGGATGGTGTTTGGTTCTGCGTTAGTGTCCGATAGACTAGAACTGACCAGAGATTTAGCTTGGGATGGTTCACGTGTGTAGAGTTTGTCTACTTCCATGGTGTCTTCTTTGCTCCTCTGCTCTTCAGGCTCTATCGTGTTGTGATTGGGTGTTTTCTCCTTACAAAACTCTTTGTTCTTTACCACTATGGAATTACTTTCAGAGTCCGCTGTATTGCTTTGAGCCTCGTCCATTGCTGTGTCTTTCTCGTGGCCCTGACTTGCTCCTTCACAGTCCTTGGAAGACTCGTCGTCCTTCTCGGGCAGCTCTCCGTTGACATGTCGAATGACACTTTGAGATTCCCCTTTGGCAGCGTCTGTGGTTATGGCTGTGTTTGGGACCACGACACTGCTGCTGCCTTCAGTGAACTTCATGCCTCTCTTCTTGAGTGGGATCTTGGCTTGTTGTTCGCTCAGCCTCTCCTCCGACAGCTCGGTCATGGCGGGGGTCACCTCCATGGGCTCCTCCTTCACCGCCTTGGTTTCTTCAGAGGTCTTTTCTGCTGCCGCCTCTGGTTCTGCTGCTGGTTCCGGTTCAGGTTCTGGTTTGCACTCCGGCAGGCCGTTTACCGGAGACTGGAGATCAAGAAAAGTAGGTAAATCACAAAGTCATCAAGTAGATGAAGTGCAACACAAGAGTCTGGCACTTAACCATGCAGGCGCCACGGTGCGGTACAGTTTAACACGGCCGATTCTGTCAAGCAGGGTTTCAACATTCATTCAAACTCCTGCCACTAGATGGCGACATGTCAGTCTACCTCCTGAATTACATACTTAGCTTCTATAGTAAATATTGGATCAGTATGTGCCATCTATGGGGCAAGTATTGTCTACACCAAGCACCAACTGTGGGCCCTGTGCCCAGTGTCAGTGGAACACTGTTTCTCAGGGCCATCAGGAGGTTTGGAGGCGTTAGTTTTGCGGAGAACAAAGCTGGAAGAGCCCAAACACTCCCTCCAGCCTCTGCTACTTGTGCTTGCCATAATCGAGGGGACTGTAGGTGATGGAGAAGCCTCGACAAGTACAAATGTAATCACTACATAAACTTGGGCCATGCATGATATTTCTCTGATTAACAGAAAGCCTACATCTTTTCTCACAAGTCATCGCATCTTGAAATTAAGATGTCAAAATCAAGTGTTTTAGGAAAACATTCTTGAGGTCTTTAGCGTGAAGTGATGGTGATGATGCTTTGTGTAAATGGCGGCGCGTCCCCAGCCCGTACCCGGGTGTCCTCAGTCTTGACCTGGACCTCCTCCTCCTCCTCCTCTCTCTGCTCAGGCTTCGGGGACAGGGGAACGTCACTCGTGGGTTTGGGGGTGTCTTTGTTTTCCTCATCAGAAGATTCATCCTCAGACTTTTTCTCTTTTTCTGACACAAAAAACAACATCAACATTAACTTCAAGATTAGAACCATTTCTCCAGTGACAAAGAGAGAGACCAGAGAGAGATCAGAGACCAGAAGAAAACCCCCCTCCTCACCCTGCTCCTTTCTCCCTCTCCTCACCCTGTTCCTTCCTCCCTCTCCTCACCCTGCTCCTTCCTCCCTCTCCTCACCCTGCTCCTTGCCCCCCTCCTTGGCCTCCTCTTTGGCCTTGGCCTCCAGGTCTCGCTTCAGGAGCTCGGGATCGATCTGGGTCTTGAGCAGAGCCACCACCTCAGCCAGCTCGTTACGGTCCCTGAGAAGGAGAGGAGAGTCAGTGCTGGTCCCTCAGGAAGACCAGACACAAAACGCATGTTCCATACATCCTCATGGCTCATTAGACACAGTTTACATGTGGCACTCCCATGAGGCGGCCTCGTGTTGTCCTGTTCGCGTGTGCGCGTGCGTGCGTGCCTCTAACCTGACGATGCACTTCCATGAGGCGGCCTCGGTGTCGTCCTGTTCCTCCCTGTACATTCGGATGTTGTTGTCCCGGTCCAGTTGGAGCCAGTACATCAGTCCGTCTTTGTCGCGGCCGATCGGCAGAACCCTCATCTTCTCCGCCTCCTCCTCGTTTATCGCTGCCTTGAACTTCACGTTCTCATCGAACTGGCACTCGCACAGGTACTGAGGAGGAGAGCACAGGTACTGAGGACACAGGTACTGGAGGAGCATAGTGAGAGACCAGAGAGAGGGACCAGAGAGAGAGACCAGAGAGAGTGACCAGAGAGAGAGACCAGAGAGAGACCAGAGAGAGAGACCAGAGAGAGCGAGACAAGAGAGAGAGAGACAAGCGAGAGAGAGAGACCAGAGAGAGAGAGAGACCAGAGAGAGAGAGAGACCAGAGAGAGAGAGAGACCAGAGAGAGAGAGACCAGAGAGAGTGACCAGAGAGAGTGACCAGAGAGAGAGACCAGAGAGAGCGAGACAAGAGAGAGAGAGAGACCAGAGAGAGAGAGACCAGAGAGAGAGAGACCAGAGAGAGAGACCAGAGAGAGAGACCAGAGAGAGAGAGACCAGAGAGAGAGAGAGAGACCAGAGAGAGGGAGGGGCTAACCTTGAGTATGTCCGTCTTGCTCTCCATAGTCATGCTCTGGTATCCGTTCTGCTCGATCTCCCAGGCCCAGGTGGTGTTGGCCTCTTGGCAGCTCTGCAGAGAGAGAGGTTAGCAACACCCACTCACACTGCAGCATAGGACCCTCAGCATATATACAGTATGTATATACATGCTCTAAGCATGTATGCAGAGCATGTACAGTACAGACCAAAAGTTTGGACACAAACTTCATGACTATGAAAATGGTAGATTGCCTTCAGTGAAGGCATCAAACCTATGAATGAACTCATGTGAATTATGTACGTACTAAAAAAGTATGAAATTACTGAAAATATGTGTTATATACTGGTTCTTCAAAGTAGCACCTTTTGCTCTGATTACTGCTTCACTCTTGGCATTCTCTGGATGAGCTTCAAGAGGACCTGAAAAGGTCTTCAACAGTCTTGTAGGAGTTCCCATGATGCTTAGCACTTGTTGGCCCCTTCACTTTGTGGTCCAACCCCAAAACCATCTGGACTGGGTTCAGGTCCGGTGACTGTGGAGGTCATGTGACCCAGCACCATCACTCTCCTTATTGGTCAAACAGCCCTTACACAGCCTGGTGTGGATCTACAGCAATAGTCATGAAAAGAACTCAGTGAAGGAAAGGGTGTCCACATTTTTGATCTGTACTGTATATAAAGAGCATGTATAGAGCATGTATACAGAGCCTGTATATAGAGCATGTATAGAGAATGTATATACAGAGCATGTATACAGAGCAGTTAAAGAGGCTAACAAAGGCGTTACCTTGATGAGGTACTTCTCCCATCGATCCGCCGACACAGACTTCCCGATCTTCCTCAAGAGTTTCACGTGAAGATCCACCAGGAGCTTTGGGACTGAGCACAGGGACAGAGGCGTTAGTACCAGGAGCTTTAGGACTGAGCTAGGGCTGTCGATATGGCAAAAAAGTAAAATCTCGATTTTATTTCCTGCTTTGGACGATTTTGATTTTAAATCGATTTTCATTAAAGTCACGAAGACAGACTTTGCCCTTAAAAATATGTTTTTATCTTTCCGCTCAATATTCAAGTTTCAAAACTATTTTTAATTTGTTTCCCCAATACGTAATACAAAAGTGTTGTACAGACTGTGCTGATACTGAAAGTATAATTCATATGCTGCTCTCACAATATCCTTCATTCGATTTCACAATTTTCACATTTTTTCAAAAGCCAATTAATTGCCTAAATTCGATTTATTGCCCAGCCCTAGACTGAGCACAGGGACAGAGGCGATAGCATCAGGAGCTTTGGGACTGAGCACAGGGACAGAGGCATCAGGTAAACAGACATTAACAAACTAGTACACGTTCTGGACGTGATGGATCCAAAATCAAAGGAAACGTCAGAACAGCCTTTTGTTCAAGACGTGATTATTGTTCATTATTATTATTTCAGTGATCTGTGGATCTGTGTGACACATCCACAGATCAGGACTCAATCTATTAATAATAATAATCATTTTTATTTCAAAACAACAGTTACATGACAATCACAACTTTATTGGCTTAATGCGTATTTGTTTATTTAAATGGGAAAGTCCAACACATGTCTATGTAAATATATATATATATATGTGTTATACATATCCACGACATCGTCTCCCCACTGAACTCAAACAGACTGAAACAACGGTGTTCACATGTTTAATGAACTTAAATATTTTCATATGAGTAAATGTGTTTAGTCCGGTCTCACTACAGCAGCAACAGCAGAGCCAGTCCAGTCTTACTGTTGTGTCCATATCAATTACATATATTCAATAGTTAAATAAATATGACATTTAGCCACGAAGGAGAGGTTCCCTCAGGAGGACGTTACAGACACAGCCACAGTTATTACACACACAAACATAAACACAGGCAAGGACAAAGATGCTCAGATCGTCCACACTGTGACTGCAGCGGTGATCGTCCACGAGCCACAGTTTGAGAAACGTGAAGGTTCTCTGGGATGATCCTGATGAGAGTGTTACTTAGTGCACTCGTATTCAGCAGTAATTTAAAGAAATGTCAGACTTTTATTTATTTCTATTGGTATGTATTATTCTATGTTTACTTTACCTTACTTACAACGAGAGCCAAAGCACTTCCTGTTGCTCACATAGTCCTTCACATAAACACTAGAAGATGAGGAGGAGCCAGACCATTCAACACAAGAACAAGATCATGGTATTTCATAATGTTTATGATAAAGCCTGTGTTGAGTTTAAGCCCACATGTCTCTTTGGCTCCAGTCGCTCCATCACAAACGCTCCCACAACATCTGTCAAGCTGCCCGCAACACGCGCTCATCGACCGGAAGTTACTAAATACTTTTGAATGAGGCTAAACATCAACATGTGGTTTTTATTTATATATTTACTTTATTGATTAAAGTGCATGCACTCTACGACCTAGTCTTGATCGAAGTTTATCTTCAGATACTCATTTTTTATAAAGAAGTTTTATATTTCAAAAGCCCAAACCGGAAGTTCCCATTGTTATTCTTTGTGACTCTGCAAAACGCCAACAGCGCGAGCTATATTAACTCTTAATAGAGAACAGTGCAACATTACGTCAATGGAAAAGTACAATACAATGACAAATGTTCCCGTCGCGGTTGGAGATGTGTTATTACAGGCATGAGCGGAGTCTCCTCGGGCTCCGTCAGGTTCTCCGCGGTCATGCCTCACGAGCAGGACTCAGATAAAGGCTAATGCTGAGAACATTCTGCACAATTCAAAATGTCCAAAGTGACAGAAAGGCTCGGTCACAGCAGGCCTTCTTTATCACATCAAACATCATCCAACACACACTGGCACATGCAGTAAAGCCCAGAAGCCCAAACAGGAATATAAAGGTGTTTTAAGTCAGCGAGTGTTGTGTAAAAGCACACAATAACACACAAGCAGCTAACGGAGATGCTAGCTGTTAGCATCAGCGGCAGTACTGCCTCCTCCCTCCTGCTCCTGCGCCTCTCTCCGCGGGCTCACCTGAGGATGTGTCCCGCAGGTAGCGCTCGAGCTGCGGGAAGGTGAGCTCCGGTAGGTCCAGCTGGGCTCCGTACCGCTCCAGGAAAGAGCAGATGACAGCGAAGCTCGGGCACAGACCGGGGGCACAGCTCGCTGTTGCCGCCGGAGCAGCCATCTTTTCCACACACCAGCGTCAAGTCAGCACGCTCTACGGACAGCGAGGCCACTTCCGCTTTACAAAATAAAATTATTCGTTCAGCGAGGCCACTTCCGCTTTACAAAATAAAATGATTCGTTCAGCAAGGCCACTTCCGCTTTACAAAGTAAAACAAGCCCAGGCATTACTCGTTGTAACTGTCATAAGTCACAATCTCCGGGCTGCAATTGTGACCTGCACGCGACGGTACGTGCCCAAGCACTGATAAATCCGTGCCGGAGGCACGGAATGGCTTTGCTCCTGCTGTAGTGCACAGTGAAATGATTGAGGTCCTATTAAAGGGGTGGGTTACTTCAACTGTCTTACGGACGAATGTCCGGGCTTTCCCAAGCCCGACGGCACGTGCCCAGACACTGATATAACAGTGCCGGAGGCACTGAATGGCTTTGCTCCTGCTGTAGTACACAGTGTAATGAATGGGGTCCTATGGAGGGGGTGAGTGACCTCATGATGGCGAGCGTTCGTCTGCTCGTTCGCTTTAAAACGATGTATCATTTGTATTACACGTTACTATGGAAACCTATATTGTTTTTGCTCGAAGATTTTTGAAAAAAAATTACTTCATTTGGTTTCTTTCTTTCTTTTTTCTTCTGCACTTTGAACCTTAATTTGACCCCCTGAACATTGACGAAAAGTTGGGAAATTTGGCCCAAAATTCAGAACCGGCAAAAAAAATATTTTTTTGGTGGTTATTTTTATGGGGAAAAAAAATGCCCGAACAGCGCCCCCTATAAAAGTCAGTTTACATTGCGCCTATGGGAGTGGGTCGGAGGTCAAGTTTGTCGTAGAGCCACAAAATTTGGTACACATGTTCCTCAAGTCAAGACATGAAAAAAAAGTTATTATGAAAATGTATCTTTTTCACACATGTCAGTTGGAAATCATCTCCTCCACGGCCGTTTCACCGATTTGTCTCAAAATCGCTCCACATGGTCTAAACACATGTACCATCAATAGTTGAATACAGAATTCGGATCAGTTAAACTTTGTCCGAGCAGCGGAGCGGCAAAATGTGACATTTTAATCCATTGTTCAGCTCCAGAGTTTAGGTCATTTGAAATAATGAAATTGGCTCATTAGCGCCCCCTACATATCAAAGTTTTGCATTGGCTTGATCCAATTTAGTTTTTTCAAAATGTTTGAAATTTTGCACATAATTCTGTTTTGTCATCTGGATTAAGAAAATCAATGACAACATATGATTCTTTTTTACCCTGTTGCCGTGGCGATGACCAACACTCCCCTGTCTGTGTCTATGGGAAAATCATTATACTGTATCTCTGAAAAGTACACCTCGCTCAAACATCAAACCAGCCTTGGCCGTTTCACTAATTTGGCTGTAAATCGCTCCACATCGTCTCAACACATGTACCATCAATAGTTGAATATAGAATTTGAATTAGTCAAACGGTCTGCGCGTGACTCTCAGACTCCCAGAGTGTGGTTATTTTCATACAGAGGTGTGAAGTTCCCATCCAATGGAGACAGTATGACACACTCACAGATTGTATGTGCAAACAGGAGCACATTTACAAACTCTGATATTCACTAAACTTGACTCGATTGTTCAAGTCCTGGGCCTAGGTCACATGACAGTGTGAACAATGACATTGGCCCATTAGCGCCCCCTACAGGCTGAGTAAAGGTTTACATGAGGATAAAGGTATTTAGGTTTTCTGTTGTTTGATCTCATATTTGACCCTCTGAAGAAATATAAAAACTCAACAAACTTTGCCACAAGTTTTTTTCTGGCATAAAGTGTATTATTTTTGTGTTCTTTGGTGTAACACTAAAAAATTGAAATTGTAGGGGACGCTATTTTATAACATAAATGCCACCATTTTCACATACAAAGTCCGATTTGCACAAAATTTAAATTGATTGTTCAACTCTCGGGTTTGGGTAAACTGAAAGATGAAATTGCAGCAATAGCGCCCCCTACAGACTAAGTCAAGTACTACATGGGGAGAATGACGTTTGCCTTTTCAAAGACACACACAATCACTGATCATAGGCATTCAAAATGCACAGTGTCGCTCCCGTCAGGGCGGTATGAAAATGGCGCGACAGCGCCACCTCGGTTGCGTTGCGCGGCGAGGGCCGTTCGACGCAGCTTGCGGCTTTAATGTTTGTTTCTGTGTAAGGGTTGTGTGTTTTTGTGTTAGGATTGTGTGTTTTTGTGTTAGGGTTGTGTGTTTTTGTGTTAGGATTGTGTGTTTTTGTGTTAGGGTTGTGTGTTTTTGTGATAGGGTTGTGTATTTCTGTGTTAGGGTTGTGGTTTTCTCTGTAAAGGTTGTGTGTTTCTGTGTTAGGGTTGTGTGTTTCTGTGTAAGGGTTGTGTGTTTTTGTCTTAGGGTTGTGTGTTTTTGTGTTAGGGTTGTGTTTTTCTGTGTTAGGGTTGTGTGTTTCTGTGTAAGGGTTGTGTGTTTCTGTGTTAGGGTTGTGTGTTTTTATGATAGGGTTGTGTGTTTCTGTGTTAGGGTTGTGTGTTTCTGTGTAAGGGTTGTGTGTTTCTGTGTTAGGGTTGTGTGTTTTTATGATAGGGTTGTGTTTCTGTGTTAGGGTTGTCTGTTTTTATGATAGGGTTGTGTGTTTTTGTGTAAGGGTTGTGTGTTTCTGTGTTAGGGTTGTGTGTTTTTGTGTTAGGGCTGTGTGTGTTTTGTGATTGGGTTGTGTGTTTTTGAATGTAGATTTGTATCTTGAGTGATCTTCACGGTCCTCAGTGTTCACCTTCATCAGAGCCTCTCAGTCTCTGCATCCAGCTGCTCTTCGTGCAACAAACTGCCTCCTCCCTCACAGCTCATCTGTGGAAGAATCGTCATGTTGTCGTCTCAGTCCCCTCCCCCACAGGGTCGAAGCCCAGGAGGTCCACCAGCACAGGGTCGAGGTCCAGGAGGTCCACCACAGGGTCGAGGCCCAGGAGGTCCACTACCACAGGGTCGAGGCCCAGAACCACACGACGCGCCTGTTTTCTCATCGAGCAGCTCCAATAAATTCATGCAAAAGTAAACATCGTGTAAACCTTAAAATATCTTGATGAGAAAAACGTGAAGGAAACATCTCTGACATCTTCTGTAACATAAGAAACACAAACCCAAATCAATGGAACTATCTTTATTTCACATTTATTACACAATAAATACAGATGAACAAAGACGGAGGAAACTCAAACTAGATAAGTGTTTTAACACAACAAAATAAACTTCAAAAACAAGTTTGATGTCATTCAGATCTCAAGGAGATCAACAAAACACAGCAACATGGCTGACGTTCTTAGAACTACACAGCAACATGGCTGACGTTCTTCGAACTACAGTTCCTCACTGTCTCTGGGTTCAAGGTTTTAATTAAAGCACAGAATGTGCTTCGTTTTCTTCAAACCATCAACAGTTGAAAGTTCTTTTCAGCCTTGACCCAGAAGAGCGTCAAACTGAACCCCATTGTTCTGAGCAGAACCATCTGCAGGTTTCTGTAAACACATAAAGATCCAAAACAATCTGACAAAAGGCTAATGCTAAATCAGCAGGAGCTGCGCTCACTAGGACTGTTAAAAACATCTGCAATCTACAAACAATACTGTTTATGAACAGAGGGCTGCTGAAGAGTGTTAACTACTTTGTTTACCCTCACATGTGGGGACCTGCACATGTTGGGACCTGTACATGTGGGGACCTGCACATGTGAAGACCTCCATGTGGGGACTTGCACTTGTTGGGACCTCCATGTTGGGACCTGTACATGTGGGGACCTGCAAGTAAGGTCCTGCACATGTGGGGACCTCCATGTAAGAGCTTGCAGATGTGGGGACCTCAATGTAAGGACCTGCAGTTGTGAGGACCTCCATGTAAGGACCTGCACATGTGGGGACCTCCATGTAAGGACCTGCACATGTGGGGACCTCCATGTAAGGACCTGCACATGTGAGGACCTCCCTGTAAGGACCTGTACATGTGAGGACCTCCATGTAAGATCCTGAACAAGTGGGGACCTCCATGTAAGGACCTGTACATGTGGGGACCTGCACATGTGAGGACCTCCATATAAGGACCTGCACATGTGAGGACCTCTGTGTAAGGACCTGCACATGTGGGGACCTCTGTGTAAGGACCTGCACATGTGGGGACCTCTGTGTAAGGACCTGCACATGTTGGGACCTCTTCACGAGAAGAGGTCACGAGAAGCTATAGGACAGTCAAGGTACAGAACTTCTCACAGGCTCCAGTTCCACGACTTTGAGATGTTCTGATCCCGACAGAACCTGCTCCTGTCTGCAATAATGTCATACACTGTCTTCCGTAAGCCGGTCCCTTTCCCTACTTCTTTCATCCCTCCATTGTTGTGTAAAAATGCCTGAATCATATCATATACATGGTGTCACAAATTCAGAAAAGAAAATGGTGGATTGAGTGAGGAGCCGGTATATAAAACAGAAAAGTACAGAATGATATTTGAACAGTTGGACCTCAGCAACATCTCCACACACTCTCAGTTGTGTGTCGGTGTCTAAAAAAACACTCATCATTTTGCTTTCACTTCATAGATCCTTACTTTGTTTCTTTCGGTGAAAGAAAATCTATGTTTGTGTCCAAGACAAAGTGGACACTTTTGCAAAGCAGATATAGTTACATTACTTTTATTCACAACACATCACATGATACATGGATGTTTTGTTTTTGACAGAACACACTTTTAATACAAGTTACATTTAACACTGTTTTTTATTTAGTCTTTATCCAATCAGGAAAGTCTTATTGGAATTAAGACCCTCTTTTTCTTGGAGGTAAATGATGGAAGTAGCTCCACCTCGCAGCAGACCAGCTTCAGGTCAGTTTAATGTAAATAAAAAAGTAATTTGAGTTACGTTAGTTGTAACTAATTCATACACTTACTACAGATGTATCCAAACACTGATCATGAGCAGTGACTGTCGTTCCCAATGCCACCAGCAGAGGGCGGCAGTGGACAGATCTATATCATCAGCTCCCTTTTCTCCCCACAGACATTATTTAAAACAGAAATCCAAAGTCAAAGTTCAGTCGTGGCCAAAGTGAAGAGACAGTTCAGTATCATACAGAACCTCGTGTCTTGTTTATTCTCATTCTGTGGAACGTCCAGACTCTGTGCCAGAAAAGTGACTCAGTGCACCTTTAAACAAACAACAGAAACATAATGCACATGTTTAATTCTCCCACTGGCGAACACTTTTCACATTGCCACTTTTCCCTTTGTTGAGCTCGGCTGCAGGAGAGGACCAGCCTCTGCTCCCATGCAGACCGTTTGGTTTGTGGTCCAATTATGACACATTCTGAAAGTAGAACCTTCTCTGAGCTGCATAGTGACCCACTGTGCTCATTAATGTAGTTATTTACTATATATTTATTTAGTAATATTGGGTCAGAACCAGGTACGTCCATCAATAATGGTCATGGCAACCTTTTATCCCTTCGCTTTATCCATACACTTTCCCTTCTATAAAATATCAAATATGAATGTGTTCTACAGCCTCAGTCCTGGGTCTACAGCCTCAGTCCTGGGTCTACAGTCTCAGTCCTGGGTCTACAACCTCAATCCTGGGTCTACAGCCTCAGTCCTGGGTCTACAGCCTCAGTCCTGTGTCTACAGCCTCACTCCTGGGTCTACAGCCTCAGTCCTGGATCTACAGCCTCAGTCCTGGGTCTAGGGCCTCAGTCCTGGGTCTACAGTCTCAGTCCTGGGTCTACAGCCTCAGTCCTGGGTCTACAGCCTCAGTCCTGGGTCTGATCCTCTGATCTGTGTTGGTGAATCGACAGCTTTGTGAAGTCCTAAAGATAAATACTGTTGTGATAATGAGGGTGTGAGGGCAGATCCGCTTCTAGTCCTGTGTGAGGGCAGATCCGCTTCTGGTCCTGTGTGAGGCAGATCCGCTTCTGGTCCGGTGTGAGGGCATATCCACTCCTGGTCCTGTGTGAGCTCAGACCAGAGTGATCTCCACCTCGTCTCTCCTCTTCACCTGCCCTCGAGGATGCTGCTTAGGAGGAGGAGGAGCCGCACGCACCTGTGGACCATCATTTATACTGTTACCGAAGCTAAGAGAGACCAGAGAGAGACCAGAGAGAGAGACCAGAGAGAGAGACCAGAGAGAGACCAGAAAGAGAGACCAGAGAGAGACTAGAGAGAGACCAGAGAGAGAGACCAGAGAGAGAGACCAGAGAGAGACCAGACAGAGAGACCAGAGAGAGTGACCAGAGAGAGACCAGAGAGAGACCAGAGAGAGACCAGGATACACCCCCTCTGCTGCTGCAGAATGATGTGGACACTTTGTGGCCTACTTTCCCTGGTGTTTTGTATCTACATAAACCCATGTCTGAAACAGGAAGAGCATTAGCACCAGAGTCATCCTCAGACAGTACTCACAGGTCGAATGGATCCAGTGGGAGTATCCGGATACTTGGGCGGCTGTGGAGACCCTTGGACTGGACCTGGGGCAAAACATAGTTCACTGGACGTGCACGTAAACACTGGTGTTTCATGTGTTGGACGTGCACGTACAGTAAAACAGTCTGGACAATTCAATTTCATCTGTGGATTGCACTAAATCAGATGTGGCTATGTCCCACAAGCTTTTAAAAGCGCTGTAATCAAACCCCTCCTGAAGAAAACAAACCTGGATCCAGAACTACTTACAAGCTACAGACCGATCTCAAACCTTACTTTCATATCCAAAATCCTGGAAAAGCTTGTAGCTGAACAGCTTTGCTGCCACCTACAGGAAAATAACATGTTTGAAGTCTTTCAATCAGGATTCAGAGCTCATCATAGACTGAAACGGCACTAGTCAAAGTCACAAATGACTCACTACTAGCTGCTGATAATGGACAAGTGTCAGTGTTGATCTTACTAGACCTTAGCGCTGCATTTGACACAATAGACCACAGCATTCTACTGCAGAATCAGAATCATTTTTATTGCCACGTAAGTAACAGGAGGTCACAGACTTGGAAATTGCTTTGGCTCGGTGCAACAGTCAGAAGAGAGGTAAGGGTAGAGAGGGCATAATAAAAAATAAAGAATAAAAAACACTTCTAAGGAATAAATTTAAAATAAAAAATTAAAATAGAGTTACAATTACTATATACAATATACAGTGCACATGGTGCACACAATGTAAGGTGACAGCAGTACAGTGAAGTAAAGAGACGTATGATGGGCAGTAAAGTGACTATATAAAGAGCAGTAGGGGACTTTTAGGGCGGGGAGGTTAAGAAGACATCAACTGTTCAAGAGTCCAATAGCAGAGGGGAAGAAACTGTTCTTGTGGCGGGAGGTTCTAGTCCTGATGGACCGCAGCCTCCTGCCTGAGGGGAGTGGTTGGAATAGTCTGTGTGCAGGGTGAGAGGGGTCGGCAGTGATACGACCAGCCCGGCCTCGATCTCGGGCGATGTACAGGTCCTGTAGCGATGGGAGGCTGCGGCCGATCACTTCCTCTGCAGAGCGCACGATGCGCTGTCGTCTCTGCTTGTCCCTGAGTGTTGCTCCAGCGAACTACACAGTGATGGAGGAGGTGAGGATGGACTCGATGATGGCCGTGTAGAACTGCACCAACATCTGTGCAAGCAGCTTGGCTTTCTCGAGCTGCCGTAGGAAGTACATCCTCTGCTGGGCCTTCTTGATGAGGGAGCTGATGGTCGGCTCCCACTTGAGGTCCTGGGTGATGGTGGTGCCCAGGAAACGATAGGACTCCACAGAGGTGATGGGGGAGTCCATCACAGAGGGTGGGGGCGGGGGGACTGTGCTCTTCTTGAACTCCACAATCATCTCCACTGTCTTCTGGGCGTTCAGCTCCAGGTTGTTGCCACTGCACCAGGACACCAGCCGGTCCACCTCCCTCCTCACGGAGTCGTGGCTGGAGGTGCAGTGGTTGGTGTTCAGGGAGAAGAGCAGGGGAGAAAGAACACAGCCCTGTGGGGCTCCTGTATTTATAATCCCAGAGTCCGAGACATTCTTCCCCAGACGCACTCGCTGTTTCCTGTCTGTCAGGAAGTCAGTGATCCACCTGCAGGTGGAATCTGGCACGTTGAGCTGGGAGAGCTTGTCCTGGAGCGGGGATGGCAGGATCGTGTTGAAGGCAGAGCTGAAGTCCACGAACAGGACCCTGGCGTAGGTCCCCAGGGAGTCCAGGTGCTGTAGGATATGGTGGAGGGCCAGGTTAATGGCGTCATCTACAGATCTGTTGGCTCTGTAGCGCGAACTGCAGGGGGTCCAGGAGGGGGGAGGTGAAGGACTTGAGGTGGGAGAGGACCAGGCGCTCAAATGACTTCATGACGACAGACGTAAGTGCCACAGGTCTGTAGTCATTGAGTCCTGTGATCCTGGGCTTCTTCGGGACGGGGACGATGATGGAGGATTTGAAGCAGGCCGGGACATGGCAAGACTGCAGAGAGGTATTGAAAATGTCATTGAAGACAGGAGTTAGCTCACTGGCGCAGTGTCTCAGAGTGGCTGGAGACACATGGTCCGGGCCAGGAACTTTGCGGGGGTGCAGCCTCAAGGACAGTCTTTTGATGTCTTCTGAGGCTATTGTCAGGGTGGGGGCAGAGCTGATGGATGGGTCGTTAGAGTAATGGAGGATGGGGGAGGTGTCCGGGGTAGCGTCGAAGCGGCTGAAAAACCTGTTCAGGTTGTTTGCAAGCTTGTGGTCGTCAGCACAGAAGGGGGCTTTGGGCTTGTACGTAGTTGGTGATCTCCCGTTGGCCTCTCCAGACAGAACTAGTATCGTTTTTTCCAAACTGCTCCTGTAGTCGTTCTCTGTGCCGTGACTTAGCTGCTTTCCTGAACTGATATTTAGCCGCCTTGTAGCCGCTGCGGTCCCCCTCCCTGAAAGCAGACTCCTTTGCTTTCCTGAGCTGCCGGAGTTTAGCAGTGAACCAGGGTTTGTCGTTGATGGAATTATGCTGTCCTCACAGAAGTGAATATATGACGTCACAGTATCCGTGTAGTCATCCAAGCTGTCTGTGGCAGCTCTGAAAATGTCCCAGTCTGTAGATTCCATGCATGCGCGCAGCTCCTCCACAGCCTCATCAGACCACACCTTATCGGATCGGTATCACTTTGTCATTGTGAGTGGAAATCAGTGTGCCCCAGGGATCGGTGCTCGGACCGATTCTTTTCACTCTCTACATGCTACCGTTAGGAAACATCATTAAAAAGCATGGAGTTAATTTCCACTGCTATGCAGACGACACACAGCTTTATCTGTCGATGAAACCAAATCAGACGAATCAGTTGAAAAGGCTTAGTGCTGCATAAAGGACCTTAAAACGTAGCTGACTCTTAACTTTCTACTGCTTAACCCGGAGAAAACAGAAGTGATCCTACTCGGTCCAAAGCGCCTGCGTGACTCCCTCGCCGACCAGATAATCACTCTCGATAATGTCAGTATTGTACCCAGCAACACTGTGAGGAATCTTGGAGTCCTTTTTGACAAAGAACTCTCCTTTAAGGCTTATATAAACCAAGCAACTAAAACTGCATATTTCCACTTGCGGAACATCGCTAAAATCAGGAATATTCTAAAAGTGACGCGGAAAAACGAATCCACGCCTTTGTCCCCTCAAGGCTTGACTACTGTAACGCTCTGCTGGCAGCGTGCCCTAAAACGTCTTTGAAGAGCTTTCAGCTTGTTCAAAAGACAGCAGCAAGGATCTTAACAGGCACCAAAAGGAGGGAACACATAACTCCGGTGTTAAAATCACTCCATTGGCTTCCTGTGGAGTACAGAATAAAGTTTTAAATTCTTGTCTTGGCATACAAAGCCATAAATGCCTTGGCTCCCTCTTATCTTCAAGACATGTTAATGTCTTATCAACCAAGCCGAACGCTGCGCTCGCAAAACGCCAGACGTCTGGTGGTCCCTAAGGTTTCAAAAAGCACTGTCGGTGGAGGAGCATTTAGCTCCAAGCTCGTTTACTATGGAATCAGCTCCCCACGCACGTTAAGGAAGCAGACACTGTCTCTACATTTAAGGCCAGGCTTAAAACACTCTTCTTCAACTTAGCATTTGGCTAAGGTCCGCTGCATCTTCAACCCTACGCTCTAGGCTAGGCTAAAGCAGTCCTCTTAAGGCGCGTTCAGACCAAAAGCTTCAAAAAGCTTTTGACGCGCTTCAACTGACGCCGGGATAGTTTTGTCATTTTGGTGCTTGAAGCTTTTGACGCGCCTGACGCCGGTGGGAGGAGCTTCTCTGTTGCCTGTAGTCAGGACAGCGGTGGATTTTTCAATGAGCAGCGAGCCTTTATTTGTTATATAAAGCAAAATAACGTTGTTGTAGGGCTTCAACAAAACATGTTCTGGGTTCACCACAGACTTGAGAGGCTGCAGTGTTTGCAGAGTTCCGTCATTTACTCCAGGAGCTGTGTACGGAGGAGTTTCGCTTTCAGCGGTACTTCCGCATGTCACTCGCCCAGTCTGAGTTCTCAAACCCCGGAGCTCGCCTCTCCCCGCCTCGCTCTCGCCTCTCCCTGCCTCCCCCTGCCTCTCCCCTGCCTCTCCCCGCCTCGCTCTCGCCTCCCCCTGCCTCTCCCCGGCTCTCGCTCGCCTCTCCCTGCCTCCCCCTGCCTCCCCCTGCCTCTCCCCGGCTCTCGCCTCTCCCTGCCTCTCCCCGGCTCTCGCTCGCCTCTCCCTGCCTCCCCCTGCCTCTCCCCGGCTCTCGCCTCTCCCTGCCTCTCCCCGGCTCTCGCTCGCCTCTCCCTGCCTCTCCCTGCCTCTCCCCGGCTCTCGCCCGCCCAGAGCTGCCTTGCTCTGAGCCAGACTCATCGTCAGCCTGTTCTTATTTTAAATAAACTACGTTTACTACACAGCATGTGTACAATGATTTTTGTTACTCAGAATTTTACTACTCATACAAATAATATTACTAATAACAATAATGACAATAAAACAGCAGCAGCAGATACATGACTTCGCTCCATGACAGAGACAGACCCTCTGCTGCTGCTGCTCCTCGTCTCCTGATTGGTTGAAGCCCGCGTCAAAGCTTCAAAAGCTCAGCTTTGCTCAGCTTCGGCGTCAGAGGGATTGTTGTGATACGCGAGCGTTTCGCGCGTCAAAAGCTTCAAGTGAGCGCGTAGTACGCGCGACTCTTGAAGCTTTTGACGCGCGTCAAGTGACGCCGGGGCTCTCGGCTTCACCTGACGCGCTTCACCATTCACTTTCAATGGAAACCTGACGCTTTTGACACCGAAGTTAAGTCCGGTGTGAACGCCCCTTTAGTTTAGCATATGGCTAGGAAGGTAAGACTCAGGGAAGGCTAAACTCCTCAGACTGTCAGTCAAGCTGCATAGGGAGTCAGTTTGCTGGGAGAAGTATGGTAACTTGAGCGCTATCCTCTCCTCCTTCCTACTTTGTCTGTTTAGCATTATTAGGATTTTGACTGCAGTCTGTTATTATATAGTCTGTTGCTTTTCACCCGTTGTCCCATTGTCTGTTTCATCTGCACCTGCCCGACCGGCCTGGAGCTGCTTCAGTCCTGCACCGGACCTGTCCACGTGCCACAGAGTCCTGGGTCTACAGCCTCAGTCCTGGGTCTACAGCCGCAGTCCTGGGTCTACAGCTGCAGTCCTGGGTCTACAGCCTCAGTCCTGGATCTACAGCCTCAGTCCTGGATCTATAGCCTCAGTCCTGGGTCTACAGCCTCAGTCCTTCTTCTACAGTCTGAGTCCTGGATCTACAGCCTCAGTCCTGGGTCTACAGCCTCAGTCCTGGATCAACAGCCTCAGTCCTGGATCTACAGCCTCAGTCCTCCTTCTACAGTCTGAGTCCTGGATCTACAACCTCAGTCCTGGGTCTACAGCCTCAGTCCTGGATCAACAGCCTCAGTCCTGGATCTACAGCCTCAGTCCTCCTTCTACAGTCTGAGTCCTGGATCTACAGCCTCAGTCCTGGGTCTACAGTCTGAGTCCTGGATCTACAGCCTCAGTCCTGGGTCTACAGTCTGAGTCCTGGATCTACAGCCTCAGTCCTGGATCTACAGCCTCAGTCCTGGGTCTAAAGCCTCAGTCCTGGGTCTACAGCCTCAGTCCTGGGTCTACAGCCTCAGTCCTGGGTCTACAGCCTCAGTCCTGGATCAACAGCCTCAGTCCTGGATCTACAGCCTCAGTCCTCCTTCTACAGTCTGAGTCCTGGATCTACAACCTCAGTCCTGGGTCTACAGCCTCAGTCCTGGATCAACAGCCTCAGTCCTGGATCTACAGCCTCAGTCCTCCTTCTACAGTCTGAGTCCTGGATCTACAGCCTCAGTCCTGGGTCTACAGTCTGAGTCCTGGATCTACAGCCTCAGTCCTGGGTCTACAGTCTGAGTCCTGGATCTACAGCCTCAGTCCTGGATCTACAGCCTCAGTCCTGGGTCTAAAGCCTCAGTCCTGGGTCTACAGCCTCAGTCCTGGGTCTACAGCCTCAGTCCTGGGTCTACAGCCTCAGTCCTGGATCTCCTGGGGGAGGACTCACTGTGGTAGGGGCTCTTGAGCGGAGCAGGGGGGGCTCGGTGGTGGCCGTTGCTGTAGGAGGGGGGGCGGCCGATGGGGGAGGCAGAGGACGGACTGGACAGAGGAGACGACAGGGGGGGGGTCTGCAGGGGGCTGCTGTGGAGGGGCTCAGGGAGGAACAGGCCCCGAGGAGACTGCTCACTGTAGCTCAGGGCGGAGGGAGAGGCCTGGACACACACAGACAGACACACACACATACACACACAGAAAGACAGACACACACACATACGCGCACACAGAGACACACACACACAGATTCACTTTATTTGCCATGTGCAGTATAAAAACCACATTGGAATACATTTGCAAAAAAGGCACTCTGTGCGCACCAACAGAAAAAGCACAATGTAATATAATATAAATTACACTGAACATAAACAAAAACCTGTGTCCCTGTGAGCCTCTGTACTAGTGAGCCCGTGTCCCTGTGTACCTGTGATACGGTGTGCCTGTGTACCTGTGATCCCGTGTCCTGGGTCAGATCCTCCACCAGCACAGCGGGGAACAGGCCTGTGATGCCGTTGAACTCTCCCTCCCAGAAGCCGTCGTCCTCCTGCGTCTCTCGGCTCAGGATGCGGATGATGGCGCCCTCTGGGAACGACAGCTCGTCCTGTGTCTGCGCCGCGTAGTCGTACAGCGCTTTGGCCAGACACACTGCGGCACACACATTTCACCGTCAGACTAATATCAGAATAATTATCATCATAATAATCAAAATAATAATAATAATATTAATAACAATATAGAGTCTAGGGTCTGGTCTCTGCTTTCTAATACATTCAAAACACCACTCCTCTCACATTAGTCCCGGTCTCAGGTCTCTGTCCTGAAGTCCTCTCACATTAGTCCCGGTCACAGGTCTTTGTCCTGAAGTCCTCTCACATTAGTCCCGGTCTCAGGTCTCTGTCCTGAAGTCCTCTCATATTAGTCCTGGTCTCAGGTCTCTGTCCTGAAGTCCTCTCACATTAGTCCAGGTCTCAGGCCTTCATCCTGAAGTCCTCTCACATTAGTCCTGGTCTCAGGTCTCTGTCCTGAAGTCCTCTCACATTAGTCCCGGTCTCAGGTCTCTGTCCTGAAGTCCTCTCACATTAGTCCCGGTCTCAGGTCTCTGTCCTGAAGTCCTCTCACATTAATCCCGGTCTCAGGTCTCTGTCCTGAAGTCCTCTCACATTAGTCCTGGTCTCAGGTCTCTGTCCTGAAGTCCTCTCACATTAGTCCAGGTCTCATGTCTCAGGTCTCTTTCCTGAAGTCCTCTCACATTAGTCCTGGTCTCAGGTCTCCGTCCTGAAGTCCTCTCACATTAGTCCCGGTCTCATGGCCCCGGTGTTGAAGTCCTCTCACATTAGTCCCGGTCTCAGGTCTCTGTCCTGAAGTCCTCTCACATTAGTCCTGGTCTCAGGTCTCTGTCCTGAAGTCTTCTCACATTAGTCCTGGTCTCAGGTCTCTAGGGGTGCAACCGTTTGAAAAAATCACGGTACGGTTCGTACCTCGGTTCAGAGGCCACGGTTCGGTTCATTTTTCAAAAAAAAAGTTTTGTCTTTTTAATAAACACGGCTCATGTGGACTCGGCACCTGCTCTGACAGCCCCCCCCCCAACCTAGAAATGAATTAAGGGGAAGAAAATGGATGGATGGATGGAAGGCGTATTCCATCCATCCAATTATGTCTTTTTAAAATAATTAATGAAAAACATAAGAAGGCACTTTATGAGGGTATTTATCCTCATCCCAAGGAGGCGGTCCATTCTGGGCCCAGTCCAGCCTCATTCACTGCATTTATTTAATTTTTAGCATTATCAGTTGTGACTGGGATATTAGTACTGGTCCTTTGTCTTCCATTCCTCCGCTGCTTGTGTCAGTACCTGCGCTGTGTGCCTGTGGGACTTTCGTAGAGGGGGCGTGTCTGCAGCGCCAGACTTTTCATCTCCCAGTCTGCTGTGATGAAGTTCTCCGTTCCGCTCATGGATCTATTATAGATTCCGCGGGACGTCCAAGCGTCAGTCGTGAGCACAGCTGAGGATGGACGGGAGAGTTGACTTTAGCCCGGTCTGACTGTGCGTAAAGGGGCTGCTTAAATGCCGCGGCAATAAGCGGTCGTTGAGACGCTTTTTTTCACTCATGTCTTTCTTGTGCCACAGTGCTTACACATCCTGACAGTTTTGTCGAATATTAATTATCAGTGTAGTTACAGTGAAGCCAAAATGCTCTCATACTGGAGATTTAAATGACGCGGGGCTTTCAAGCTCCTCCGTTCCTCTGCTCGCCGTGACCACGCTGTGTGTGGACTGAACAACGTGCGCACAACTTTTTTTTCATAAATCAAACCGCGGATCACGTCTGTACCGAACCGAAGACGTTGAACCAAACGGATCAGTGATGAACCGTTGCACCTCTACAGGTCTCTGTCCTGAAGTCCTCTCACATAATGGTCAGAGACAGCCAAGTCGAGGACACACCTGTGGTCAAACCAAAAGTAATGACCAGTTCAAGGGTGTGTCCTCAGTTGTGAGTAGCCTATGTGACGTTTTGAGTAAAATCCCTGTAATTATGAACAACTAAGAACTCCAGGGCTGCTGTCACCTAAAGACCCCTGGTGTACAGTGCTTGGGGACCTCTCACTGTCTCCAAAGGCCCCTGGTGTACAGTGCTTGGGGGCCCCTCACGTTCTCCTAAAGGCCCCTGGTGTACAGTGCTTGGGGGCCCCTCACTGTCTCCTAAAGGCCCCTGGCGTACAGTGCTTGGGGGCCCCTCACGGTCTCCTAAAGGCCCCTGGCGTACAGTTCTTGGGGGCCCCTCAATGTCTCCTAAAGGCCCCTGGTGTACAGTGCTTGGGGGCCCCTCACCGCCTCCTAAAGTTCCCTGGTGTACAGTGCTTGGGGGCCCCTTACCGCCTCCTAAAGGTCTGTAGTGTACAGTGCTTGGGGGCCCCTCACCGCTGCTGTCCCCGTTGGCCCCTGAGCCGGGGCCCATGTCCAGCTCTGGTTCTGTGGAGTTGCTGGAGGAGTGAGAGCGAGCGTCCAGAGCAGCCAGAGTCTGCAGCTCACTCAGCAGACTGTGGGAGGACGGCAGCTGTAGGTACTTCTCTGGGACATACCCCTCCTGACCATTGCGCTTCCGGGCCTGGGGACAGAGGACAGAGGGGACAGGAGAGAGGAGAGAGGACAGAGGACAGAGGGGAGAGGGGACAGAGGACAAAGGAGAGAGGGGACAGAGGAGAGAGGGGACAGAGGGGACAGGGGACAGAGGATAGAGGAGAGAGGGGACAGAGGACAGAGGCGAGAGGAGAGAGGACAGAGGACAGAGGAGAGAGGACAGAGGGGACAGAGGACAGAGGAGAGAGGACAGAGGACAGAGGAGAGAGGACAGAGGGGACAGAGGACAGAGGAGAGAGGACAGAGAACAGAGGGGACACATGTTAGCTAGGGCCATTGTGTGTGTGTCACCTGTGATCTCATTGGTCTAACACAGGGGTGTCAAACTTATTTTGGTTGAGGGCCGAAAAAAAAATTAAAGGGCCATTCAGGGGCCGAAAGAAGAAGTGGGTTTCATTTTTTATACTTTTTATAAGATGAAGGTATCTATATAAATGACTTGTTTCACATTACTTAGACTGGATATTCTTTTCTGATTAGATTTAGTTCAGTTCCTGTGGACTGGACCAAATATTGAAGGTTAATGTGAAGATTTTCTACTTCCGGGTGGATCATCAGACTATTGGTCCTCCCAACTGTCAATCATTCTGGTGATCCATGCTCGTGAAATAAGACCAGAGAGTTTTGTTCAAAAAGTGGAGAGGTCGTTTTTTTACTAACAAATTGGGAAATCCTCCTTGAAAGGTAGTTGAAGACTCGTAAAAACACAGCATAACAACTAACTTCTAATTACAAGTTGGCTTAACATTTCTTAAGGAATTAAAGACCTTATGACGGGTTTAAAAAAAAAAAATGTGGATATCAAAATTGCATGACAATGTCAATCTGAAAGAGATTCCGGCAAAAAAAAATCCTATATTTTATAAAAAGTCCCGTGTTTTTCATGAATTTAATTTGTCTATGCTCTAACCTGTTTGTGACGTCATAGCGGGTTACGCCCATGCATTGAAAACCATGGATCTATGCCACAGGACTGCCTTTTCTCTCTTCTCTCCACTGATGCCCAACACAATACTGCACTCTACAGGTGACAATTGCTCACTACACATAAATTGCCGTTTTGAGTGTGAAAAAGTGTCTGAGGTGGGATTTGAACCCAAGTATCTGGATTGGCATCGACACAACCACTGGACTATCTCAATGACAACGAAATGTTTCATTCTAGTAGTAATTTCACACTCACTGTACACGGCCTTGTCATCTTGAATATCCGCAAAAAAAGAACGAATACCAAATTGTAAAAAACTTGAAACGTACCCGCTCTGACATCACCAAGGGAAGTTTTTTCGTTTCTAAGGGCGTTGCTATGGGGTTATTTCGATTTGGGGGGATCAGACAAAAAAAACAACAACTGATTTTGAAACTAGGGTTGGGCGATATTTTTGTTGTACCGGTATACCGGTATAAGTAAATTAAATGATAAGAAAATGCCTTATACCGGTGAAAACGATCATTTAACACTGAAAACAGCGAGCGGAAGACACGTTTGTGTGCGGCGCACTTTGATGACGCATCTGCGCGACACGTGTAGCAGAGCGGCGTGCAGGGACAACAACAACAGAGCAGAGAGCAAACATGGCTGAGGGCGGCGGTGAAGACCATGGTGAAGACATGCAGATTGTAGAAGACATTGTGCCAAAACGCGGAGCTACCTCAAACATATGGGAGTAGTTTGGGAACTAGATAAAAAGACGCAATTGTGTGTAACTATCGACAGTGGATCTAATGTTGTGAAAGCAGCTGCCCTAAACAACTGGACTCGAGTGGCTTGCTTCGGACACTCGCTCTCTCTCTCTCTCTCTCTCATAGTGCCATTGGTAAGCTTTATTTACTGTTTACTGTCATTCATTTTACTTCAATGCATGTGTTTGTCTACATTGCAATATAATTACAACTAAGTTATAATTACATAATTATAGAAACGCAAAAGGATACAAAAAATATATACAGTATTTGATCATTTTGACTATATTGGGATTAGGAAACATAAGCCAAAGTGATCAAATAATTATTTGATAATGCTACACTTTTTATATTACAAAGGACAAACTTTTATATATTTTACAAATTACAAATGTTCACCTTCATTACATGTTGCCTGCAATTTTCAGTATGTACAAAACAGAATTCTCTACAATTCAGTTTTGTTAATACGTTTTATATACAATAGCTGTATTACACATTTTGCTGCCAATAAATCAGTAAATGCACTTTGAGGCAAGTGTGTTTAAAATTATCAGTGCTAAGTTTTTATAGCTTTTATATGAGGCTTTGTTAAAATTATCATATCGTCATATCGTGATACATACCAACAAAAATCGTGATACATGCTGAGGCCCATATCGCCCAACCCTATTTGAAACCTTTAGTAGTTCTCTTCTAATATAAAATGGTATTAAACTGTATTTCTAAATAAATCAAACCCGTCATAAGGTCTTTAAATGTTATGGTATTCTTGAGAAAATTAGTAATGGATAACATGCCATTGTCGCCTAATACCGTCAATGCTGCTATTTAATATAGTCATTTAAAATCATCTCAGGGGCCACTGGAAATGGTCTCGCGGGCCGGATCTGGCCCCCGGGACTTGACTTTGACACCTGTGGTCTAACAGGATGTAGAATCAGGTTTTAGCGTCAGTGTAATGAGTGAACCACACAGATGAAACAGTGCTTTGAGCTTTCTGCTGCTAATCTTTTACATTGATTCTTTTGTTCTTACTGCAGCAGTGAGTTACTTTAGCAGGTGCATGAAGCCTCATGAAGCAGTGAGTTACTTCAGTAGGTGTATGAAGCCTCATGAAGCAGTGAGTTACTTCAGCAGTATATATATATATATATTAGGGCTGGGACTCGATTAAAAAAAACAGTGAGAAGTAATTGTTTTTCACATGGATTTTTAGTTTACCATTGAATAATGACTGAATACTGAAGCTTAAGCAACACATGTTCCTTGTGGATGATCAGACGGACACCTTTCCATCAAATAACGTTTCTGTCATTGCCTCCACACACTCTGTCCACAACATACACTTCTTAAGCCCAAAATCCACTGCACTCAAAGTGAGTACAAAAGCTTATAATACGTTTTTGATGTGTGCATTTGAACTAAAACAGGGGTGCTCACACTTTTTCAGCATGCGAGCTACTTATAAAATGATCAAGTCAAAATGATCTACCTACTACAAAAATGCAAAACATATATTTATTTCTAAATATAATGAGGTTTTTTATTATATCTACAATGTATGTTGATGTATATGCAAAACCGCATGATTTATGAAATAAGTTGCATTTAAGCACCGCCTCTGGCGGGCATTCAGGATTCATAGAACCGTAGTTACATTCGTAACTTTCGTTCTGTAGCAGCACTTACAGTCATAGTAGAAACTCAGGGTGAAGACGTGTTATTATAGATCCATGGTGAATACATATGTTTACAAGCATTGACCCCAGTCCTCAGCCCTGGGTTTGATCCTGGTTTAGCTCCTGTTTTGGTTTTAGGCAGTATGATCCATGCTTCAGTGATCAGAGGTTGCACGTTTTGTTTGTTGTTGTTGTTTTGGGGGCATACTGTGGCGTGCAAAAACGCAAAACTCCAGTTATCTCTGTCCACACGCAAATGCATAAACTGATTTTTTTATTTTATTTTTTTATGTAATGCGATTTTCCAATACTACCTTTGCGATCGACTGGTAGATCGCGATAGACGTATTGAGCACCCCTGAACTAAAACATCAGCAAATAGCAGATAAGCTGTGTCTCGCTGCTCCTCCTCCGCTCACAAGGGTTGCTGCTCCTTCTCCTCCTCCTCACACACCATTGCTCCACACAGAGCGCTCTTTCCTGCCTCTAACCCACTCAGAGTTAGAGTTGGTCTATGCTTGTTTTAATGTACTTTTGAACAAGCTCAGGTGGCGCTCCAGTATAATCGGTCCGTCTGAAACTCATTTGTGAGGAACGTTCTGCGGTGGAAAATACACATGCAATTAAAATGCGTCAAATTTTTTTAACGCACTAATTTTGTGGCGTTAATTAATCGTAATTAACCTGTTAAAGTCCCGGCCCTAATATATATATATATATATATATACACTACCGTTCAAAAGTTTGGGGTCACCCAAGTGTTTTCCATGAAAAGTCACACTTATTCACCACCATACGTTGTGAAATGAATAGAAAATAGAGTCAAGACATTGACAAGGTAAGGAATTATGATTTGTATTTGGAATAAGATTTGTTTTACATCCAACTTTACTTTCGTCAAAGAATCCTCCATTTGCAGCAATTACAACATTGCACCAAAAACCAGACATTTGCAGCTAGAATAGTCATTTACCACATAAGCAATGTATAGTGTATTTCTTTTCAGTTAAGACTAGTTTAAAGTTATCTACAGTGCTTTTCCTTAAAAAATAAGGACATTTCAATGTGACCCTAAACTTTTGAACGGTAGTGTACATAGTATATGTATATGTATAGTAGTATGAAGCCTCATGAATGGACTTCTCTCGTCACAACATCACAGTTTATAAAACATAAAGAGACTGTAGTGAGACCTTGACCCAGTCCTCCATGTCTCCATCATCAATGACCTCCAGAACCTCCTGCTCCTCGATGGTCAGCTCGTCAGGCTGTGAGGCCTACACACACACACACACACACACACACACAAGTGAGCAGTACACACACACACACACACATGTGAGCAGTACACACACACACACACATACACATGTGAGCAGTACACACATACGCACACACACACGTACACACACACATACACACACACACACACACACACACACACACACACACTACTGTACCTTGTATGAGTACAGGACTTTGCAGGTGAGGGGGTAGTTCCTCAGACTGGAGCTGCTGTCGTCCAGGACCTCTCCACTGTCCTCCATCTCCTCCTCCTCCAGGTCTGCTGTGCCCTGGACCACACACATGGTTACAGTCCTGGTCTACAGCCTCAGTCCTGGGTCTACAGCCCCAGTCCTGGGTCTACAGTCTCAGTCCAGGGTATATAGCCTCAGTCCTGGTCTACAGCCTCAGTCCTGGGTCTACAGCCTCAGTCCTGGATCTACAGCCTCAGTCCTGGTCTACAGCCTCAGTCATGGGTCTACAGCCTCAGTCCTGGATCTACAACCTCAGTCCTGGGTCTTGACAGAGACTCACGGAGATGGAGGCGTCCGCGGTGTTCAGGTTGCTCCAGCGCTCGTTCTCCAGCTCCTCCATCACTTGGTTCATGGCGCTCTTCAGCCACGTCTCCACGGCTACCCCCGCCTCACGCAGCAGGTCCAGACGGGCCTCAGCTTTCACCTTCACCGTCTGCACATTTTACAGACCAAGGAACGGACTCAAAACTCTTTACAAAGTTCAGAGTAAGATATAGTTCCATTCACACACAGTGATGACCGGAGAGGGACCTGAACACACTGGTCCATCAAAGCCTCTGACCAAACACCATCCATTCACTCATTACATTCAGACTATTGTATATGTTTTTAGTGGTAGGGGAAAGTGGAGCACCCGGAGGAAACCTACACAGACACGGGGAGAACATGTAAACTCCACTTAGAAAGACCCTGTTCTGACCAGGATTTGAACCCAGGACCTTTGTGCTGAGAAGCAAAAGGCCAAACCACTCTACCGCAGTGCCGCCCTGATTCACATTTTATGAGGCTGAAGTTGGCTGAATGATCACGTCCTTCGCTGCATTAGCACCACATACGGAATGTTGTGCTCCAATCAAAAGCAGTTCAGAGCATTCTCAGCCTATGACGGTGGTGCTGAAGTTGGCTGGATGTGTCAGAGGCAGAGGGCCGTATCACATGACACAGAGCGCCGTGATTTGCCCGTGGGCCGGACTTTGGACGTCACTTTAAGGAACAGTATGTAGTTATTCTCTCACTGGTTTAATGGGACCATAAGTCATCCTCTCCGTATTGTAATGGAGCTTTCGCGAAAGTTCACTGTGGTAGACCCGGCTGCTGCTGCCCAGGCCACAGGCTGCTCTTCCTCGACTCATCAATACCAGCAACGCCCACATCCAGTCAACCAATAACCACCAGGACAGCAAGTTAAAAGCCGGAGACGCCCACTTCCCGGCCTTCTGAAGTCTGCAAACTTCTGAAGCCTGCAAGGTGCATGTCGCTAACGCACCTGTTCGCAAATGCATGCGTTGTTCTGGAGGGGTCACTTCTGCTCACGTGTTGCTCGTGCGCGTGGCCCGGCTGTCCTCAGTCTGGCTGCTCGTGGTCTGCTCCTCCTCCGCGTCCCTGCATCTGCTGTGGTTCGCGTGTCTCCACTGCTCTCCTCTGCGGGCTCTTCTGCGGGCTGCTCCGCGGGGCCCTTCCGCGGGTTCTGTGCTGCTCGTTCCTCGTGGTCTGCTGCCGCGCGCAGACGGTCTGGCGGTGCCGTGCGTGTCCCTGCCTCCGATTGGCGGTGCCGCGTTGTCCCGTTGCTTTTCCCAAGTCTCCTGGCATGTGAGTACAGTGAGTGTGCTGACCGCGGACGGATTAATCCCGGAGTCTGGGCTGCAGGCTTGGTTTTTGCCCCGCGCACTTGACTGCAGGCGTCAGTTTTTGCCCCGTGCTTGGTCTGCAGGCTCCGTTTTCACACGTGTTTGAGCTAACTGAGGGGCAATGCATCTTAAATGGCATCAATCTCTATTGTCTGAGGGATATAAGAGGAGCAATGTGCATTAATTCAGATTCATGTTCTGCCACTTGCAGTAAAACCACGTTGGAAAAAAATGTGCAAAGACTACCCCATCGTGCTCCAGACGGTACACACCAGAGCTCTTGCCACGGCGCCATCTTTACAGCATTAATCTCATTACTCGCAGGTCACTATTGTTAAATGAATGTATTTAAATTCGTCTATCTGCAGGAGGAAGGAGGGGCCATGCATTTAAATAGCTAGGTCACTAGTATTAAATTGGGTAACTAAACTGCAGTTGTTGCATTTTGAAAGTGCAGCAGAAAGAAAAAGGGCCCAATGTGAATCTGCAATGGGTTTGAAGTGGAGTTGGAGCTAATGTACGCATGGAAAAGTGATCGTTCATGCGTATCTGCCATAACCAAAGCAGCAAGATGGCTCCAGGGGACATCTGTTTTTCGCATGGGAATGTTTCGGATTCGGGTTGATTTATTTCCTCAGGCTCTTAAACAACCATGGGCATGGTTCTCTGACCGCCGCTGCTGCGGTCCCTGCTGCCGTTCCTACTGATGCCTGATCCCGCTGCTGCCTGTTCCTGCTGCCGCTCCTGCTGCTGCCTGTTCCTGCTGCCGCTGCTGCCTGTCCCTGCTGCCTGCTCCTGCTGCTCCTGCTACTACATGTGCCGCTGCTGCTGTTCCTGCCGCTGCCGCTCCGCGGGCTCCCAGGCTGCACCTGTCTCTACGGCTCGGCTCTTTCAGACACGTATGTAACCTGGCTCACGGAGACAAGCGGCGCACGCTGGCGTGACACGTCTGTTTGTTTGTATGAATCGCATTGTGGTGCTACTGCTCCTGCTAATGCTGCTTCTGCTGCTTCATACTGCTGCCGCTACTGCTGCTATTGCTGCCGCTGCTGCTTCATACTGCTACTGCTGCCGTGCTGCTGCTGCTTCTTTTACTTTGACACCTCTCTTCACTTCGCATCTCTTTTACTGAAACACTAAACAGCTACAACAATATTCTACTGCTGTGGCTTTGATACAGGATTATTGCTGTTATTATCTACGGATGCTGCAACTGCTGCTGCTGCTGCTGCTTCGTACTGCTACTGCTGCCGTGCTGCTGCTGCTTCATTTACTTTGACATCTCTCTTCACTTGCATCTCTTTTACTGAAACACTGAACAGCTACAACAACATTCTACTGCTGTGGCTTTGATACAGGATTATTACTGTTATTTTCTAAGGATGCTGCTACTGCTGTGCCGCAAACGCATCCATACCTGTATTCTTCACTCTTCTGATCGCAGGCTCCCCATCATGCTGCCCATCCTGCAGCGGCACTGAACTCCGGCTCATCTTCCAAGTACATGTCTGCCCTCCTCGCAGCATCTTCCTGCTCGCCTTCTATGGCTTCTCTGCATAAGCGTTTCACTACTGCTCACTCAACCTTCATGCGGTCCGAGACACGGCTTTCCCGACCATCCTACTATCCTGATTATCTACTCTCCAACCCAAGATTCCAAGCGTAAGGGCGCCTGCAACATCAATGGCCCTCTCCGGTATGTCTCTCTGCCCCTACAGGTCTCCGCTTCTACACGGACGCTGCCCTTCCGTGGGTTTTGGGGGGTTCTTCCAGGACCAGTGGTTCGCCGGGCCGTGGCCCGCTACTTTTCCCCGGAGCATTTCCTCTGTCCTACATGAGACATTCCCAGTGGTAGCTGTGGAATCACACGTGGCAGAGAAAGAGGATCTCTGTCATGCGTGATAATCTCGACGTAGTGGAAGCATTAAACAAAGGTCGCTCTTCTCACCCAACATAATGTCCCCTGACCATTTCAACCTTCATCTCAAACATTCAAAGATCAAAGGCGCCTTCAACACAATAATAGCTCGCTCTGACACATCTCTCTGCCCCTACAGGTCCATGATGCGTTACACTCGCCTCCGCCGCAAAAAAGATTTTAACGGACCTCTAATTCCCGCTCCAGACAACCTTCCCATAACAGCAACCTGGTTCAGAGCTCAGCTAAGAACCCTACTGCTCCTCTGCAATTTGTCTCCCCAGCTCTATACAGCCCACTCCTTCAGGATAGGCGCTGCCACGCGCGCGACCTCGCTGGGGCTCCCCCACTCTTCTCTGCAACAGCTGGGGCGCTGGTCCTCTTCGGCTTTCTCCACCTACATCAGGCCAGATGCGACCGCTATCATGGCAGCACAACGTCTACCGGCTTCCTCGTAAGCTCCCAGCAAAGCAAGTAAGCAATAAGATTCTGGTGGCGGCACACACTTTCCTCAAACGCTCAAAGATTCCTCTGCTTCAGCGTCTGGCTGAACATGCGCGTGCGCGCATGTTCTCAGCTCGCTCAAAGATTCCCCTGCTTCAGCGTCTGGCTGAATATGAGCATGCGCTCATATTCTCAGCTCGCTCAAAGATTCCCCTGCTGCAGCGTCTGGCTGAATATGAGCATGCGCTCATATTCTCAGCTCGCTTAAAGATTGCCCTGCTGCAGCGTCTGACTGAACATGCGCGTGCACGCATGTTCTCAGCTCGCTTAAAGATTCCTCTGCTTCAGCGTCTGGCGAATATGAGCATGCATCTCATATTCTCAGCTCGCTCAAAGATTCCCCTGCTGCAGCGTCTGGCTGAACATGCGCATGTTCTCAGCTCGCTCAAAGATTCCTCTGCTGCAGCGTCTGGCTGAACATGCGCGTGCGCGCATGTTCTCAGCTCGCTTAAAGATTCCTCTGCTTCAGCGTCTGGCTGAATATGAGCGTGCGCTCATATTCTCAGCTCGCTCAAAGATTCCCCTGCTTCAGCGTCTGGCGAATATGAGCATGCATCTCATATTCTCAGCTCGCTCAAAGACTCCCCTGCTGCAGCGTCTGGCTGAACATGCGCATGTTCTCAGCTCGCTCAAAGATTCCTCTGCTGCAGCGTCTGGCTGAACATGCGCGTGCGCGCATGTTCTCAGCTCGCTTAAAGATTCCTCTGCTTCAGCGTCTGGCTGAATATGAGCGTGCGCTCATATTCTCAGCTCGCTCAAAGATTCCCCTGCTTCAGCGTCTGGCGAATATGAGCATGCATCTCATATTCTCAGCTCGCTCAAAGACTCCCCTGCTGCAGCGTCTGGCTGAACATGCGCATGTTCTCAGCTCGCTCAAAGATTCCTCTGCTGCAGCGTCTGGCTGAACATGCGCGTGCGCGCATGTTCTCAGCTCGCTCAAAGATTCCCCTGCTTCAGCGTCTAGCTGAATATGAGCACGCTCATATTCTCAGCTCGCTCTGCCTAAACAAACACGGGCCCCAGAGGACGCAGCCTGGCTGAGCGACCGTGCGAGAAGCCTCTCACTCATGCTCTCAGGCCCGCGCAGTACGTCCTGCTATCCCAATCGCAGGCCCGCTTTTTGGGGATTATGCACGCGAGCAAGCGCCGTGCTCAACAGCATCCCTCCCGGGCCTAGGGCGCCAAACATGCTCAATGAATAAACATGCTTATTTCTAATAAGTCTAATGGCATTTTCCTCATGGGTCTCTCCAAGGTGAAATGGAGCTTTCGCGAAAGTTCACTGTGGTAGACCCGGCTGCTGCTGCCCAGGCCACAGGCTGCTCTTCCTCGACTCATCAATACCAGCAACGCCCACATCCAGTCAACCAATAACCACCAGGACAGCAAGTTAAAAGCCGGAGACGCCCACTTCCCGGCCTTCTGAAGTCTGCAAGCCTCCGCCGCCCCACCTCCTCCTTCTCTCATCAAAGCGTGCTTGCCTACTGCCTCTGCCGTCACCAGTGCCTAGGCCCCGGGGGGATTATGCACGCGAGCAAGCGCCGTGCTCAACAGCATCCCTCCCGGGCCTAGGGCGCCAAACATGCTCAATGAATAAACATGCTTATTTCTAATAAGTCTAATGGCATTTTCCTCATGGGTCTCTCCAAGGTGAACTAACACTATACTAATGCACTATACTATACTAATGTACTATACTATACTAATGTACTATACTATACTAATGTACTATACCAGCCATTCCCAAACTCAGTAACACCGAGGCCCCCTTAAAAATCTGACGGGTCTGCGTGGCCCCCCAAAATAATAACCAAGAAGACAACATTAAGAATAGGCTCTTCTGGTTATTTTATTTTGGGGAAATAGCCTCTGCTACAAACATTGTAATACAAAAATGATTACAGTGGATTCTTCAAGTCAAATAATGAACACAAATATCTTAATATTACAAACAAAACATTATAAATTTAACATTAAATAATGATATTATTATTATTTTTTTTTATGACCTCCCGCGGCCCCCCTGCAGTACCCTCGCGGCCCACCAGGGGGCCGCGGACCCCACTTTGGGAGACACTGTACTATACTATACTAATGTACTATGCTGGTTAGCACTCTCGCTTCTCAACAAGAAGGTTCTGGGTGTCTGTGTAGGTTTCCTCCGGGTGCTCCGGTTTCCCCTACCACTAAAAACATGTAAAATATAGGTCTGTGCCACCTGTACTGACTGACTGTGTGGAGTCAGAGACTAATGCCCACAATTGTAAACTGCTTTGACTCTGGTCTGAGAAAGGCCCTATATAAATAAACTAGGGCTGTCAAACTAGTAAAATTTTTAATCGAGTTAATTACATCTTAAAAATTAATTAATTGTAATAAATTACATTTCAAACTATCAACAAAATGATGCCATATTTTTCTGTAAATGGTTGTTTGAATGGAAAGATAAATGTCAACATAATGTACATATTTACAATAAATCCATATAAAGTGGCATTTATATTATTAACATTCTGTCTTTCTGTTTAGACTCAGACCGAAACCATTGTTTGTTACAGATGAGGGACATTTCAGTCTGAAATGCAGAATGTCATTCAATCTGTCATGAACTGGTAGTGGAAGGGAAAATTGGGTACCCCAGCTTTAATTTAGCGAGTGCGCTTCGGGAGAAGACACGGAGGAGACCGAGGCTCCGTTGTCCAGCTTCTGTGCTGTATTTGTGTTCACCGGTTACGCAAAGACACGTACGCACACTACAATCAGTGAATAGTTCTGTGCGTGGTCTTGGATATGATCACGTTACGCGGCGCCGTTCGCCGTGATCACAGCCGCTGGAGAAACCGTTGTCCAGAGCAACCGCTGTCCAGAGCAACCGCAGCTCAGCTTGCAGGGTTCATACAGGAAGCGCGTGTATTCTTTTAAAACTTGGATTCCTAGAGACCTGCTCTGTTGCCATCTCACACACACGTGTCCGCGGAATTCTGAGTGTTATTATGGGATGCATGGGCATGCGTTAATTGCGTACATTTTTTAAACGCAATTAATGAAAAAAATTAATTAAAGCAATAATTTTGACAGCCCTAAAATAAACATTACTTACTTACTATACTAATGTACTATACTATACTAATAGTAATAATGATGGTCCAATCAGAAACAGATCTGTACCTCTGCTCTCCTCAGACTGTGTACCTCTGCTCTCCTCAGACTCTGTACCTCTGCTCTCCTCAGACTGTACCTGTGCTCTCCTCAGACTGTGCCTCTGCTCTCCTCAGACTGTGTACCTCTGCTCTCCTCAGACTGTACCTCTGCTCTCCTCAGACTATGTACCTGTGCTCTCCTCAGACTGTACCTGTGCTCTCCTCAGACTGTACTGTGCTCTCCTCAGACTCTGTACCTGTGCTCTCCTCAGACTGTACCTCTGCTCTCCTCAGACTCTGCCGGGCCACCTCCATCTTGGTCTCCAGCTCTGGGTGCAGCTCGGAGGTCTCCGGGTTCCCATACTCCTCCAAGACCTGCAGTCACAGCACACTTCAGAGAGTCTGCGGTGCTTCTCCGTGGGAAGTGAGGATGGGAATTTTGGGAAATAATAAGTTTTGGAGAATTCATTGAAACTAACTGGAAATGAAGTGTGTATCACATCTAAGCATAAATATAAACATACGTCATGGGAAAACATGTAAAACAGATCCTGTATGTGATGGAGGTGCAGGGCCAGCAGGGGGCGCTGTCTCCACAGTAAACAGTGTGAGGAATGACATACAGTTTCTGTGAAGAACCAAATTCCCAGTTTATTCCTGTTTATTTCCTTACATTTCCAATGAATGTTTCCGTCTTTGAAAATTGCCAGAATGTTGTAACCTCAGTGAAGGCGGGAGGATGTGTGTGTGTGTGTGTGTGTGTAAGAGAATAGACTGTGTGTGTGTACGTGTAGGAGATGTGTGTGTGTGTGTAGGAGGATAGACTTAGTCAGTGAGTGTGTAAGATAATAGACAGTGTGAGTTTGTGTGTGTAGGAGAATAGACAGTGGGTGTAGGAGGTGTGTGTGTGTTAGTGTGTCTGTGTGTAGGAGGTATGTGTGTGTTTGCGTGTCTGACCCTGTGTGTGTGTGTTTGTTTGTCTGACCCTGTGTGTGTGTATCAGCAGCTTGTATTCTCGTGCCACTCGACTCGACCATTTCCGAGCTTCTTTGTCCAAAGTGTGTTCCTCTGAAGAACCACTTTCTCTCTGCAGCTGCGACACCTGCAAACCCACACAGACACACACACACAAACGCAGGTTAACACGAGAACTAGAGAAGTTATTTTGACTGCTCCCATTCAAAGCAGAGTTAAGCAGTACGTTCATGAACAAAACACATAGAAATGAAAAACACAGACCAAGAACGTTCATAAAATGTAATATTCTTGGGCTCTGTGTGTTGATCATTGCACTTCCTGTCTGATTCTCTGATCTGTGCCGGAGAATCGACAGCTTAGTCCTGAGATAAACAACTGTTGGGATTTAGGGCGATACAAGAATACATTGAAGTGAAAGTAAAGAGTGTGTGGCGTGTGTTGGAGCTGAGGCCCTCTCACAAAGCCTCCTTTTGAGTGACACCCCCCTGCCCCCACCCCCCTGCTCCCCCGTCCCTCCCTGCTCTCCCCCCGCCCCCTCCCTCCCTCCCTGCCCCCCCCGGATCCCTCAGCCTGGTGCAGCCTGCACAGAGACGACCTGCACCCAAATGTTTTCTTTCAGAACAGGCGGCTGCTTGTTTGACTTCCAACAAAAACAACACTGAGGGAACAAACTGACCAGTGTGTGTGTGTGTGTGTGTGTGTGTGTCTGTGTGAGTGTGTGTGTCTGTGTCTCTGTGTGTGTGTGTGTGTTTGTCTGTGTGTCTGTGTGCATGTTTATGTGTGTCTGTGTATGTGTGAGTGTACACCGGCCTCTGATCATACATGATTCTAATACAGTTTATTTGTATGGCATGTTACAAGAGACTGGGCACCAGATAAATCTTAACAATCACCTGTGTATAATCCTCACCTGTGTATAAGCCTCACCTGTGTATAAGCCTCACCTGTTAATAATCCTCACCTGTGTATAAGCCTCACCTGTTTATAAGCCTCACCTATTTATAATCCTCACCTGTGTATAAGCCTCACCTATTTAAAATCCTCACCTATTTATAATCCTCACCTGTGTATAAACCTCACCTGTTTATAATCCTCACCTGTGTATAAACCTCACTTGTGTATAATCCTCACCTGTGTATAATCCTCACCTGTGTATAAACCTCACCTGTTTATAATCCTCACCTGTTTATAATCCTCACCTGTGTATAAGCCTCACCTGTTTATAATCCTCACCTCTGTATAAACCTCAACTGTTAATAATCCTCACCTGTGTATAATCCTCACTTTTGTATAATCCTCACCTGTTTATAAGCCTCACCTGTTTATAATCCTCACCTGTGTATAATCCTCAACTGTTACAGTAAACAGATGAAGTACTAGGGTACAGTGTTAGTAGTCAAGTACTGTGTTAGTACTAGAGTACTCAGGGTTAGTACTCAAGTACAGTGTTAGTACTAGAGTACTCAGTGTTTGTACTAGAGTACACAGTGTTAGTACCAGAGCACACAGTGTTAGTACTCAAGTACAGCGTTAGGACTAGAGTACAGTGTTAGTACTCGAGTACAGTGTTAGTACAGGAGTAGAGTGTTAGTACTCAGTGTTAGTACTAGAGTACAGTGTTAGTACTCGAGTCCTCAGTGTTAGTACTCGAGTACAGTGTTAGTACTCGAGTACACAGTGTTGGTACTCGAGTACACAGTGTTAGTACTAGAGTACACAGTGTAGTACTCAAATATTCAGTGCCAGTACCGTGTCAGAGTCATTGGGCTGATAGAGGAAGTCTGTCGCTCGCTGAAAAACTGGACATTTCTGAACAAACTGTTCCTGATGAAACTGCTGCAAGATCTGCAACACAACACACACGCAGTTACACTACACACAACACAGCTGCAGTTACACACACAGATACACAACACAGCTGCAGTTACACACACACATATACACAATGTGTGTGTAACAAATATAGTGATAGAGTGATACTTACGTCGCTGGAGCTGCTCAGCAGATCATTAAAGGTGTCATGAGCCGCTTCATACGTCTCCAGTTCAGTCTGACACAGAGACACCAGGAACGACTTCACCTGGTCATGGATCCTCCCATCTAACACCTGCACACACAGAGACAAACACACACACACACCGACACACACACACACACACAACACAGACACAGTTACACACACACACACACAGTTGCAGACACACACAGATACAGAGACACACACACAGTTACAGACATACACAGTTACAGACACACACACACACACACACACACAGTTACACACACACACACACACACACACACACACACACACACACACACACACACACAGAGCTCCTGAAGTTGTGCAGACAGTGCAGGTACCTGGATACAGTCCATCAGGTCTGTGTGGTAGAAGCGCTGCTGGTGAGCGTTAGCCGCTGCTAGCATCAGGAGGTAGTCGTTCCGAGCGTGAGTGGCTCTTGAGTTGCACTCGTTCCTCTTTGCTTTGATCTGGAAGAAAAAAGGTGTTTAGTGTTAGCTTTGCTTTGGGCTGCTCCACTTTGCACCATTCTACCAGCCCAGTGAAAAGAAGCGACATCTGAGATCATCAGTGAGGGAGGCCAAAGCTCGATACTGGGGCAAAATGGAAGAGCAGCTCAGCAGACATATCGTCAAAGGTGTTTGGTACAATCTGAAGACCATCTCAGGATTCAAACCAAAACCTGTTCCGCAGGTGGGGGACAGACAATGGGTTAATGACTTGAACACTTTTTACCTGCAGTTCAATCTGCTCCTGCGCAGATGAACTCTGTGGAGTGATGGAGCATGTCTTCAACCTAAGCCTCAGGCTGAGGTCGGTACAGCAGCTCTGGAAGACCTCGTGTGTGGTACCTGTGCCCAAGAAACAACGGGCCAAAGACCTCAGAGACTTCAGGCCGGTGGCTCTAACATCCCACTGCATGAAGACACTGGAGAGACTGGTCCTGGGACATCTCCGCTCCACTCTGACCTCAGCGATGGACCTGCTGCAGTTTGCCTCCCGGCAGGGCATCGGAGTTGACGACCCCATCATCTCCCTCCTCCATCGCTCGCTGTCCCACCTTGAGAAACCCGGCTGCGCTGTGAGGATTCTGTTCTTCAACTTCTCCAGCGCCTTCAACACCATCCAGCCAAGGCTTCTCAGGGACAAGCTGGAGACAGCAGGAGTGGACTAGCACCTGTCCGAGTGGATCCTGGACTACCTCACAGACAGACCCGAGTTTGTGAGAACCAGGTACTTTGTGTCTGAGGTCCTGACCTGCAGTGTCCTGACCCTCTACACTGCGGACTTCAGACACAACACGGACGGTTGTGTCCTCCAGAAGTTCTCCGACGACTCTGCCATCATCGGACTCAGCTCCGAGGACGATGACACAGAGTACAGAGGAGTCATACAGGACTTTGTGGACTGGTGTCAGCGGAATCACCTCCTCATCAACGCCGGGAAGACCAAGGAGATGAACAACCTCCTCATCAACGCGGGAAAGACCAAGAAGATAAACCACCTCCTCATCAACGCAGGGAACACCAAGGAGATGAACCACCTCCTCATCAACGCGAGGAAGACCAAGGAGATGAACCACCTCCTCATCAACGCAGGGAAGACCAAGGAGATGAACCACCTCCTCATCAACGCAGGGAAGACCAAGGAGATGAACCACCTCCTCATCAACGCGAGGAAGACCAAGGAGATGAACCACCTCCTCATCAACGCAGGGAAGACCAAGGAGATGAACCACGTCCTCATCAACGCAGAGAAGACCAAGGAGATGAACCACCTCCTCATCAACGCAGGGAAGACCAAGGAGATGAACCACCTCCTCATCAACGCGGGGAAGACCAAGGAGATGAACCACCTCCTCATCAACAGGAGACCAAGGAGATGAACCACCTCATCATCAACGCGAGGAAGACCAAGGAGATGAACCACCTCCTCATCAACGCGAGGAAGACCAAGGAGATGAACCACCTCCTCATCAACGCGGGGATGACCAAGGAGATGAACCACCTCCTCATCAACGTGGGGATGACCTCTCACCTTCTTGCTGAGAGGCGAGAGCGCTATCCACTCAGCCACCGTGCCGCCCACCTGAGCTGACACCTGAGGGACTAGCTAACACCTGAGGGACTAGCTAACACCTGAGGGCTAGCTGACACCTGAAGGACTAGCTAATACCTGAGGGCTAGCTGAAACCTGAGGGACTAGCTAACACCTGAGGGACTAACTAACCCGAGGGACTAGGCAACACCTGTGGGACTAGCTAACACCTGAGGGACTAGCTAACCCTGAGGGACTAGCTAACACCTGAGGGCTAGCTGACACCTGAGGGACTAGCTAACACCTGAGGGCTAGCTGACACATGAGGGACTAGGCAACACCTAAGGGACTAGCTAACACCTGTGGAAGAAGCTAACAGGGATGTACTTTTACACAGCACTGCTTCCTGTACATCCAAAAAACTTTTGACTGATGTAAAACCTCTGTAAATATTTCTGTAAACACTGAATAGAAGCTGAGACGAGGAAATGTGAGTTTGTTGGTTTGAGGAGAGTTTGTTGGTTTGAGGAGAGTTTGTTGGTTTAAGGAGAGTTTGTTGGTTTGAGGAGAGTTTGATGGTTTGAAGAGAGTTTGATGGTTTGAGAAGAGTTTGTTGGTTTGAGGAGAGTTTGATGGTTTGAGGAGAGTTTGATGGTTTGAGGAGAGTTTGTTGGTTTGAGGATAGTTTGATGGTTTGAGGAGAGGACACAGACCTTGACACTGGCTCTCTGGAGACTGGACCTGGACTGGAACAGGCTCAGCTTAGACCTGTGAAGTGAACACATAGATCAGAAGCCGTGGTTAGCTAGCTTCTCTCGGCTAACACCATCAGGTGTTCACGGTTTAACCAAATATCCAGAATGTCTTTACAGTGTTTTGATAAAAGGATTATTATTACTCTGGTTTATTATCATTCCACGTCAGTAATGTCGGCCTCGGTATTACTGAGAACAGAAATAAGTCCTTGGAACAGAAGAATGTTCCAATGGAGCGGATTATTCAGGCCAGGGGTATCCAAACTTTTTAGTAAGAGGGCCACGTTAATCAGAGTTGATCTGGGGCCGACAAACTGGATTGACTGGAATATGGAATTTAAAACGGGTTATGATATGTCCTTATACGCATTTTATTTGGAATTTTGTGACACAACCATAAACAAATGTCAATAAATAACAATAGCGTCAACGACTGGATTCCAAAGAGTCTGAAGTTGACTGGATGACACTGTCAAAGTGCATGTCACTGCAGTAGTCAGAATTAGGCAGTAGTCAGATTTAGGCATTCATTTCTGGGGCAGACATGGACCCATTAATATAACCCCGGCTCAGTGTGTGGGACCTCTCGTGTTAGCCCCACACAGTTAGCTTAGCAAAATATGTGTCTTTTCACTTGACTTAAAAGTTGCATGAGCAGGTTGCAGAGGATTTTGTCTACAGAGTGAGCACAGTAAGGCTGGGAACTGGTAAAACTGAAGATTCTATAGTATCACGATATTTTAGCCACAATTCAATATTATCACGATTCTTTACATATCGCGGTACAGACAATGTGTGATTCTGTGATATATTATGGACATCATAGAGTCACAACGCACAGGAGTGGATCATACTGGGCCTCACACGTGCACTAACACAGGAGTGGGTTATGCTGGGCCTCACACGTGCACTATCACAGCAGGGGTCATACTGGGCCTCACACGTGGATTCTCACAGCAGGGGTCATGCTGGGCCTCACACGTGCACTCTCACAGCAGGGGTCATACTGGGCCTCACACGTGCACTCTCACAGGAGTGGGTCATGCTGGGCCTCACACGTGCACTATCACAGCAGGGGTCATACTGGGCCTCACACGTGCACTATCACAGCAGGGGTCATACTGGGCCTCACACGTGCACTAGCACAGGAGTGGATCATACTGGGCCTCACACGTGCACTAACACAGGAGAGAGTCATACTGGGCCTCACACGTGCACTCTCACAGCAGGGGTCATACTGGGCCTCACACGTGCACAAACACAAGAGTGGATCATACTGGGCCTCACACGTGTACTCTCACAGCAGGGGTCATACTTGGCCTCACACGTGCACTCTCACAGCAGGGCTCATACTTGGCCTCCAGCTCGGCCTTGTCTCTGGCGGCCTGGGCCATGCTCTGGGCGTCCTGGTACTTCTTGCGGCTCTTGCTCAGCTCCTTCACCGACTGCTGCAGCTCAGCCTGGATCTCCGTCAGCTGCTCCATGCACTGGGACAACATGTGTTTACACCGGTTACACCAGGAGAACATGCAAATACCCTCTGCCCAGAGCGGGACACAGCGTCTGAGCCACGCACAGATCCAGTTACCAGAGGATCGCGCTACACTCAGGCTGCCTCAGAGGACCGGCGGACCTCAGTGGACCAGCGGGCCTCAGTGGACCAGCGGGCCTCAGTGGACTAGCGGGCCTCTGGGAGTTATGGGACCTTCATCATTAACATATGGAGCAGAGCTGCTGCCTCCAGGTACTGGGTCAGACTCAGATCTTTCTGGTCTAAATACAGCAGTGGCTCATTCAAAAAGGTAAAAATACAAAAGATAGGCAGATAGCAGCTGCTGGTGTCGATAAAGAGTATGTGATAAAGTATAGTCAAGTATAATAAAGTATAGTAAAGTATAGTAGAGTATAGTAGGGCCCCGTACCAATTCTCACCCTTGCCCTTAGGTGTGAGTGCCCTCACCAGTAAAGTACCTTCGCAGTGGTGAGTACACTCACAACGTTCTCCCTAAGAATTGGGACACCCCTGGATCTAGGGGACAATATGCAAATGATGCAGCAGACGTGTTCCACGTCACACGCATTATCAAAGTCACCACAGATAAGATCTGACACACCTATGACTTTATGAAACACAGTATTTATGAAAATGAGAAGTTTTTAATTCTATTTCATATGAAGTTTTGCTATAATTAGGTACAGAACAGACACACATGTACACACAGAGGCAGACACACAGACAGACGCATTTACTTACGCGCACAGAGAAGACGTACCACACAGACAGACACATGTACATACACGTACGCGCACAGAGACGTACCACACAGACAGACACATGCACATACACATATGCGCACAGAGACGTACCAAACAGACAGACACATGTACATACACGTACGTGCACAGAGACAGACGGGTACAGCCGCAGTCCCGCGGATCACAAAGCAAACTGTGTCAAAGCGATGCTCTGAACTACATTATGGATCTATAATAATAACATGGATCCACATCTCTGAAGCCTCAGTGAACGCCACACGCTGCAGCCGCTTCGGGAGCGAACGTTACCACACACGGCACCAACACACGCTTTAAAAACTCTGAATGACTTGCACATGCTTCGGAACTTCCTCATGTTCAGCACAAACTTGCGCCCGGGTGTTTCATGTTGTTTTCTTTCATTGTGGCGCGGCTTTGCCTCACAGATACTTCAGCAACAGCTATCGTAATGCATCATGGGATCACACTCGCTCGCAAGTGAGCTCCCAACCTCACTTGCGCTCAAGGGTGGTTTTTAGGGGTGTGAAGGCGCTCGCCTCTTACCCCTAAGTATTGGGCCACCCTTCCACTCCCGCGGGCACGCGCAAAATCTAGGGCATGTGTGCTTTTTAAGGGCAAGGGTGAGAATTGGGACGGGGCCTAAAGCATAGTAGAGTATAGTAAAGTATAGTAAAGTATAAAAGAGTATAGTAAAGCATAGTAGAGTATAGTAAAGTATAATAGAGTATAGTAAAGTATAATAGAGAATAGTATAGTAAAGTACAGTAAAGTATAATTGAGTATAGTAGAGTATAGTAAAGTATAATAGAGTATGGTAAAGTATAGTATAGTATACTAAAGTATAGTAAAGAATAGTATAGTAAAGTATAGTATAGTATAGTCAAGTATAGTAGAGTATAGTAAAGTATAGTATAGTATAGCATAGTATGTAAAGTATAATATAGTATAGTATAGTATAGTATAGTAGAGTATAGTATAGTAAAGAATAGTATAGCAAAGTATGGTAAAGTATAGTATAGTATACTAAAGTATAGTAAAGTATAATAGAGTACAGTATAGTATAGTAGAGTATAGTATAATAAAGTATAGTATAGCAAAGTACGGTAAAGTATAGTATAGTAAAGTAGAGTATAGTATAGTACAGTACAGTAGAGTATAGTAGAGTGCAGTAGAGTATAGTAAAGTATAGTAGAGTATAGTAAAGTATAGTAGAGTATAGTAAGGCAGTACCTTGCGCAGCTGCTGGTCCTTCTGGAGTCTGGAGTTTTTCGCTGGATCTGAAACTTGCAGTTTGTAGTTTTCACATGAGCTCAGTCTGGACTGAGTCAGTTTCACTGTTCCCTCCAAGTACGACCGCCACACACAAAACATGTTCCTGACACACACAGAGAGACACACACACACACACACACAGAGACACACACACACACACACACACACACAGAGAGAGACACGCAGAGAGAGAGAGAGACACACACAGAGAGAGAGACACGCAGAGAGAGAGAGAGAGAGAGAGAGAGACACACACACACACAGAGACACACACACATTAAACACAGATACTCAAAATATTTCTGATTTTCAAGCAACATTTTCCAACGAGGTCAAAGTTTTCCTCAAACACAGATGTTCTACACAGATGTTCTACACAGATGTTCTACAGATGTTCTACAGATGTTCTACACAGATGTTCTACACAGATGTTCTACACAGATGTTCTACACAGATGTTCTACAGATGTTCTTACCGTTGCTGGGTCTGTTCTTGCGTCCCGCTCTCGCACCACTCTCTCTTCAGATACTGATTGGCCAGTTTGTGCAGCGCCTGAGAACAGAGACAGAAGACGGTCTGGGTCACATGATCACATTGACCTATGACCTCTGAGTGACATCACACTGACCTCTGAGTGACATCACACTGACCCCTGAGTGACATCACACTGACCTCTGACCCCTGAGTGACATCACACTGACCTCTGAGTGACATCACACTGACTTCTGAGTAGAGTTTCGCTTTTCAGCCCGAGCCCGAGCAGGCCCGAGGCCCGACCTGAGTTCGGGCCGGGCTCGGGCCGGGCTTCTTTTTTTAAATATATGTTTCTTTTTTATTATTATTATAATTATTTTTCAAATGATTTTTATACATAATGATATGCATATATATATATATATATATATATATATATATTAATAACAATGTCCATTGATTGACAACAAGTAATTAAAAAAAGTTAATATATTAATGACACCGCGTATTAATGACGCGTGTCCTACATCAGCAGCGAGCCGTGAACGCATCATCCCCGTGTCTCCTGTAGCATGCTGTGGTCAACAGCGAACAGGAACAATAATAGAAATTGATCAAGTGGAGACAAAACAAATTCAAAAGTGGAGACTAAACTTGCAATTGGAAGGTGAGTGCGTACAACGGGAAATCAGATGTGTCGGGTTCTGTCGGGCTCGGGCCTGTTATACAGCGTTCATTGGTCGGGCTTATACGGGCTCGGGCTTAACATTAGCGGGCTCGGGCCGAGTCGGGCTTCTTTTTTCAGGCCCGAACAAAAATCTACTTCTGAGTGACATCACACTGACCTCTGAGTAACATCACACTGACCTCTGAGTGACATCACACTGACCTCTGACCCTTGAGTGACATCACACTGACCTCTGACCCCTGAGTGACATCACTCTGACCCCTGAGTGACATCACACTGACCTCTGAGTGACATCACACTGACCTCTGACCCCGGACACTGAGTTACATGCTACCAAATGCTAACACATGCTAAAGTAACCCTAACCCTTCAGCACTTCCTGCTCTGCACTTCTTATTAAATAGTTAGGGACGTGGAAAACAAGCCATTTATACTCCTGGTGGATCATCAAGACTATTGGTCCTCCTAACTGTCAATCATCCCGGTGATACGTGCTCAACCAATCAGACCAGAGTTTGGTCCAAAAAGTGGAGAGGGCGGTTCTTTACTAAAATTCTGGATAATCCTCCAATAAACCTTTAAACTTTAATTCTTATGAGACCAAATGCCACTTTTCTGGTTTGTTCAAAATCCCTATCTGCATCTCTGATCAGCTGACGATCAGGCAACGTTGTGAAGTGCAAATCACTGAATCACTGAGTCACTGAATCAGTGAATCAGTGAATCAGTGAATCAGTGAATCAGTGAATCAGACTGACAGAGACTGTGTCAGTCCCAGTTATTTACCGAGGGAGGTTTAAGGAAAGAAACTTCACTGGTCTGAGGAGAAACTGCTTCAGAGTCTCTGGATAAGTCAAACATAAAGACTGACTCAGAGTCAGGCCCAGAGTCGGGCCCAGAGTCAGGCCTCAGAGTTAGGCCTCAGAGTTAGGCCTCAGAGTCAGGCCCAGAGTGAGGCCCAGAGGCCCGGGTTACTAACACTAACCCTTTTTAAAAACCTCAAGATGAATTGACTTCTATATATTGTTGAATTTAAATTCATTGACCTTTGCACAAATGGGTAAACAAAATTGGGAATTGAACCTAATCCCAGATGATAAAGGCAGAGAGCTACTCCTTTAAGCGGTCCTGGCATAACATTGGTGATTTATTGGTGTGAACGAGGCTGATATTTATTATTATTATAGTTATTATTTATCATCACATATTTGTTACTAGTGCAAAAAGTGCATTTACAACAGTAAATAATCATAATTAATTATACAATCTGAAATATTAAGTGTATTATTGTTCATTTCTAAATACTTAGTGCTATCTGGAAGGGGGTGAAGAGCTACAGGTTGGAGGCCTCTGGTGTAGATGGAGCTGCCCCCCCCTTCCCCTGCTCCCATTGGTCGGAGCCAGGAGCCTGAAAGAAGCAGTGTCTGTGCTGTGTGTGTTTTAGTTTAGTATTCATGACTGAGAGGACTGAGCCCTAGTCTGAGCCTGAGTCTGAGCCTGAGCCCGAGCCCTAACCGGGCCCGAGCCCAAGCCCGAGTCCGAGTCCGAGTCTGAGTCTAATGTCAGCTCTCACCCAGGTGTATGGGACTTACCTGAGCGTAGTCTCTCTCCACAGCCGCCCTCTTCAGACTGAAGGTCCTGTACACAACACACTCTGTTTATACACACATATACACATACACACAAATATACACATATATACAAATACACACGTACACACAAATATACACATACATACAAATACACACAAACATACAAATAAACACATACACACAAATACACACATAGACCCAAATAGACACATACTTCAGGACAGAGACCTGAGACCAGGACTAATGTGAGAGGACTTCAGGACAGAGACCTGAGACCAGGACTAATGTGAGAGGACTTCAGGACAGAGACCTGAGACCAGTACTAATGTGGGAGGACTTCAGGACAGAGACCTGAGACCAGGACTAATGTGAGAGGACTTCAGGACAGAGACCTGAGACCAGGACACATGTGAGAGGACTTCAGGACAGAGACCTGGGACAAGGACTAATGTGAGTCTTAAGTGCGAGACTGTAAACTTCCAAGTGATCGTTAATGACTGAACCAGAGACTTCAAATGAGATGATTACAGACTTCAGACCTCGCTGCTGCAGGACTGGTCTCAGACTGTTCTCAGACTGTTCTCAGACAGGTCTCGGTCTGGTCTCGGACTGGTCTCAGACTGGTCTGTGTTGGCGAATCGACATCTTTGTAAAGTCCTCAGAGGTAAACACTGTTGTGTTCAATTTAAAATTCATTAAATTGAACTGATGTCAAAGTATTGGATCCAGAGAGAAGTGTTTCAGACCAGAGTCAGTCCAGGGACCGAGGTCCAGGTCTGTCTCTGTCTCTCTCTCTTCTGTCTCTCCTCTCTTCTCTCTCTTCTCCCTCTCTCTCTGTCTTTCTCTCTCTCTCTGTCTCTCTCCTCTCGTTTTTCTCTCTGTCTCTCTCTCCTCTGTCTCTCTCTCTTATCCCTCTCTCTCTGTCTTTCTCTCTCTCTCTCTGTCTCTCTCCTCTCGTCTTTCTCTCTGTCTCTCTCTCCCTCTCTGTCTCTCTCTCTCTTCGTCTCTCTCTCTTGCTCTTCTCTCTCTCTCTCTCTCTCTGTGTTCTGTCCTCTTCTCTCTGCCACACACCACAGAAGTCCAAGATCTTGGACCTCCATGTTCTGATGAACTATAGACCCAGGAACAGGAGAAACGACAGTAGCTCAGTTGGTAGAGCACTGGCCTTCAGGCCTGAAGGTCGTGGGTTCAATTCCCACCTCCACACCTTCTCCACCGACTCCCACTGATGACTGCTGTCGTTGTGTCCTTGGGCAAGACACTTAACCCCACTTTGCCCAAAGCCCCCACTGAAAGATCAAGGCTATGCTCTCACTCAGAGAGCAGCCGTCCTCCTGTGGACTCACCACCTGCAGAGGGTCAGTGAGGGGCTGGTGCTATGAGACTTGGGTGGCATCTCTGACTGCCACCCCCCTGACCCAGAAATGGATTAAAGGGAAGAAAATGGATGGATGGATGGATGTTGATCTGAAATAGATTCCGGAAAAAAAAATCCTATATTTTATAAAAAGAACGTGTTTTTCATGAATTTAAGTTGTCTATGCTCTAACCTGTGTGTGACGTCATAGCGGGTAACGCCCATGCATTGAAAACCATGGATCTATGCCACAGGAATGCCTTTTCTCTCTTCTCTCCACTGATGCCCAACACAATACTGCACTCTACAGGTGACAATTGCTCACTACACATAAATTGCCGTTTTGAGAGCGCAAATGTGTCTGAGGCGGGATTTGACCCCAAGTCTCTGGATTGGCAGTCCATCGACACAACCACTGGACTATTTTAGTGCCAACGAAAGACTATAATCTAGTAGTAATTTCATACTCGCTGTACACGGCCTTGTCATCTTGAATACCCGCGAAAAAAGAACGAATACCAAATTGTAAACAACTTACAGCGTTGAAACGTACCCACTCTGACGTCACCAAGGGCTGTGAAGTTTTTTCGTCTCTAAGGGCGTTGCTATAGGGTTATTTCGATTTGGGGGGATCAGACAAAAAAAACAACAACTGATTTTGAAACCTTTAGTAGTTCTCTTCTAATATAAAATGATATTAAAACTGTATTTCTAAATAAATCAAACCCGGCATAAGGTCTTTAACATATCCTGATACAGACAGATGTGATTCATGGTCTCATATTATTCAAAGTACAGGCCCCTCAGAGCACAGGTACAGGTCTCTCAGAGCATAGGTACAGGTCCCTCAGAGCACAGGTACAGGCCCCTCAGAGCACAGGGAAAGGTTCCTCTGAGCACAGGTACAGGTCTCTCAGAGCACAGGTACAGGTCCATCAGAGCACAGGTACAGGTCCATCAGAGCACAGGTACAGGTCCCCCAGAGCACAGGTACAAGTCTCTCAGAGCACAGGCACAGGTCCCTAAGAGCACAGGTACGGGTCTCTCAGAGCACAGGGACAGGCCCCTCAGAGCACAGGTACAGGTCTCTCTGAGCACAAGTACAGGTCTCTCAGAGCACAGGTACAGGTCTCTCAGAGCACAGGTACAGGTTTCTCAGAGCACAGGTACAGGTCCCTCAGAGCACAGGTACAGGTCCCTCAGAACACAGGTACAGGTCTCTCAGAGCACAGGCACAGGTCTCTCAGAGCACAGGTACAGGTCTCTGGACCGTGAAAAGTCTTTCTGTGTCATAAATGTCCAGTCTGTGAGAACCATCTTCACAGAACCATCTGCGTCTGTTTACAAAATCCACACACATGGTACTGTGTGTGTCCACATGGTACAGTGTGTGTCCACATGGTACAGTGTGTGTCCACATGTTACAGTGTGTGTCCACATGGTACTGTGTGTGTCCACATGGTACAGTGTGTGTCCACATGGTATTGTGTGTGTCCACATGGTGCAGTGTGAGTCCACATGTGTGTGTCCACATGGTACTGTGTGTGTCCACATGGTGCAGTGTGAGTCCACATGTGTGTGTCCACATGGTACTGTGTGTACCTGAGGTCCTCCAGCAGCTCACACTCGCTCTGGTGCTTCAGCTGCAGTCTGTTGGTCTGCTCTGCGTGTACAGCCTTCAGCTCCTGTGTCACCCGGACCTGCACACAGCCACAGTCAGGGTCCGGATGTTTGCAGTAAAACCCCATTGGAATAACTGTACAAGAGCCCCCAGTGTGCATCAGTCACCAGTGTGAAACAAAAACAGCTTCAATCTTTCGGGAACAATCAAAAACTGTTGTACAAACCCTGAAGTAAATTATGTAGTGATGTATCTGGACTTATTTGAACAGGTTGAGAAGCGCCACGGGGCCTTTAGCCTTTAGCTAATATTTATTGCTAATTGCTAAGTGGTGTTTACTTAACAAATGTTTTAGCTAATTGTACGTCATTAGCCCTAATACCTTCTACTGTTGTTAGCCTTAAGCCAAGCCCTGCATTTAGAAAGAGAGATAGATAAATAAATAGATATAGATAGATACTTTATCGAGGAATTTTCATCAATTCTATCCTCTTCTGATAATTTGATCATTTTAACTGGTGATTTTAACACACACATTGACACTCCTTCACACAGCCAACTCACAACTGAGGACACACCCTTGACCTGGTCATTACCTGACTGTGGGTGTGTCCTCTGTTGTCGACTTGGGTGTTTTTAACATCCAAGTCGTGTTTTGTGTTGGGTGTTTTTAACATCACTGGTTTTATTCAGCGTGAGACCTCTGTGAGAAACATGAGGAAGCAACATCTAACCCCTGAAGTGGCTGTAAATTTTCATCTAGATAACACTCCCCACTTTTTACCTGCCCATGTAATTTTATAGCAAATGATTTTAATATTGATCTCTGTAGGAGTATGCAGGTGTCCAGCAGTAGAAACACATCCACACACACATGCACAGATTAATTACAATTCATTCATCAGATCTCCCATATAAACTTGTAATGGTGCGTTCAGACGCCGACGCTAGAACGCAGCTTCCGCGTTCACCAGATGCACATTCTCTAAATTTCAGAGGCAGGGGTGTTTGATGCTAACGGAGTTAAGCTAGCGGCTTCCTGTGTAAAGTTCTTCTACAATAATGCAGCTCTGCAGCGTCTCTGTGTCTGAGACCTTCACAGACTTTATATAACATTAGTATGTGTTCACGGAGGTGACTTTATATAACAGCAGTATGTGTTCACGGAGGTGACTTTATATAACAGCAATATGTGTTCACAGAGGAGACCTTATATAACAGCAGTATGTGTTCACGGAGGTGACTTTATACAACAGCAGTATGTGTTCACGGAGGAGACCTTATATAACAGCAGTATGTGTTCACGGAGGTGACTTTATATAACAGCAGTTTGTGTTCACGGAGGTGAATTTATATAACAGCAGTATGTGTTCACGGAGGTGACTTTATATAACAGCAGTTTGTGTTCACGGAGGTGAATTTATATAACAGCAGTTTGTGTTCACGGAGGTGACTTTATATAACAGCAGTATGTGTTCACGGAGGTGACTTCATAAAACAGCAGTTTGTGTTCACGGAGGTGACTTTATATAACAGTATTATGTGTTCACGGAGGTGACTTTATATAACAGCAGTATGTGTTCACGAAGGTGACTTTATATAACAGCAGTTTGTGTTCACGGACGTGACTTTATATACCAGCAGTATGTGTTCACGGAGGTGACTTTATATAACAGCAGTATGTGTTCACGGACGTGACTTTATATAACAGCAGTATGTGTTCACGGACGTGACTTTATATAACAGCAGTTTGTGTTCACGGAGGTGACTTTATATAACAGCAGTATGTGTTCACGGAGGTGACTTTATATAACAGCAGTTTGTGTTCACGGAGGTGACTTTATATAACAGCAGTTTGTGTTCACGGAGGTGACTTTATATAACAGCAGTATGTGTTCACGGAGGTGACTTTATATAACAGCAGTATGTGTTCACGGAGGTGATTTTATATAACAGCAGTATGTGTTCATGAGTTCATGGGTGAACACGCTCATAGCAGTTTTATACAGTCACAGGAGCATGAGAACACATATGTTCACAAGGACATAAACTTATATCTTATCTTTAAAGCACGGTGGCTGAGTGGATAGCACTCTCGCCTCTCAGCAAGAAGGTCCTGGGTTCGAATCCCGGTCGGACCAGGGCCTTTCTGAGTGGAGTTTGCATGTTCTCCCCGTGTCTGCGTAGGTTTCCTCCGGGTACTCCGGTTTCCCCTACCACTAAAAATATGTCCAATAGTTCTAGCATGCGCCTCCTGTACTGGCGACCCCGCTCCCATCTCTGTGTGGATTGAGAGACAAATGCCCAAAAATTAACAATTGTGAACCGCTTTGAGACTCAGATCTGCAGTGAAAAGGCGGTATATAAATAAAGATTACTTACTTACTACTACTACTACTTAAAGTGGTTCTCACCCCCGCTCCTCGGAGCTTACGTTACTCACATTTCCTGTTCAAATCTTCCTCTAAATGGGCGTAGCCTGGAGGACTAAAGGGGGCGTGAACGAGACTGGGCCGTTTACATTGCTCTGGGCGGGGGGCTGCTGACGTCAGGTCCAACTTGCAGACGTCAGGTCCAACTTCTGTGCCAGTGTTGGCGCCAGATTCAAAATTCAAATGTAGTAATACAGGTCGCCAGCAGATGGCGCCTCACAGACGGTTTTAGGCAGAAAGTCTAAAGGCGCGTTCAGACCAAAAGCTTCAAAAAGCTTTTGACGCGCGTCAGCTGACGCCGGGTTATTTTTGTCATTTTGGTGCTTGAAGCTTTTGACGCGAGTGACGCGCCTGACGCTGGTGGGAGGAGCTTCTCTGTTGCCGGTGTAGTCCAGAGAAGATGGCGGATTTCCGAAGAGCAGCTTGCCTTTATTTGTTGTTCAAATCCATACAACGTCGTCGTAGGGCTTCTACACAACGTGTATGGGTTCACAGCATACTTCAGAGGCGTGCAGTGTTTGGCGAGTTTCACCATTTACTCCAGGAGCTGCGTATGGACGAGGCTCGCTTTCAGCGGTACTTCCGAATGTCAGTAGCCCAGTTTGATGACCTGCTCACCCGCATCGGAGCTCGCATCGCCCGCATGGACACCAACTACAGGCGCTCGATTCCAGCGGAAGAGCGCCTGTCTATCTGTCTGAGGTTAGTGAGAATTTTCTGATAAAATATCTACAAATACAATAGGAAATAGCGTCCCTAGCATGGATCACGGAGCGAGAGAGAGGAGCAGCCAAAAGCAGTAGTTAAACGTTGAATATACGTTTTAATTAGGACATAAAAGTTAATTGTAATAACATTTCAGGCGGGAAATATACCCCACTAATGTCATATCAGAGGTCTGTTTGGTGATTAAATAGATATTTAAATTTTTGTCGGACTTTTTCCCTCCAGCGCGGAGCTCCAATGCTAACCGGCTAACCACGGGTGTTGAGCGGCGCTGAACACCCGTGAACCCAAGGAGGCTTTTGTTACAGACTTTCTCTGTTATAACGATTGTATTTAGAGTAATCATTAATACAATTGATATATTTGCTATGGCCCTCGTTTGTGCATTTGAAGTCATTTTGAAGGTGCATTGTGTCACTGTAGTGAAGTTATTAGAAAACTGATCAATTAAATCAGCATTGTCTGCTACTTAGTACTTAATATATTCAGATTCCCAAGTGATTAACCCCCCTGTGATTTCACAAGAGAGGGTACATTTCCATTGTTGGTGCAATTCCTGAAAACAAATTTACACAATCATATTGTATGATTAATTTAAAATATTTTTGTATATTGCTGAGTCGTATTTGTATCATTGTAGGTTTCTTGCTACTGGGGACTCCTTCAGGACCATAGCAAGCAGCTTCAGGGTGGGCATCTCCACCATCTCCAGCATCATCCCAGATGTGGTGGCAGCCATCTGGGACGGCCTGGTGGAGGAGTTCATGCCTGTGCCTGGAGAAGAGGAGTGGAGGTTGTCTGCTATGGAGTTTGAGGAGCGGTGGAACTTCCCTCTTTGTTGTGGTGCTATAGATGGGAAGCACATCAACCTCAAGGCACCCCCCAACTCAGGCTCCCTGTACTTCAACTACAAGGGTAGGCACTCCTTGGTCCTCCTTGCTATTGTAGATGCCAACTACAAGTTCAGGGTGATTGACGTAGGGGGCTATGGCAGAACCAGCGATGGAGGGATCCTGGCCAACTCCACCTTCGGTCAGGCTCTGCATGCGGGAACACTTCCTCTGCCAGCTGACCGGCATCTCCCTGGAGCAGAGCACCGAGGCCCCCTGCCCCATGTCTTTGTGGCAGATGAGACCTTCCCACTGCGGAGGAACTTAATGCGGCCTTTTCCAGGAAGTGGCGGCGCTAACCCTGGACAGCGCATTTTTAATTACCGCCTCTCCCGAGCCCGGCTGGTGGTGGAGGATGCGTTTGGCATTTGGTCATCGCAGTGGAGGATGTTTCGTCGGGACCTCGAGATCCGGCCAGAAGTTGTGGAGAAGTGCGTGAAGGCCACATGTGTTCTCCACAATTTCCTGAGGGTGTCTGCTCCGGTCCCAGTCCTGAGAGGAGCTGCAGCGCAGGGAGATGACTGTCTTCCAGGTGTCGGGAGGATGGGTGCCAACAACGCCACCAGAGAGGCACTGCAGGCGAGGGAGGCGTTCATGGCCCACTTCTGTGAGGAGGGGGCAGTAGCATGGCAGCCGACAGAGTAGTCAGATCCTCACGGGACTGACCCAAAACGGTTCTTTTAAGAGCCACCCATGAAAACTAAAGAGCATTTCTTCTTTAATAATATTTGAGTGTCTGTATTTGCCAATGCATTACTTTTGAATATCAGGACACAAATACTACAACATCCTGATCATGAATTCTAGTCTTGGATAAAGACCATGTCTATGTTTATCCAGTATGTTTTTGAACCATTCACCTGTGCCCTTCTTGTTTGCAGGTAATAGTTCCAGATTCTGCAGCTGTCTCCGACTTCACAACATGTTCAAGCATGGCCTCAATTACAAGTTTGTCCAAACAGGATATGCTGAAATTAATTATGTCAACTAATTTCTATTGTCTCATATTTGGTGATAACGTGTTTACGAGTAAAGTTCTCCTTAATTGAAGTATTTGAAATTAGTGATATTTAACTTATTTGAACACATACCTTAATGAAAAACCTGTACATATTTAAAGTAGCAGACCAAATCTTAAGTTATAAATTTTTTAATGAAATATGTAAAAACAAATATATACACAAAAAACAGAAACAGGAATAAAAAGGACCTTGCTTGGAGGAGGAGGAGGAGTGCAGGAAGGAGAAGAGTCTGTTTCCTCCCCTGCAAAAGAAGCCACCTCATAGCTAAACACTACTACTAAGTGTGCTCCAATTGTTCCACATTAAGCGTAAATGCGCTGCTCTCATAAAGTAATTTATGAATTTGGAATTTGACAAATTCTAAAGATTGAGGTGGCACCTTATCCAGGAGAGGAAGCAGAGATTGGAGGAAGAGCTCATTTTGTGATGGAGCTGGAGCTGCAGTCTGCCGCAGGAGGGCCATCAGCTCCAGCTCCAAGCGCGATAGCTCCTGGGCGGAGGTGTCCTGGGTGGTGCGCTTCCTCGCTCTCTTCCTTTGTGGACCTGCAAACACCACAAGACAATGGCTTTAAAAATATAAAGTCATGAGTATGTAGGATCTGATAATCTATGAACAACTTTTAAATCCTTTTCTTATGTTAAATAAAATAACTAGATCCTATGTAAAAACAGTATTCGATTTGTATATTTCACTTTTTGATGCCCACATATTCAAAAGTATTTGTGAAATGTTTAATATAACGTTTATACATTCACAACAATAAAATTGATTTCCTACACACCTGTAGGTGCAGCAGCAGGGGAACGACCAGCAGCAGAGGAAGAACCAGCAGCAGAGGACGGTCCAGGAGCCGAGGACGGTCCAGGAGCCGAGGACGGTCCAGGAGCCGAGGACGGTCCAGGAGCCGAGGACGGTCCCGGAGCCGAGAACGGTCCAGAGGCCGAGGACGGTCCAGCACTCGGCTCTGTCTCTGAACTTGACTCCGTATCAGCGTCATCTGTTATTAAATAAATTACTTTCACTTCACAGCACGTGTACAATCATTTTAAGAACGTTAATACTCATATAAATAACCTTGCTATAAACAATAATGACAACGAAACAGTTTAGTGGGAAGCTGCATGACTTCTTTCCATACATTGTTTTAGCTACAGACCTACATCTGACATTAGTTTACAGCATATGTACATTTATTTTGCCAGTTGCTTATTAAGAACGTTAATACTCATAAATAACCTTGCTATAAACAATGACAACAAAACAGTTTAGTGGGCAGCTGCATGACTTCTTTCCATACATTGTTTTAGCTACACACCTACATCTGACATTAGTTTACAGCATATGTACATTTATTTTGCCAGTTGCTTATTAAGAACGTTAATACTCATAAATAACCTTGCTATAAACAATAATGACAACAAAACAGTTTAGTGGGCAGCTGCATGACTTCATTCAATACATTGTTTTAGCTACAGACCTCCTGCAACTGACACCTCCGCTGCTGCTGGTTCTTCCTCTTGGAGGTGGCTGTCCCCCCTCTCCTCCTCGGCCCTGTGTGCTGTCATGTTACCAGTAGATGGCCTCGGTGTTACGTAGGGCTCGAGGAAGGAGAGCGATGCCAAGTACCTCCACCTCTGCACTGTCCCCTGCTGCTGCTGCCACCACTGCGCCTCCTCTCTTTCTCCTTCCTGCACTCCCTCATGAACCTGTCCCTCAGGCTTTTCCACCTCTTTTTGATTTCTTTCTCTATATGAACAAATGGACTTGTGAGCGGGAACAGAAATCATAGCGACTGTACATTGTACGACTCCTGACCGGAGTTTACTAAACATGGAATACAGATATGAATTCTTTACATAACTTACCATCGTACCCGATCTCCTCGCTTATCCTCCTCCAAGCAAGGTCCTTTTTATTCCTGTCCCTGTATAGCGGGCTGGAAACAGCGTAAAGCTCTGGGCGAGAGCTAATCGCCACGATTAAGCTCTCCTCCATGTTCTCGAATATGATTTTGTTTCCCGCTTCCACCGGCTTCATCGTAGAGCGACCCTGTCTCCTGATTGGTTGAAGCCCGCGTCAAAGCTTCAAAAGCTCAGCTTTGCTCAGCTTCGGCGTCAAAGGGATTGTTGTGATACGCGAGCGATTCGCGCGTCAAAAGCTTCAAGTGAGCGCGTATTACGCGCGACCTTTGAAGCTTTTGACGCGCGCCAAGTGACGCCGGGCCCCTCGGCTTCACCTGACGCGCTTCACCATTCACTTTCAATGCAAACCTGACGCTTTTGACGCCGAAGTTAAGTCCGGTGTGAACGCCCCTTAACTTTCAACTAATTTGCACCAAAGTGACAAAATTATGACCAGGATATGTAGACAACACTATTGGACACTAATTTATACCGTTTATCAGCAAAAAAAAGTGGATTTGAGGGTGAGTTGTCCTTTAAAGTCAGACCATGTCCACAAAACAGCTGAGCCTTAAAGGGACAGTACCTCTCAAACCACAAACAAAACCATCTAGTTCCTGGATTTGAACAGTTTGGGCCCTCGCTCAGCCAATCAGCTCTCTGCGTCTGTTACATAATGACACGGCTATCATACATATGCTCTATAGATATAGATTTAAATATAAACATTACCTTCTTGGCCTACAACAGACATGTCAGACTCAGGCTAGTGGGCCAAATCTGGCCGCCAGACCAGCTTCAGTGGGCCCTAAAGTGGTTTACATTTGTTATAATGAACATGCAGCCTTTAAGGTAATAGCCTTCCATGGCATGTTATACATCATCTATTATCTCAGGACAACAACTGTGTGGGTGTGTGTGTGTGTGTGTGTGTGTGTGTGTGTGCAACACTGACATTTCCCTGTGAGACCAGTTAAATATTTATTAACTGTAGTTTCACTTTTTACGTGGCAAAGGGTTCAAAGTACAAACTCAGTCCCGGCCTAGCTCAGTCCCACAGACCCAGCTCAGTCCAGGCCCAGCTCAGTCCAGGCTGGAGGTCCTGAAACACGATCCCGCATAAACATTTGCTCTGACTTTTCCCGGTCCTGTCCCGGTCCCAAACTGGCCCGTACGTGACGCAGCCTCCGTGAGTCTGACCACAAACGTTAAAAGATGTTCCAATCATTTCAAAGCATTCGTGATGGGTTCTGATGAACGTGTCGCACTTTCTCACAACTGTCAGGTCTCGTCCTGCGTCATTGATCCTCGACAGATGTGTAGCAAAGAAAAACATCCAAACCATATCTGAATGTGTCATAACGAGTCCAAAAACTATTTAACAAGTAGCGGACAGCCATCAAAGTAACTGGGATCAGAGGACACAGCTGAATGTAAAAAGAGCTTTAAAGTGAGCTAAAGTCACAGGGTTTAGTGGAAAAGCCAATTAAATATAAATATATAAATATATAATGTAACACGTGCCTAAAGTGACTGCTCCAGCTTCTTTACTGAACAATAAGTCTGTGTTACTAGAGATAAAGGCAGGAGGAAAAACACACTTTCACTACGAGAGCAGAGAGAACAACATTTACTTTAAAGTTATAAAATAGTTGTAATTCCCGATGTTATATAAAGCTCCCATCTCCCCCGACCCCAGAGCAACACGTTTCTGCAACATTACACTTCAATCAAAACAATGTCTGAAGTCCTTCCATCAATATATCAAGTTTAAGACTCAGGAGAAGTACTTTAATCTGAGGAAACGTGAGTCTGTGAATGTGAGCCGAGTTTATTACAGCGTTACACACAACAAAGCAACTGGATTAAATATGCAGAGGTTTGTGGCGTTAGCTCCGGAGCTAAAATGGGGGAAAAGTTTACCTTCCTCGGTGGGGGCTGCATGTCTGGGCTCAGGACCGAACAAAGAGGAAAGAGTCCCAAAGTGCGGGGAAAGTCCGAGTCTCTGCGTGGACCGTGGGGCTAACGGCTCAGCTGGGAGACCATGGCAGGTCTGAGGGCTCTGTGTCCGGGAGACGGTCTGCTCCAGGCCCGTGGAAAACACTGTGGCCCCAGGGACCAGAAAACACGAGAGGGAGGGGGAGGGAGGAGGGAGGAGGGAGAGGCGGGAAGAGAGGAGGGTGAAGAGCGGGGAGGGGGAGGATGGAGGGAGAGAGGGGGGGGAGGGAAGAGCGGGGATGTTCTTCCTCCATGAAGTGTTACTTGTTCCTGTTATTTCAAAGTAATGCGTTACTTCTGTCTCTGTAAAGCAGGGGTGTCCAAACTTTTTAGTAATAGGGCCACTTGTCCAGGGGCCGACAACGCAGATTGGAAAAATATTTTTTGACTGGAATTGGTGTATTTTGAGATGTAAAAGGACATGAGCGCAGCTGTAGCTACAGTAGTTTATCACCACCGTGCTAAACCATGGATAAAAACTGGATAGTGTATTACTAGCTTATAGCTGTCCCACCCATGACCACAGGGGGCGCTGTGGTACTGCAGACTAAATTCACGTGGGCTACCCAGAGAAAAGTCCCATAGAACTCAATGTAAATTAATACATCTCGACCTCAGCTTACAGAGAACCTAAAGCTTTCATAAAGATCTGATTTTGTGGGGATTTTAGTGTCCCTTGTCATCCTGAACTTTTTTTCTTCTTAAATCCTTCGGTTTCCTTCAAATCCACACTTCCCGCGCTGACTCCCGCTCTGATCAGCAGCTCTGATTGGTCAAAGCGTGGCGGAACCTTTCTGTGCACGTGCATGAGAGCCACACACGCGTATTTTGGGCAAAGCATCATGGGAGCTCGTCCACTGCGCAGAACCAGGAGGACCAGACGATGCCCAAATATGGGAAAGTTCCTCCAATATCTCGGCCCCGTGAAGTCCCATAAACTACTGAGCGCAAATCATTCATTTGAACAGGACGCCATCTTGGATCACTGGGGCTTGGTGCGGAGTGATAGAATAATGACATCTGAAGCGTCTTTGTGTGTCCAAAAGCGCTATATAAAACCAATACATTATTATTATTAGTAATCTCAATGGTACTTTGGGTTAGCAAGGCAGAGGGCCACATAACAGTGGGCCGCAATTGGCCTTCGGGCCTAAGCTTGGACATGCCTGCTGTAATGTATTACACTACTGCATTACTTTGAAGTTACTCTCCCCAAATATATAAAATACAAACTAAATACACTTCTGCATCAGCCTCAATCCTGGGTCTACAGCCTCAGTCCTGGGTCTACAGCCTCAGTCCTGGATCTACATCCTCAGTCCTGGGTCTACAGCCTCAGTCCTACAGCCTCAGTCCTGGGTCTACATACTCAGTCCTGGGTCTACAGCCTCAGTCCTACAGCCTCAGTCCTGGGTCTACAGTCTCAGTCCTGGATCTACAGCCTCAGTCCTGGATCTACATCCTCAGTCCTGGGTCTACAGCCTCAGCCCTGGGTCTACAGTCTAAGTCTTGGATCTACAGCCTCAGTCCTGGATCTACATCCTCAGTCCTGGGTCTATAGCCTCAGTCCTGGATCTACATACTCAGTCCTGGGTCTACAGCCTCAGTCCTACAGCCTCAGTCCTGGGTCTACAGCCTCAGTCCTGGGTCTACAGCCTCAGTCCTGGGTCTACAGTCTCAGTCCTGGGTCTACCGCTTCAGTCCTGGGTCTACAGCCTCAGTCCTGGGTCTACAGTCTCAGTCCTGGGTCTACAGCCTCAGTCCTGGATCTACAGCCTCAGTCCTGGGTCTACAGCCTCAGTCCTGGGTCTACAGCCTCAGTCCTGGGTCTACAGCCTCAGTCCTGGATCTACAGCCTCAGTCCTGGGTCTACAGCCTCAGCCCTGGGTCTACAGCCTCAGTCCTGGATCTCTGGTCTAACAGCCTCAGTCCTGGGTCTACAGCCTCAGTCCTGGATCTACAGCCTCAGTCCTGGTCTACAGCCTCATCCTGGTCTACAAGCCTCAGTCCTTGGGTCCTACAGCCCTCAGTCCTGGATCTACAGCCTCAGGGCTTCATCGTTAGAGCGACCTGTCTCCTGATGGTTGAAGCCCGCGTCAAAGCTTTCAAGCTCAGCTTTGCTCAGCTTCGGCGTCAAAGGGATTGTTGTGATACGCGAGCGATTCGCGCAGTCAAAAAGGCTTCAAGTGAGCGCGTATTACGCGCGACCTTTGAAGCTTTTGACGCGCGTCAAGTGACGCCTGGCCCCTCGGCTTCACCTGACGCGCTTACCATTCACTTTTCAAGGCAAACTGACGACTTTTGACGCCGAAGTAAGTACGGTGTGAACGCCCTTGTACACGACTGAATGTGGTTTACGTTGTGCTGATGCTGGGTGATGCAAACTTGCTGTTGTGCTAATGCTAAACCTTGTTGTGCTAACGATACATGCTATTCACTGGCCAGGCTAAAACAATGTTATTGTACTACTCTTAACACTGCTATAAAGCAAAACTTCTGCTATGAGCTAACTCTGCTTCTGTGCTAACACTTAACGTGCTAAACGCTAACAGCTAACTTCTCAAGCTAACTCCCTGATCCCAGGCTAACTTCTCTACTCTTACCCATGCTAACGCCGGTGTAACGCCGAGTTACCCTGTCTTGAAGAGATACAGCCTCAGCTTTTTGAGGTATGCAAACCTGTGGCATGCGCGTCTCTCGGCGCCGAAGCATACCAAGAGGCGGACCCTGAATTGCTAAAAGTTGAACTACGAACGAAGTAAACACGAATGTCACTTTTAATGCAATTTGAGCGAGGGGGGGGGGGGGAGTTGATGGTTCCCGTTTTTGATCACATGTGGGTTTTAAGAGTAATGTTTCGTGCAAAGTATAGTTTAAGCAGTCAACGCGCCTGTGGAAACCACAAAAGCTATTGTTTTCCATTAGCAGTCCGCGGCTGCGAGTAGGCTAGATGACGCGTCTGTGGCCACTCTACACTCTTACACTGGTTATGTGGGTTGATATGGAAAATGGGGAAAAAAATCTATCTAATTAAAATATTTTGTTGAAGAACAACATCTATTGTTACATCATATAAATTACAGTAAGATTACTGTATTGATTGAAATGTATTATTTCCATTACAACAGGACAGACCAGTGTAAGAGATGTAGAGTGGCCACAGGACGAGTCATCAGCCTACGTCAGCAGCCGCGGACTGCTATGACAACATTAGCTTTTGTGGTTTCAAGACGCAGTTGACTGCTTAAACTAAACTTTGCACAAAACTTTGACTCTTAAAAACCCACATGTGACAAAACGGAACCATCCACATCTCGCCTCAAATTGCCATTAAAAGTGGACATTCGTGTTCTTAATTTGTTCGTTATTTTCAACTTTTAAAAGCAATTCACGGTCCGCCATCTTGGTATGCTCGGTTTGGCCGTGAGTCGCGCAAGACCGGTTTGATTAACCATAAAACAGCTGAGGCAGGTGCATCTCTTCAGACAGTGAATCTCGGCGTTACACCGGTGCTAAACTGCTGATCCTTGATACAGCACCGCTGCCTAACCACAGTGCGCAGCCTACCCTCAGCTACCAGCTAGCACGCTAACAGGCTAACCACCAGTGCGCACTCGAGGCTACCCTCAGCTACAGCTAGCACCGACTAACAGCTTACCACGTGCGCTCGCAGGCTACCAACAGGTACCAGCGTAGCACGCTAACCGCTAACACTGTGCGCAAGTACCCTCAGCTAACAAGCTAGCACGCTATCAGTAACCACAGTGCGCAGGCTATCCACAGCTAGCACGCTAACAGCTAACCTCAGTGCGCTGGTTACCAACAGTGCGCAGGCTATCCACAGCAGTAGCGACTGCCAATAACAGAGCGCAGGCTACCCTCAGCTAACAGCTAGGCACGCTATAGCAAACCACAGTGCGCAGGCTACCCACAGTACCAGCTAGCACGCGAATAGCTAATCCAGTGCACTGGCTATCCACAGCTAGTACGCTACAGCCATAACAGTTGCGCAGGCTACCTCAGCTAACAGCTTAGCCGCTATCAGTAACCACAGTGCGCAGGCTATCCACGCTAGCATGCTAACAGTACCCACGCCAGTACGCTACGCAATACAGATGCGCAGGCTACCCTCAGCTACAGCTAGCACGCTACGCTAACCACAGTGCGCAGGCTACCACAGCTACCAGCTAGCACGCGAAGAGCTAACAGTGCACAGGCTTTCCACAGCTAGTACGATACAGCAATACATGCGCAGGATCCCCTCAGCTAACAGCGAGTAGCCGCTAAAGCTAACCACAGTGCGCAGACTACAACAGCCACCAGCTAGCACGCTAACAAGCTACCACAGTGACGCAGGCCCATCCAACCAGCTAGCTCGCTACAGGCCACTTGCAGTGCGCAGGCTAGCCTCAGCTACCAGTTAAACACGCTACCGCTTAACCACAGTGGCTACCCCAGCTAACAGCGCGCAGGCTATCCACAGCCAACCAGCTTGCCACGCTGACAGCAAACCACTGCAAGGCAACCAACAGCTAGAAACTAAAGCTCAATGTGCAATGCTAATTAACTAATCATTGGCATGTACCACTGGCCTAAAACTACTATCAGCTAACAACTGACTAGGTGTGTGATATGACAAGCTATTCCTGACGCAAAACCCAACTGCCCAGGATTACGCTTATACACCGCACACACAACTCAAACCACTGCTGTTTAATCGCTCTCTCCCATTATCAGTCATTTAGGACAACATTGGATCATTCGAAGATCCTCACTGAACTTCTGGAGTGAGTTTGCTGCACTGAAAGTAAAGGGGCCAAATAATATTGCACGCCCCATTTTTCAGTTTTTTATTTGTTAAAAAAGTTTAAATTATCCAATAAATTTCGTTCCACTTGACGATTGTGTCCCACTTGTTGATTCATGACAAAAAATAAAATTTTTATATCTTTATGTTTGAAGCCTGAAATGTGGCGAAATGTTGAAAGGTTCAAGGGGGCGGAATACTTTCGCAAGGCACTGTATCTCAATCCTTACTTTGACAGATCGAATTCGGCGCAGAGTGACCAGGTCTCCGTCCTGATTGGTCAGAGAGCTGGTGTTGTACTGGAAACCTGCAGGACATACATCAGGACATACATCAGGACAAACAGCAGAGATACATCATCAGGACATACATCAGGACAAACAGCAGACATACATCATCAGGACATACAGTGCCTTGCGAAAGTATTTGGCCCCCTTGAACCTTTCAATATTTCGCCACATTTCAGGCTTCAAACATAACGATATAAAATATTAATTTTTTGTCATGAATCAACAACAAGTGGGACACAATCGTGAAGTGGAACAACATTTATTCGATAATTTAAACTTTTTTAACAAATAAAAAACTGAAAAGTGGGGCGTGTAATATTATTCGGCCCCTTTACTTTCAGTGCAGCAAACTCACTCCAGAAGTTCAGTGAGGATCTTTGAATGATCCAATGTTGTCCTAAATGACTGATGATGATAAATAGAATGCACCTGTGTGTAATCAAGTCTCCGTATAAATGCACCTGCTCTTTGATAGTCTCAGGGTTCTGTTTAAAGCGCAGAGAGAACCATGAAGACAAAAGGAACACACCAGGCAGGTCCGAGATACTGTTGTGGAGAAGTTTAAAGTCGGATTTGGATACAAAAAGATTTCCCAAGCTTTAAACATATCAAGGAGCACTATGCAAGCAATTATATTGAAATGGAAGGAGTATCAGACCAGTGCAAATCTACCAAGACCCGGCCGTCCCTCCAAACTTTCATCTCAAACAAGGAGAAGACTGATCAGAGATGCAGCCAAGAGGCCCATGATCACTCTGGATGAACTGCAGATAACTACAGCTGAGGTGGGAGAGTCTGTCCATAGGACAACAATCAGTCGTGCACTGCACAAATCTGGCCTCTATGGAAGAGTGGCAAGAAGAAAGCCATTTCTCAAAGATATCCATAAAAAGTCTCGTTTAAAGTTCGCCACAAGCCACCTGGGAGACACACCAAACATGTTGAAGAAGGTGTTCTGGTCAGATGAAACCAAAATCGAACTTTTTGGCCACAAGTCAAAACGATATGTTTGGCGTAAAAGCAACACAGCTCATCACCCTGAACACACCATCCCCACTGTCAAACATGGTGGTGGCAGCATCATCGTTTGGGCCTGCTTTTCTTCAACAGGGACAGGGAAGATGGCTAAAATTGATGGGAAGATGGATGGAGCCAAATACAGGACCATTCTGGAAGAAAACCTGTTGGAGTCTGCAAAAGACCTGAGACTGGGACGGAGATTTATCTTCCAACAGGACAATGATCCAAAACATAAAGCCAAATCTACAATGGAATGGTTCAAAAATAGACGTATCCAGGTGTTAGAATGGCCAAGTCAAAGTCCAGACCTGAATCCAATCGAGAATCTGTGGAAAGAGCTGAAGACTGCTGTTCACAAACGCTCTCCATCCAACCTCACTGAGCTCAAGCTGTTTTGCAAGGAAGAATGGGCAAGAATTCCAGTCTCTCAATGTGCAAAACTGATAAAGACATACCCCAAGCGACTTGCAGCTGTAAATGCAGCAAAAGGTGGCGCTACAAAAGGTGGCGCTACAAAGTATTAGTGCAAGGGGGCCGAGTAATATTGCACGCCCTACTTTTCAGTTTTTTATTTGTTAAAAAAGTTTAAATTATCCAATAAATGTTGTTCCACTTCACGATTGTGTACCACTTGTTTTTGATTCATGACAAAAAAAAAAAAATTTATATCTTGAAATGTGGCGAAATGTTGAAAGGTTCAAGGGGGCTGAATACTTTCGCAAGGCACTGTACATCAGGACATACAGGAGACATACATGACTGCCACCCCCCCAACCCAGAAATGGATTAAGGAGAAGAAAATGGATGGCTGAATGGATGGAGCAGACATACAGCAGGAAATACAGCAGACATACATCAGGACATACAGCAGATATACAGCAGACATACATCAGGACATAAATCATCAGGACATACATCCTCAGGACATACATCAGGACATACAGCAGACATACAGCAGATATACAGCAGATATACAGCAGACATACAGTAGGACATACATCAGGACATACAGCAGGACATACATCATCATCATCATACAGCAGACATCCAGCAGATATACAGCAGACATACAGTAGGACATACAGCAGGACATACAGCAGGACATACAGCAGACATACACCAGGACATACAGCAGGACATACAGCAGACATACATCAGGACATACAGCAGACATACAGCAGACAGAATGATGACCTCTGACCTGTGACCTCTCCGCTGCAGGGGATCACTCCCAGAGAGATGGCTTTCCTCCTGAAGGCACTGAGCAGAGTCCAGGGGTCAAACCAGCCCTCGTTCTCCAGCCCTGAACAACACACACACACACGCACACACATTACAGTATACACACACACACACACACACATTACAGTACTGACACACACACACACACACACACACACACACACACACACACACACACACACAAACGTATGACTAGCAGTGGTAACCTCAGGGTTCTTCACGATACGATACGCGATACAAAGCTCACCATGACGATTATATCACGATAACGATTATATCACGATATGACGATTATCGATATATTGGTTAGCAATATAACATATGCCAATATATGGCATAAATAAAAGAAAAAAGTTAAAGTGGTTCTCACCCCTGCTCCTCGGAGCTTACGTCAATCACATTTCCTGTTCGAATCTTCCTCTAAATGGGCGTAGCCTGGAGGACTAAAGGGGGCGTGAACGAGACTGGGCCGTTTACATTGCTCTGGGCGGGGGGCTGCAGACGTCAGGTCTTGCTTCAGACGTCAGGTCTTGCTGCCGCGCCAGTGTTGGCGCCAGATTCAAAATTCAAATGTAGTAATACAGGTCGCCAGCAGATGGCGCCTCACAGACGGTTTTAGGCAGAAAGTTTAACTTTCAACTAATTTGCACCAAAGTGACAAAATTATGACCAGGATATGTACACAACACTATTGGACACTCAGGCTGAGTTTATACGGAGACAATGTGGCAGTAAAACGGTATAGTTGGATGTCGGTTGCTACCAACCGTTCATACGGAGACTGTGTTCCAGGGGGGTGAAAACGTAAGTGTTCAGATCCAGTCTGTAGAGTGGGACAACTCAGATACGCTGCACAGCGGGGAGCTCTTTCACACCCGCGAGAGGGGAAAAGGTGTGAAATCCCCCTCTGCTCTGACCCCCACCTCCGCGCTGCTCCCCGCACGTAAATTTGGACATGCGCAGTAGCGGAGAACAAACATCAACAACAATGGCGCCGCACACAAACTAGCTACGTGGGCTTCCAGCGCGGGACAGAGGATAACTCTACTCCTTCGTTCGTCCAAACGAGAACACGCGAAGCTCTAGGTTCAGTTTCCATGTTCACAGCTGCTGTTAAAATGCAGAATGATGTTGGTACTCTCTGAGGGTCTGGCACAGGAAGTGAGTATACTGCCGAGAGGGGGGCTGGGCACGGGGCTCGGGGTCGTGTGTCGTGTTGTAAAGTTTCTCTGCCCACTACTGGCCGGGCGCTAGAACTACATCGTTTTTCAACCTCATGTGAACGCTGAGAAATTTGCATTAGGAGCCAGGTCGTTTCTGTTAATAGCCTGGAAACGTCTGCACAGCGTCTCAGTATAAACAGGGCCTCATTTAAATCGTTTATCAGCAAAAAAAAAGGATTTGAGGGTGAGTTGTCCTTTAAGTAAAAAAATACACTTTATTTCATGATAAATGGAATGGAGATGCGTAATGTATCCATACAGTGCCTTGCGAAAGTATTCGGCCCCTTGAACCTCTCAACATTTCGCCACATTTCAGGCTTCAAACATAAAGATATGAAAATTTGAAAAATAAATCAAGAATTAACAACAAGTGGGACAAAATTGTGAAGTGGAACAAATTTATTGAATAATTTAAACTTTTTTAACAAATAAAAAACTGAAAAGTGGGGCGTGCAATATTATTTGGCCCCCTTGCGCTAATACTTTGTAGCGCCACCTTTTGCTGCAATTACAGCTGCAAGTCGCTTGGGGTATGTGTCTATCAGTTTTGCAAATCGAGAGACTGGAATTCTTGCCCATTATTCCTTGCAAAACAGCTCGAGCTCAGTGAGGTTGAATGGAGAGCGTTTGTGAACAGCAGTCTTCAGCTCTTTCCACAGATTCTCGATTGGATTCAGGTCTGGACTTTGACTTGGCCATTCTAACACCTGGATACGTCTATTTGTGACCCATTCCATTGTAGATTTGGCTTTATGTTTTGGATCATTGGGCCTCATTCACGAATAACTTCGTAAGAAACTACTCAACTTTCTTCTCAAGTTGTCCTTAAGTAGATTTCTAAGAAGTCCCCACGTGGGATTCATCAACGCACTCGTAAGCCGCTGAATTGTTCGCAGCTGTTCTCTCAGATTGATGAATCCCATTTCCTCGTAAGTACAGCGCGCGTGCCCGGTGCTTCATTACCATAGGTACTTAGCATAAGTAACCGCCCACTAATGCCCATATAAGGGACTGCAGGGCCGTGTGCAGACGCCAGAGGAAACAGCAACAGGCCTAAAGCAGGCTTTTGCCAGACTGAGAATAAAGTTATAAAATGTTGACTTAAAAGTCGAAATATTATGATTATAAAGTCGAACTAGCAAAATTATGAGATTAATCTAAGAATATGATGAGATTAATCTCAAAATGTTATGAGCTTAATTTAAAAATATATTATGTATTATTTTAAAGATGAATCTCAAAATGTTTTGAGATTAATCTCAAAATATTTTGGACCCTGGGAGGAGATCCAGCGCGGACCAGCGCTGAGACCAATGCAGACCCGAGGAGAGACTGGAGTGACCAGCACACAGAAACCAGCGCGGACAGGAGAGACCGCATAGACTGGAGACACCTGACTGGAGAGACCGGTGCGCAGAGACCAGCGCGGACCGAAAAGAGACCGCATAGACCAGACTTGAGAGACCAGCGCGGACCCGTATGGATCCATGGGAGAGACCAGCGCAGACCCGTATAGATCCATGGGAGAGACCAGTGCAGACCCGTATAGATCCATAGGAGAGACCAGCGCAGAGACTCAGCGCGGACCCAGTAACCTCCTGCAGCAGCAGTATATATGCCGTTGTTCTGTGGCCCATGGATAAAGAAATGCCCCCTATAAATAGGAAGGGGTCACTAATACACGGCAAGATTTCCAATGTATTTGATAAAGCGTTGGCACATTTCATTTCAAAATGAATTAAAAAGTAGGCCAGATCTGCAGTGAAAAAGGCGGTATATAAATAAAGATTACTAATAAAGATTACTACAAATAAATAAATACATACATCGATATGACGGACATATCACTGGAATGTTGTATTTTTATTCAACTTCACCAAAGAGGACAACCCCCGCGTGTGAACATGTCGGCACTGAATGCGTACGAGTGCTCCTGAGGACTCGTAGGATTTGTACTTGCCCAAGAGAAATTCTGGTTACGAGAAATATTCGTGAATGCCACTTTCTTCGTAAAAACGGATTTACGTACAAATCTGTTCCTAAGAACCGTTCGTGAATGAGGCCCATTGTCCTGTTGGAAGATAAATCTCCGCCCCAGTCTCAAGTCTTTTGCAGATTCCAACAGGTTCTCTTCCAGAATGGTCCTGTATTTGGCTCCATCCATCTTCCCATCAATTTTAGCCATCTTCCATGTCCCTGCTGAAGAAAAGCAGGCCCAAACCATGATGCTGCCACCACCATGTTTGACAGTGGGGATGGTGTGTTCAGGGTGATGAGCTGTGTTGCTTTTACGCCAAACATATCGTTTTGCATTGTGGCCAAAAAGTTTGATTTTGGTTTCATCTGACCAGAGCACCTTCTTCCACATGTTTGGTGTGTCTCCCAGGTGGCTTGTGGCAAACTTTAAACGAGACTTTTTATGGATATCTTTGAGAAACGGCTTTCTTCTTGCCACTCTTCCATAAAGGCCAGATTTGTGCAGTGCACGACTGATTGTTGTTCTATGGACAGACTCTCCCACCTCAGCTTTAGATATCTGCAGTTCATCCAGAGTGATCATGGGCCTCTTGGCTGCATCTCTGATCAGTCTTCTCCTTGTTTGAGATGAAAGTTTGGAGGGACGGCCGGGTCTTGGTAGATTTGCAGTGGTCTGATACTCCTTCCATTTCAATATAGTTGCTTGCACAGTGCTCCTTGAGATGTTTAAAGCTTGGGAAATCTTTTTGTATCCAAATCCGACTTTAAACTTCTGCACAACAGTATCTCGGACCTGCCTGGTGTGTTCCTTTGTCTTCATGGTTCTCTCTGCGCTTTAAACAGAACCCTGAGACTATCAAAGAGCAGGTGCATTTATACGGAGACTTGATTACACACAGGTACATTCGATTTATCATCATCAGTCATTTAGGACAACATTGGATCATTCAAACATCCTCACTGAACTTCTGGACTGAGTTTGCTGCACTGAAAGTAAAGGGGACGAATAATATTGCACGCCCCACTTTTCAGTTTTTAATTTGTTAAAAAATGTTAAATTATCCAATACATTTTGTTCCACTTCACGATTGTGTCCCACTTGGTGATTCATGAAAAAAAAATTAAATTTTATATCTTTATGTTTGAAGCCTGAAATGTGGCGAAATGTTGAAAGGTTCAAGGGGGCCGAATACTTTCGCAAGACACTGTATATATATTATATATATATATATATATATATATATATATATATATATATATATTTCATTTTATTTTATGTTTTTCAAAATCGATACTAGGCAAATGCATATCGATAATCGATCGCGGGAGAAAGTATCACAATATTTTGTTACATCGATATATCGTCACACTCCTACATATCACAGTATTCTGACACACACACACACACTACTGTACAGTACTCTGAGACACACACACACATTACAGTATTCTGACACACACACACACACACGTCACAGTATTCTAAACCACACACAGTAGTTTCTTTTCTGTGCTGTACAAATAACTGTGACAGAACAGTTTGAAGGTTGTGTGTCGTTGTGTCTCACCGTATGAAGCCAGGGCCACGCCCTCAGTGTTGATCCAGGGGAACTTCTCTTTGACTTGAGACGGAGAGAGAAGAGACACTTTGGCTCCTGCATATCTACACACACACACACGCACACACACACACACACAGAGACACACACACAGACAGACACAAAGACACACACACAGACAGACACAAAGACACACACGGACACAAACACACAGACACACACACACGGACACAAACACACGGACACACACACACGGACACAAACACACACAGAGACATAGACACAGACACACAAACTAATATTAGTCACTATAATAATAATAATTGTGCATTGTATATATTGTGTTTTACCAGTATTGTAAATGCTAACTACCTCTTTCTATCTATGTATTAATTATTTGCGTATTATAAACCTTCGCTCACTTTGCCTCAGGGACAAAGGCTGAAAACTATCCATGTCCGGTCAAAACAATATAATTATTAAAAATATATAGGTGGATTTTCTACCTCCGGGTGGATCATCAAAACTACTAGTCCTCCCATTCGTCAATCATTCTGGTGATATGTGCTCGTCCAATAATAAATTAGTCTATAATCCGCAGGGAGAATAGCTGCTGTATATTTCAGGAGCTGATGGGGAATCTGAATCTCTCTCAGTGTCACACAATAATAAACCAGAGAAGCCTGCGGTGACCCCAAAACGAATACTTCTTTTTATTATTATTATTTTCAAGATTTTGATTTTATACTTGTTATTGATGCTAGAGTTAGAGATTTTGTTTTATTTTAATTAGTAAAGAGCTATTTATTCTTCATGTATCTTGTGCTGTGTGCTCCTCTTTCTTACGGTTCTATAACTTGTGATGCAACACTGTGGGAAAAATTCAGGATCTGTTCATCTTAATCTTAACCTCTGGGTCTTGTAGTTCTCCTCCATGATGTGAGCCACGTCTTCATTGGCCAAGAACAGGTATCCAGACTGGTTAAACTGCAGGTCCACGGGCTCCTCGTTCAGAACCCCCAGATGGTCCTGAGAGAGACCAGCGACAGACACCATGAGAGACACCATGTGATTCTAACATATCACGATACAGACAGTATGTGATTCTGAACATATGACGATACAGACAGTATGTGATTCTAACATATCACAATACAGACAGTATGTGATTCTAACATATCACAATACAGACAGTATGTGATTCTAACATATCACGATACAGACAGGATGTGATTCTAACTTATCACAATACAGACAGTATGTGATTCTAACATATCACGATACAGACAGTGTGTGATTCTGTGATATATCTAGATTCTTGTCCCTCATTTTATTTACAAACATGAAGGAAAATTAGACTCTGACATTTTTTATGGTCTGTACATGAACTGATGCAAACACTGAAGAGTAAAATATCGATCTTTTCCCACCACTAGAAGACTCATGTGGCTCTTGGTCCAATAGTGGCTCTTGGTCCAAAAGTGGCTCTTGGTCCAAAAGTGGCTCTTGGTCCAAAAGTGGCTCTTGGTCCAAAAGTGGCTCTTGGTCCAAAAGTGGCTCTTGGTCCAAAAGTGGCTCTTGGTCCAAAAGTGGCTCTTGGTCCAAAAGTGGTTCTTGGTCCAAAAGTGGCTCTTGGTCCAAAAGTGGTTCTTGGTCCAAAAGTGGCTCTTGGTCCAAAAGTGGCTCTTGGTCCAAAAGTGGCTCTTGGTCCAAAAGTGGTTCTTGGTCCAAAAGTGGTTCTTGGTCTAAAAGTAGTTCTTGGTCAAAAAGTGGCTCTTGGTCCAAAAGTGGTTCTTGGTCTAAAAGTGGCTCTTGGTCCAAAAGTGGCTCTTGGTCCAAAAGTGGTTCTTGGTCGAAAAGTGGCTCTTAAACCGCTTTTCCACAGTATCAGTACGGTACAGTATCAGTACGCTTCGGCGCTGTTATTATGCGTTTCCACTAGTGGATGGTATCGGGGATTTGCGTGCTTTTTCGTACTGCCTCAGCCGTGGTTCCATCTCCGTAGTACCGGTACCATGACGTGACGTGGGCCCACTGCCTTACACTGATTGGTCAACGAGTGTCGTCAACGAGTGTCGTCACTGGTAGCGATATCTGACCCATTGGGAAAAACAACTCAACTGCCATCTTTAAAACCGGCTGCTCTGCTCGGCTCTGCTTCGGCTACATTACGTCCTCCTCACTCCAGATAAATAGAATCGCACAGAAAGCCCCAAAAGTCAGCGTCCTGGTTGGTGGACGAGGTCCACATGTTACTCTCTTCAGGCCAAAGAAAGAATTCAAAGGCAGCTCGAGGCTCAACACAGAGGTTTCATGAGGTTTTCAGGGAGATCACCCAGCTCTGGATATGTGACTAGTCTATGGTAATCCTGGAAATAACTGGTTAGCTACGAATCCCGTTGGCCCAAAGCTCTCACCGAAATGTATTGACTGTGTACTGTACATGTTTGATTGTCTGTTGTACACAGTGAGCTAGCTACATTTAGCTTCATTTAGCTATCGATAGCAAGCTAAGCTAACGTCCTTCCTGTGCCACTGTGTTTTATCTCGTATTATCTGCAGTATCCACGTGTTGTCATTCTGTTATGTGCTTGTATTTAAGTTATTGTGTGTATATTTGTATGAGAGTCCCTTTCCATAAGTGTGGAGATTACCAACGAGCAATGAGTGACCAGAGTATTCTCCTCATCTGGTCTCACACATACGAACTTTGGACTTTGTAAACTGTTGGTTTTGCACTTTACGTTTGTTTTTAATAAATCTGTGATTGTATCCCAAGACTGTGTTTCATTCATTTATTATTATTGTAGCTGAGGTTTGGGTATCGGTTGTTTGTCTGGTCTCGTCTGCTGTACTGGACCAGAGTCCGGACTAGCCTAGCCTAGCCTAGCCGCTAACTCGCTACCCCTATGGCTGCCGCTGTCTATTCCTCGGTCCTTTACTGCTCGAGTTGCCATATGGCGAGTTTAAACCCTGGATCCTTCTCTGAGGGTAGTGATAGATGTGTTAAGTGTAGTATAGATGTAGCTTTGGAATCCAGGGTTAGTATGTGAGCCGAGTCTCGAGCTAGCACTAGCATTAGCATTAGCTATAACCAGGCCATATCCTCGGACAAGCAGCCCTCCTCCTCTGCCCACTGCTACACAGGCTGCTGTTGCTACAGGTATGTCAGAAGGTTTTAGGGGCCAGTTCTGCAGGGGGTAATAACCAGCTTCATTATATGACTTGGACCGTACGCGCGCTCTGATTGGCTAATTACCGGTCTGACCGTTACCATGACAATTGGTCCGAACAGCGCGTATCACATTTGATATCTTTCCTCGGACCGTTACCATGACAATCAGTCCGCAGCGCGTATCAACATTGATTTCTTTCCTGAGATTCCTCGGTAAAAAAAGAAATAATGGGCGACAACAGTGAATTCTATTGTCCGGACGAGTTTGACGAGCCAGAGGAAGAAATTACAGAAAATAACAAAGAAAAAATAACTAACAGACAAGATGAGATTGGCAACTTTGTTGCAGACCAGAAAGCTAAAAACACGATTAGGAAAACCAAGTCGGAGATTGATATTTGCATAAATTAAAAATAGTATAAAACATGTATTAACCTCGCTTGCTCGGTCTGTACAGAGAAATATCAGACCTTGGCCTTTTTGCACAGACCTCGCCGTGTACATTAAGGCCGCGGTCTGATATTTCCCCATACAGACCTCGCGCTCGGTTAATAAGCCGTTAATCACCAATATTATAATAAATCCATCCACCGCACCAATGTTACTAGTTTCACGTCACGCGTAAATGACGTGGTCTGACAACGTTGAGGACATACTAGGAGGTACTATTTGTGATTGAAAAGCATGCGAACAGGACCGTGCCGTTCCGTGTAGAGTCAAAACGAACCGTAGTGATACTGTGGAAAAGCGGCATTGGTCCTCTTGGTCCCAGATACTGTCTGAGAGGAGAATATGTTTTTGGTCTAGTTCAGTCACTGTGGACTTTTGAATGCGTTAAATGACTGGGACTCATGCCGCTAACACACAAATGTGTTTTTTACATTTTCCTGAGGGAGGGACTGCCAGCGGCCATTTTGAAAAAGACGGCAAGAGGGAAAAGTGATGTCACATAAGTTTCAAACGCAAATATTATTTACAGTCTGTGGTAATCACAGACAGGTTTAAGGAGACAGGTTTAAAGGAGACAGATGAATACTGTGCCGTACATTGATGTTCCTCATGAAGTCAGCGGAGTGCAGCGACAGCAGGATGTTCTCTGCTAAAGAGAACTGTTGTCTGATACCTCCAGCTGACAGCACCGTGGAGGCCTGCGAGTACTACACACACACACACAGAGAGAGACAGACACACACACATCACACACAAAGAGCAAGACACACAGTCACAGAGAGACACACAGTCAGAGAGAGAGAGAGAGAGAGAGAGAGAGAGAGAGAGAGAGAGAGAGAGAGAGAGAGAGAGAGAGAGAGAGACACACTTTTGAGCTGTGACGTCATGAGTGCTGTTGCTTTTGAAAAGTATCGTCTCCAGAGTGTCTCTTTGATCTGAGGACCTTCACCTGTGAGCTGACCAACCACAGAGCAGCATTGTGTTTGGGGGCAGAGCTTTGGGGATGAGGCAGAGTTTTTTCTTCTTCCCGCTCCTTTACGAGTATCTGCAAGAGTTTCTCTTGTGTGTATATAATATTTATAATTATGTAATATATAAATGTACCTCAGGGTTCTTTTGTTTCTTGTACGCTTATAAGTAAGTAAGTAATGTTTATTTATATAGCGCCTTTGGCCTTTCTAAGACCAGAGTCACAGCGGTTTACAATTGTGGGCATCAGTCTCTCACTCCAAACAGATGGGAGGAGCCAGTACAGGAGGCACATGCCAGAGCTATTATACATGTTTTTAGTGGTAGGGGAAAACCGGAGCACCAGGAGGAAACCTATGCAGACACGGGGAGTACATGCAAACTCCATTCAGAAAGACACTGGGAGTTGAAACAGCAGTGTAGAGCAGCTCACCGTGGGGTCCTTCTCCACCACCAGCACCCGGACCTCCCCCCTCACCCGCTCCTTCTGCTTCAGCCAGTAGGCCACAGACCAGCCCACGATTCCCCCCCCCACCACCACGATGTCAGCTCTCTCTGGGGGCAGGTTGGGGTTGATCTGCAGGGGGCTCCAGCTGCTGCCTGGAAGAGCGTCCAGGGCCGTCTGCTTGATGGAGCTCAGCCTCTCCTCCAGATCTGTCGGACAGGACCGCACTCACTCACATCTGTCACAAACTGCAGCTCATCACACTTAGATTAAGATTAACAGATGCTTTAATGGTTCAACAGAAGGGAAATTTCACTGTTGTATCACAAGTTATAATAGGAATGAGGAGCATACACCACAAGATAAGTGAACAATAGCTGTACTAATTAAATGAAACAAAATCTCTAACTCTAGCATCAAATAACAAGAATAAAATCTCTATCTTGAAAATAATAATAATAAAAAAGAAGTGTAAAAAGGAAAGTATAAAGTACTGTGTATTCTGGTGAAAGCATAAAGCAGGTTTAACACTTATAACATATATAGAGTATGAGTAGTATTCACAAAGTTATGAAGACCAAAAACGTGCATAAGCCAATTTAACTACACTGCAAGAATGAAAAGCCGTCATATTGACTGCTCAAGAACTTCTGGTGTTAAGAGTGCCTCCGGGAAGTTGTATCTTTTGTATCACGTATTTGACAAAACGCAGTGAAGGTGTTTTTCATTAAATCATCTCAGAAATCATCTGTAATAGAGAGGGCATGTACCTTTGATAATGTCCTTCCTCAGCACCGCACTCGTGCATAAGCACCGGCAGAGGTCTCCTACTGTCAGGACAGTCCAGCCTTTACGTCCCAGTCCCTGTCCAGGTCCAGGTCCCGGTCCCCTTGACAGGACCCTCGCAGCGGCTCGAGCCCCGGCGTGCACCCGGAGAATCATATCCCCTTTCAGGCGTCACTGTTCCCCGTACAGTTAGTGCTATGCCAGGCTCACATCACCCTGCTCTGTCGCCTGTTCTAGAAACTATAGATTTCGACACCACATGTCACTAAATATACAGCTCAGTCACGTTTACGACCCAGAGGAAGGGGCTCTCAACCTGTGGCAGAACAGCGCAGGGGAAAAAGAGTCTGTTAGTCTCTTAGCTCTGGGTTAGCATCATGTATACAGTTAGCATAAGTGTTAGCATAGGTGTTAGCATAGTGTGAAGTAGGCGTGTGATCAGGCATGTGTCCGGGCTATGGTCCGGGCCGTGGGCGTGGGGATCTGAAGAGGACAGGGAGGCTGCTGTCGGGGTCTGTCTGGAGCTGGGTCAGGTCTCCAGGGGGTCCACGAACCCCTCAAACACGACCCAAAGTCAGCTCCAGTGAAGGACACACGAAAACAGTCTGGTCCTCACAATAAAACCACGTATTCACACAAAACAAACCATTTAGGAGATAATGCTTTTCTTTTACTGTTTGTAACATTTACAGGTGACTTTAATAACCCTGTTTTTGTTGATTATGTTGATTGTGCAGCGCTTTGTAAACGTGCTATATAAATAAAGATTTATGTTGTATTTATGATTATTATAACCAGGAGTGGGGGCGACAGTGGCTCAGTTGGTAGAGCATTGGCCTTTGAGCCTGAAGATCGTGGGTCCACCACAAGACCTACTTCAAGACACCCACTGATTTCTGCGGTTGTTGTGTCTTTGGGCAAGACACTTAACCCCACTTTGCCTGAAGCCCCCACTGAAAGATCTCAGCTCCTGTGGACTGGTGCTGAGTGTACTGGGTGTAGCTCTGACTGCCCCCGGCTCAGAAATTGATTAAGGGGAAGAAAATAGAGGGATAATGAGGAGTGAGTTTCAAGATGAGGTGACTCCATAGACTATATATTAACTCCCATTATTCTGAAACTACTGGAACTCCCAGAGCAGTCATTTTGACGGTTATTAGAATTAAGTAATTTGGCTTTTATCTTTAATAGTAGCTAAAACTGGTGAATATTGTTATGTTTATATTTTTTAAATAAAAGTCAGTACGACAGTCCGGGTTTTGTAGTGCTGTTTACTGGCAGTTAAGCATAATGACTGAATGTAACGGCAGGCGAAGCTATAACACAGATCACGCGGCACATAAAATACATGTGACGTAAGGATCAATCAGAAAGCGTGATACAATGTTGAATGATCAGTTAGGTTTCACAGCATATTCTATCAAGGAATATTACAAATATAAATGAAATACAGAAAACTAAATACTAACGGTTGTAGGTAAACAGTATATTGCTACGGTAATGAGCTAGAGCATGTCTAGGATCGAGATAATTTCATAAACATAATGGAATAATCTACGTATAGAAACAGAAATAGTCACTAAGTTGTGAAGACTAAAACGTACATAAGTAATTACACATTTAATTTCAATACACAACTGCATGTACAGTTGTTCAACATAGATTTATTCATTGTAGTTTGAAACAAAAAAACGTACTGACGTAAAATGCCAGTGAAATGTAAACTGACGAAGTGGGTCATTTTTTCCGGCTCTTGTGCGGACCATGGCACACTCTAATAAATGTGAGACTGGCCTTGTTGTCTTTGCAGCAGAATATGTAACTCAAAAGGTTGTTAAAAAGTAATGTAATAACTTCCACATCTCACTTGGTTTGAACCCTGTGAGATTGGACCAAACTAAACTGAGAGTACTCAGTACTCAGGTACTTATTATTACATTACTAACTACATATTAAGTTTTACTAAACACTAGATTTAACAGTGGTGTCACCGCATTTGTTCAAATGACTTTTACTAAATTCTGCTCTTCTCTTTTCTGGTTGGAGTCTGCACAAAACCATCCTCCATCTGAGTCCTTCTGTGATGTGTTATAGATCCAGAAGGATGCTGTACTCGACTGAGACATCTCTGGAATGGACTGGGGCCTTCAGAATCAGAGGTGGGCCGTCTTTTTGACTGCTGCAGTCGCTCCCACACCAGGAGAGAACAGGGACTCTACAGACTTCCATGGGCTCAGAGAGAGTTCTCCAGCATCTTCCCCTGTAACGTTGCACAAGTGAGAATTGTGTTTTTATTGTCTGTGCGATGATTGTGTTCCTAGTTACCCCGGGCAACCCACAGACTTTTGCCCAGTCAGAGACAAGCGATCTGGCACCTGGGCCTCGGCGCGAGAACCGGGAGTTTGAAAAAGCAAAGCCGAACGATGAATGGCCGCGGTGAGGAGCCCCATGTGGAAGTGACAATGTGGAGGACGACCTTTGGAAAACATGTGACTTTACAGGAGCTTCTGTCAGCACTGTACCAGGAGGCTGTGGATGGTACTGTAGGAGGCAGAGGTCCAGGAGGCTGTGGATGGTGCTGTAGGAAGCAGAGGTCCAGGAGGCTGTGGATGGTGCTGTAGGAAGCAGAGGTCCAGGAGGCTGTGGATGGTGCTGTAGGAAGCAGAGGTCCAGGAGGCTGTGGATGGTGCTGTAGGAGGCAGAGGTCCAGGAGGCCGTCCATGGTACAGGGCTGTAGGAGGCAGAGGTCCAGGAGGCTGTGGATGGTACAGGGCTGCAGGGACGTGCGGTGAGGTTTGTGATTGGGGAGGCACTGACTTTAAAAGTCAGATTTACAATCATTATTCAAATAAAATAGCATTTAATCACCAATGCAATGACATCCACAAACTTTATATACTGTAAAGATAAGAGAACCAGCTTCTTTTAATAATCTCACAACAAATCTAGCTGCTGACTCTGCTCCGCATCAAACAACATCTTTAAGAAGCGCAGGTGCGAGAGACGCGAGGAGAGAGGAGCAGAGAGAGACAGAGAGGAGCAGAGAGACGGAGACGCGAGGAGCAGAGAGAGACGGAGACGCGAGGAGAGAGAGACGCGAGGAGAGAGGAGCAGAGAGAGACAGAGAGGAGCAGAGAGACGGAGACGCGAGGAGCAGAGAGAGACAGAGAGGAGCAGAGAGACGGAGACGCGAGGAGCAGAGAGAGACGGAGACGGAGAGAGACGCGAGGAACATAAACAATAATTTAAACAAGTTGCAGAACTCTTGAGCAGTGTTTGAATCAGTGTTTTTCGGAAAAGCACTACTTTGCCGGTATCTGTCAATGTTCAACATAAAACACAGATTAACAAACTCCTCCCCCGCAGCCGGACTAACCTCGTAAGTCCAGTGGTGGTCTCCCAGTCTATATTAATTCTTTCTTTGTTTGAAAGTCCAATTGAGAAAAAAAATCTTCATTCAAATCATCCATTTTCCAGCAAAAGAAATAGCATTTTGGGCTGATTGTTTGTTAGCAACTCTGGTATGAACTTTATGCTCACTATCACCCCTAGCGGTGAGGCACAGATACCGCCTGCCTCACGCCAAGCTTTTTCCTTGTGTGTTCATCTACGATCAAAAGACTTAAACTAAATATAAATTGTACACACATACGTGCAATACACTACTAAACACTAAGAGGAGTTTAAAAAATTTTTTTAAAGCAGGATATTTGAAACAAACGGTGATATATCAACTGCACGAGCTGAGTGCACTCAGACACACACACACACACTGTGAGGGAGCGGTCTGGGGTGAGGCACGCAGGAGCGCTGCCTCACCTCGTCTCTTTGAATAGGAATAACGGGATTTCGGCGATTTTGACTTCAGAAATGATCAAAACTGATGGGAACCGTGCCGAATATACATTAAAAGCATAGGACAGTGGATATAAATTATATATTTAAACTAAAATGATTATTAGTTTCCAATAATGGCAGGTGAGGCTCTGCCTCCCCTGCCTCCCCTGACTGCACGTCCCTGCAGGGCTGTAGGAGGCAGAGGTCCAGGAAGCTGTGGATGGTACAGGGCTGTAGGAGGTAGAGGTCCAGGAGGCTGTGGATGATGCTGTAGGAGGCAGAGGTCCAGGAGCAGGAGTGTCTGAATCCTAAGAGTCACCTTCCATTGAGTGCTCTCTCTGTGCATCCATCAGTTTCCTCCCTCTGAGGTCCTCCCTCTGAAGTCTGACGTCAGAGGTCTGTCTGTGTGAACTGCTGTCACAATACTCATCAAACAAGATCCATTCAGTTTTATCATTGGAGGAAATGTTTATTAAATTAGCAATTGGCACCTTGACAAAACACTGGATATAGAAATCCTAACAATAGTAGGCTATCTTGGCCCCACGGGCCAAGGGATGTCTTGGCCCGTGGGGATATCACATGCCAGTTGCCTCTCCCTTCAAGGCTATGACCTGGCCGAGATATTTGATTATATTTGATATTATTGGTAAAATAACATGTGGCGCAGAACTAAAAAAAGGTCTTGTTATGACTCTCGAATCATTAATGACAAAACAAAGACTAAAACGAGGATTTATATAGGGATGGCTTTGAACAATTGAGTCAGTGTCTCTGATCGTGTGAACCCCTGGTCTAGTGGTCTAAACTGTGCGCTTACGACGCAGGAACCTGGGTTCGATCCCGCACTACGTATTTTTGTATTTATTGCATGTTATCACATTCTATGACAGATTGCTCTAAAAACGGTAAAAGATGAAGGTCAAGACGTTTTTTTTGCAGATTATAGCTTAAATGTAAAAATAATCATTTAAGACCACATGTACCCCAATTAAAATAATGTTAGTCTCTTTTTGATGTGGAACTTTTACATGTTTGTCTAAAAAATAGGGAATAAATAAAATTGAAAGGTGATATCCTCTTGAGCAAACCCTGATGTTGATACGCTGAAGAAATACGTTCCAACATCCATTCTTCCCACTCCTATTTTGGACATCAATTGCTTATTTATTTTGCATAAACTATGTATAATTACATTGCTTTTATTTTGTTTTTGTTTTTTATCTCAAATGTCCAAATAATAATAATAAAAAAAAACATTAATCAAAACATTCATTCAGCATTAGCACGGCTGTCATGGCAATGTGAATGGAGACGGACAAAACAACTGATAAAATAATTCCCTGTGTTTGCTGCTGGATTTGGTGTGAATCTGGCAACCTGAGTCAGGGAGAGTGGGAGAGGACTACACAATATTGACTGTGACTGCAGTACCACTTTTGGCCAGATTTTTACATATTGTTCCTTTAAAGGCGCTATACCCGTTTCTGCAATGTTTGAATGTTTAGCACCGCCCCCAACTCACTCACAGGCTTCTCATTTCCCCTGCGCTCTCATCCGACGGAGCCACCTAGTTTTATTTGCGATCTGATACATATGCTAACATTAGCATTAGCGCAACTTTTTGTAAGCTGTGCAACAATCACTGATGAAATGGCACTAAAGCAATGCACTGCTAACACAATATATAAGTAAAAGAATACCGCTAGTTTCGCGTCCGAATGTATTAATTTAAAACCTTAGAATATATTCTAATATTTAACTCACTGACTGCCAGGCATTTTCAGATTTGAGAAGTGCATTCTGCCAGCAATTTCAGGTGATTTGACCCAACTTTGAAGTGCCACAGAATATTCATTTTTTAGACGATGTAAACACCAAGGGCACCAAATTAAAGATTAACCTCTCTGCTTTACTCTGAAAAAAACAGTTTGTTTCTACCTCTTACCGTTCTTGCGTTATTTGCCATAGAACAAAGCATACTTTCACCCATAACACCTGGTCTGAGCAAGAAAACAGAGAAAACGAGCTGTATGTAAACAGGAACATATCAAGCAGAAAAGAGACTTTAGATGCATTTTTGCTGCTTTAGTGACAACTCAAAACATCTTCACACTTGTTCCATTACAAAAATTATAAAAACATGACTCTGAAATAATACTTTTGATGGCAAATTGTTGGCAATTTATTCACAGATAGAAAATTTCTTCTATACCATCAACCAAAACGTCAAACAACAACAACACAAAGATCAATAAAACTATAGCTGTATAAAATAGAATGAAGCATGTGAATTTGTGTGTGTGTGTGTGAATGTCAGTGTGCGAGTGAGTGTCTGTGCGAGTGAGTGTCTGTGTGAGTGAGTGTCTGTGCGAGTGAGTGTCTGTGTGAGTGAATGTCAGTGTGCGAGTGTGTGTCTGTGTGCGTGAGTGAGTGAGTGAGTGCGTGTGAGTGTTTGTGAGTGTGTCCGATAAATCATGATCAGGTTTGCTGAACGAATCCGAGGCATCAGTAACAGCAGCAGCTGATACGCTGCGAGAGGCGGAGGGTGTGTCTCTGCTCTGGGGTCTTGCTCCGCGCAAATGTAGCTGCAGAGACGGACCTCCACCGGGGTCTCCACTCTCTCCCCTCTCGACCTCACTCACTGATCCGCGAGTCAATCTCTGAAGCAGTGTATACTGCTTATAACTATTCTTTTTTGCCATCACTCTTGCTATACTATCGCTAAACTAGATCTGATCCGTCTCAATGCTACGCTATCATCGCTCTGCTACAGCAGCACAGCACGCTCTCCAAAGACCCCACACTCCTCCTCCTCTCCACTGACTTATGACCTCTCCTGTGGTGCAATACTGCATCCTACTGGTGGTGATTTATCATTACAGGTACATTTGCACTATATATCAGTGTTGTGGGTCATTAACAAGGTGCGCCAGACATTACTGCAGCCTCCCGTGTAATAACACGAAAAAGTCGTCTAAGTCGTCTTGGGCAGTGAGCGTCACTATACAATAGAACGACTTTTGTCGTCATGGGCAGTGAATGAGTTAATTATAATTTGTTATAGAGCTCCTCGAAGCAGCAGCAGCAATTCTTCCGATCATTTTTTCTTGATAACAGAACTCTCAAATCAATAATGACCGAAGCCCCAATGCAACCTGTTTGTAATTCAGGTGTGTAAAATACTGCCATTACTTTGCAAGTACAACAAGCTATCAGCGCCTGTCACTACACACTTGTCTGTGCAGAGAAGCTAGCGGAGCTAGCCACGCTCGATAAACAACTACATATCTATCAATCAACACCATTAAACGTCAATCGGACAATACAGTATACATATACATCCTTAACACACATGCACGGACGATTTCAGAATTTGCTGTTAACGTTTTCATGACAAAAATACTGTTTCAAAGTGACAAAAAGCGATCGCGAAAAACCCGGAAGTTACCATGAAACAACTAGCTAGCTTAGCTGTTACCTGCCTAGCACGTCCCGGTGAAACCTTTGGGAGCTATTTTATTTGCAGTCATTAAATACATTTCGAATTACAAGGGTTGTCTAATATTTGTTCACATTTTTTTATTCAATTATTTTGTTCATCATTTTTTATTTTAGAATTATATTCGAATTTTGAAGTCGAAGCCCTGGTGTTAAGCAGCGCTGTAGAGACTAGAGGACACAGGCTGTAGAGACTAGAGGACACAGGCTGTAGAGGCTAGAGGACACAGGCTGTAGAGGCTAGAGGACACAGGCTGTAGAGACTAGAGGACACAGGCTGTAGAGACTAGAGGACACAGGCTGTAGAGGCTAGAGGACACAGGCTGTAGAGGCTAGAGGACACAGGCTGTAGAGACTAGAGGACGCAGGCTGTAGAGACTAGAG